GTAAGTCCTCACTCGACACTACAACGTCCAGAAGAAGTCGGTGGTATCGGAAATAACTACTCGGGTTGATATCTGGTCAATTGGCTAGACCCCGATCTCCGCCGCTGCCCCACCTAATACCGACACAGACCCTAAACCAAGTCTTTCGCTCTTTGCGCCTTGTGCTGTCCCTTTGGGGTAGCGGTCAAGTCGAAGAAATATAAGTATCATAGTTGTAGGATAATTACATATATAACACACTTCGGCCTTATGGGCATTCAGTGATTTCGGGCTGACGTTTGAAATACAATTCGTGTTAGTAACGTTAATGTGAGGGCTAGAGCGTAATACCATCTATATATAGCTAACGATTCCAGAAAATTCAAGCAAAGGGGAAATTTGTTCGATCTCACGATAGGACAAGAGAGATTAAGGGAAGACCAATTGCAATTGATTAAGAAGGCATTAAGCTTTAATGATTCAGTATAGCTGTACTTAAATCATCACCTGTATTAAAAATAGAGATTTTAATGATAGATCTTCGATGAAAGGGGACAGAGTTGGGCTCTGGGGGGGTGAAAGAGAGAAAGGGAAGGAAAGGCAGGTCTAACAAAGCGGAGTACAATATATACATGTATTTAACACCACAAGCCCGCCCCCCCCCCGCCCCCCCCCCCCGGACACTTCCACCTAGGCCTCACTACATACACGGCTTCGTTACCAAACACTAACCTGTTACAATGTAACACGCATCCCAACTTTTTTGGCAAATTCCACAATTTACTAGCCTGGACGTAGCGTTTTTCTAAGCTACGGTTACGAATTAAGGTTTCTGAAGTTCTAACCCTAGGCAATCTGTAAGGCTCTTCAATAGGTTCGATCTACAGAAAGATTCTGGCCATAGTCTTCCATTTGAAGATCTTCCTCTCAAACTATTCACCCCCTCTCCGCATGTATCTACGTGCAGTAGTAGTGAGTACGCACAAGCTGATTTTCAACCATAGCGTGGACCGCAGATCATTAATGCGCACGTGAAGCCCTTTGAAATAGTTTCGTCCCTATCTTAAATTTAAACCCTAGGACCCCTAACCAGCCAATTCCCACCAAACCTTTCTTGTTGTAACTCCACGTATGCATATGGGTAATCACCAGGATTATTCCAAGGAAGCCTGGGGTATGTGTAATAGCTTATACGAGAGCAAGGTAAACCGTAACATGGGTGCTAAGGGAACAGACGCCGGTGAGTAACTGCACAGCTCCAGACAGTAGACACCCAGCTAGCTGCCCAGACTTACAGCCCTATACCCGGGCTTAAAAGATAATCAGCATGAATGGCGAGGGGATATGATACAACTAACGTTAACGAGCCTATGAGGATTCTACATCCAGTAGCGGCAATTCTCTACGTTCATTAGCCTCTGTCAGGTGATCCATAACTATTAGGGGAGTATTCAAATGTTTAGAATGAACTCTCTGAGTTAATTTACGAGCCTGTTTCGTGCGAAGAAAATTTGAGGGATTGCTTCCTTATGGCATTGTATGCCCGTGAGTGGTCAACAGTGGCTAAAAACGACATCACTAGACGTCAAGTTAAGCTACAAACTTTCATATTTCCGAACCTCCAATACCCCTAGCAGTTATGAGCTGTTAACTCACTGGTGCTATTCACAGATCACTACGTAATGATGGACACATCGAATAAATGCAAGGCGATTAGTGCTTAAGCAGAGTAAGATACATCAAAGAGGATCGCATTGGCCCTCCTTCTTTGAGTTTACGGTCACCATCCACACAAGAAGTTACAATGGAGATCTATTGATTCCTGCATATCTTCTCTGCTCCACCTCCCTGTTCAGGGTACTTCGTTGTTTTTCTAGTTCTAAGCCCAGAAATGATATCGAAACCCCATGACCGAGGTCTGTATCAAGACTATGTGTATGAGTGCAAACGGGCGTACATCTATTACAAGATGAACTACGACTGCATCATACCGCCAGCGATGGGGTATTGCGGACGATTAGTATCACGTGATCGAGGGAATTCTCCGGTTATCTTTTTAGGGCTATATGTTCCGGGCCACTGGCGGATACCTCGAATTCGTGAATGGACTGCTTTCTCCGTACACCCGGGACCGGACCGGTCCGTTGGCGAATGGACTGGGCAAAAGGTAGTGAAATTGACTCTTGGAACCAACACCCGAATTGCCTGGGCTCTATCAGAGGCCATATGGCTTTACTAGAGGTCATAGGGCCCAAATAAGAGCTTGCAAAGGTGCCTGAGGCTGATAGAGTCCACAAGATGTCACTGAAGCTCGCTAAAGATCTTGAAGGTGCTAATTATTATTCCAGACTCGATATTTAGGGTTGCTAGTCTTTTTTAGAGGTCTCTGGTGATTGTAGTAGTCGTCGGGGTTAATATAAATCATTATTAGTTATCAGGTGTTGATATTAAAACAACAGTTTCCCCAGGCTGTTCGTGAATAGACTGGTCCTGTCACAGATGTATGAGCCTAGGAGTCCATTCACGAATACCTCAAGTCCGTTCGCGAATTTGTCAAGTCCATTCACGAATCTGTCATATCCGCGAATGGCCCGGAACATATACTAATGTGTTGATTGGCCCGGGCAATTACTTAATATCCTTTACCAGTATGTTCCTGCAATAGATGTTGTCCCTCTAGGATTTGAATAATCATCAGGGAATTATTAAAAGTCCTGGGGGGGCCTGAATGATAGAGTTATCAGAGTGGAACGCGGGGAGTACTCAATTGATGAACCCTTTTGGTACTGTAAGCCTTTTTAAAAGTGGGGCCAGCGATTAATCGCCCCACCTATGTCTGTGGTTGATTGTCTAATAGGGACTCCCGGAGATCTCGCCCTGTGATTTGGTTTCTGATGAACTTGAAACTTGCGCACATCAGTTTCTAACTTAGCACTATTTTCTATCTTGACTACATGTACCTACATGGAGTACAACTACGTACAGGCAACCCAGATATCTTTCCTAGAATCGTTGACTGAAGAGGTTCTGGAATTCAATCCTAGCTAAGATCACCTCAGGATCTTGATGAAAACCCGCAAAAAGAGCTCCCGGCATCGAGCTAGGTACATGAAAATACCAACTATCATCTGTTACTGCGCTGTAGCTGATTTCGAGCCGGACCGTCGGGTGATCGCTGCACGGTAGATACATCTGCGTATGATTCGTGATCCAAGGTTTAAGGAAGCTTTGACAGTTGATCCATCTCTCGATGAAGGCGCTGAATGGTGTTGTGGGAGATCGTCTTGAATACAGCTGGCAAGACGTCTAATTGTCTCCCCCTCTTGACATTTCTTTTTCTGAATAATTCGATCTGTTTAGTCATATCTCCCTCGCTTGGTTGACTAAAGGAGGAAATGATAACCTTACTAACTAGTAGGAGTACGTCGAGGCTGAGGAGCGATTCATGAAACATCACTCGCCACCGTCCGTGCCCAGCTGCAGTTTGCATGTGAGTGTTGAATTGATATTCCTGGAACCACTACTCTATCATTAACCCCTACACTACGACTTTTCCTCGGTTCCTACCGGCCGGAAACCTGCATAAGAAAAATAAAAATTTAGTAGACGATTCGATTCCATGTGTAAGTACTCTGATCATGAAACGAAATAGACAGCCTTGTAAATGAGCAACACTCGCCCTCGCTCGTATCAGGTTGGATATAAATCGAGACAATATTTGGGCTCACGTCATAGGTCACGCAGATAGGTTACACAACCCGGGGCATGGCGGAGATTCTCAGGCCTGTGAGTGGATGGATTGTAAAACTTAAAGCACTAGCTCAACTAGCTCGCCGGGAAACTGATGTCAAGAAAAATCCCCTTGGAATGGTTGGCCTGTTTTTTCTAGTCACAGGTGGAGATCTCGGGGAATGGAACCTATCACAATAGTTTCTGTTGAGCTACGACTGGGCCTATCCTTGTCGGATGTCTGGTAGAAGCATTTCATCATATAAAATTGTTCTGGAATGACTGTCAATGGTGGGGGTAGAAAAATTATTGAAACTGCCTTGTGACGGTTATTGAGATTGATGGTGGGCGAAAGAAGAACCCCGGGCTTCGGAATTAAGGAATATTAAGAGAGAGAAAAAATCTTGATCTGAATAGATATGTAAACATATCTGATATCCAGGAGCTGTTTGAGTGATCATCCTAATTGTTATTTTTATCATATGCATCGCTAATTCTCTACCAAGAAGACTGGCCCCTTCGAGCCAAACATTTTCTATTATAGTCATAATTAGTATCCAATTGCATTTACCATGTCCCTAAATAAATCTGTCATATATACGACAGCTCTCTAATGGACATCGACGTCGGATACCGGTGTTCCCATCGCGGCCGCGCGATGTCAGTGATGTTCGCTGAAAAGCATGGAAGCAGGGAGTAACGAATTCAGCGCTGATCATCTGGATTGATTGGCCCCACTAATGTTGAGTGTGCATGCGTGCAACGTCCTCATTGGCTGGATTGTGTGGTGGTCGGCTGACGTACCGTACCGCGCCCCAAATTTCATTTCTTTGGGGCCAGAGACACTTCTTCGATAACCTTTTTGAGTGGACGGTAGTTTAGTTGGTCGGATCATATCTATTCTCTACGTAGTGAGTACCTACTGCATTCTTCCTTGATCAGGCATGCGGAAAACGGTGTGGCGGGCACAAAAAAAAAAAAAAAAAAAACGTCAGCTAGCTGCTTGAGAGATAGAGGTTTTGGTGTGTGCCAGTGGATCTCGCGATATCAAGAGTCACAATAATAACATATAACAGATTGGGTTTTAAATAGGACCCTCGATATCCCCCTATCTTCTACCCTGCCTTTCCTCCGTTCGATCATACTCAAACTCCAGAGCTTCGTTCACCTACTATCTACATACCGTACAATACTCTTATATCATACGATATTCCCCCAGAAAGCTATATACCCTTCATTAATATCTAATAATTCTACACACAAAAAAAAAACATCTATTTTTTCCCCATAACATGAGCAATCGTGCTCAGTTCGGCAGTACCACTTCACACATGATTCAACCAACTCCCCTCAGACCTGCCCTGGTCCGGCGCAGCTCCAGTCAACGTCCCCGTGTTGGTCCCCGAACCCGTAGCTACACTGGTACAGGTACCGGTGCTGGCCACAGTTCTCGCGCACCGGAGCAACGGCACAGTGCTTCTTACGCTCCCCGGCGGGACCTCAATTCTATGATACCGCCTAGCAGCCGACCCAGCTTCATGAGAGCCCTCACTGCTATGAACACATCTCTCAATAGAACCAGCCCCAGAACTGTCCAACCATCTGCTCATGATGGAACTCGGAGAGTCCAGGTTGTACAGCCTGGGCACCGCGGCGGTACACACCGCTCGGAGCATACATACCGCTCGGAGCATACACACCGCTCGGAGCATACACATGCATCGGTAGCCCCTGTGGCCCCCGCCAGACGGAGCCAGAGAATCTCGTCAACGGCAGCACAAGATAGGAGACCTAGCACGGCGGCGACGCATAGTAGCAGACCAAGCGCCGCGGTGGTGAATAACAGACCGAGCACAGCGATGGTACCCCACGGACATGGTCATGGTCAAGTTGAGCAGCATCATGGACACGGACACGGGCACGGGCACGGACACGGCCATGGGCCGGAGCATATGCACGCAAGTAGAGGATTAGTAAGGGTAGGTGGTAGCAGAGGAGGATATCCCCACCATTAGTTACTGTTTAGCTAGGTGTGATAGCTAGTTGATGGATGAGCTTGTGTTTTCTCAGTCGTTTGCACGATTTCATTTGTTTATTTGGCATTATTGGAGTTGGCATTAGTTGGGTCGGGGAATGGGGCGCTGGGTATGATGTGTTTTATACCAATAATATTTTTAAGACTTACGTGGGAATAGATGTGATGAATTGATACCCTCGATAATCATGTACTCACACCGAGTGATATTCTGTGAAAATATCCTTAAACATACGAAATTAACTTGTATTAACCAAAACCGTAGTTAAAGTTTTTGATTATGTTACGCTGTTTGCTACTGTGTCCTCGACGCTTGAAATTTCTCTATAAATCAAGCGCTGCATTCCTCTCTTTGAGACCTTCTACCGAAAAAAAATTAATTTTGATCTGATTGAGCATTGGTTGCCAAATAATATCATACGGGTCGCCACCCCCCGCCTCCATGATTATTCCATTCGTAACCCCAACCAGCACTTCCAGCGTCACCACGAATACGAGGACCCTTAGAATTACTCCAGATCCAGGTTCAAATGATCTATCTTCACTCCCAACAATGGCGCGTGAAACTGGGATGCATGCACATCCCTTTCACCAAAACCACCACTAGGCCTTGGCCTTGGAATAGTGGCCTTGAACGCCAACGCTTGATCCCACCAAACCGCAACAACCTCATCTTCCCTTCCTTTCATTTGATACAGTTCTGCGATGACCCCAGCTGAGAGCACTGGTGGATCTGCAGCTTTGATTTTGTGGTATATATGCGCCGAGGTGGCTGGGAACATCACGTCAAGTGTCAACTCGAATGGGCCAGCGTTTTTGGAGCGAATAACCTTTGCGGCGTCGGATAGGTACACCGGTTTACCGTTATTATTTTCCTTCTCCGGCACTGGCGGAGATGGACGAGGGGCTGAATGAACTGAATTCTTCTCCGGGCCGGCTGCGCTCTGACCATCAACGTCCTCGTCTTCTATTCGAGGTTCCTTCCTCGAATTGATATCAACCACGACGGTCTTAACGAATGAATCGGGATCCTCAACCACCATCAGATGGTACACACTGAACTCACACACAGCCCCCATCTCAATATCCAACGGGCTAAACGGCATTGCCATATTACCTGCCGTCGCCAGCTGCCCTGGATATGGACCATGAACACAAGCAACCCTCGCAGTGCTGCAGATCAATGTAGCCAGTTCTTGCGTCTCTGCCTGTACTTCTCCAATAATACACAACTCGTGTGGGGAAGGCTCGATGACGGGTTCAAACGCGCCCATGACGCCGTCCTTGCCATAAGTGTGGAAGAGTATTTTGTATTCCACACCGGGATTCTGCGCTGTGACATACTTTTCAACTTTCTGAAGAAATCCTTCAATTTGTGCGATAAGTATCGGGTCCCTGATCCCACCAATAAAGATACTGCGATACCCGCAGGACCTCGCGCCTTCGAGCTTAAGTGTGTACTTGCCCGCAGGGGCCGGAACAAACAAGCCTCCTTGGACCCTGACACTTTTTCCATCTGGCAGCTCTTTGTAGTCAGACACGGTCAAATCTAGATACCCTCCAGGTCCCAACAGTATATCTGGACGCGCCTTCTCATATAACGTATGTGCCGCCACACTCAGCGTGGTGCATCGCGACCCTTCATCCAGCGGCATAATATCAAAACTATTCTCCCGTACCGTTGCCAAGGCACTCTTACATTTTGGCACTGCGCAGAGGCCCCCACACTCCATGATCTTTCCCATGTGGTAGCTTACACCTAGCCCTATTCTACCCCCGCTCTTGAAAGAGCAAAAAGCTGCATAGGGCGCCGGATCGTACGCACGTCCAGTCAGAATGATATCAAAATCGGGATATGATTCCATGGCCGCCAGGATGGACTCGTGGCCGATTTGAGCGACCACTTGAGGTGTTTCATCGAGTAGCTCTGGTGTAAGTGCATGCACCGGGCCGCATGGACTGATCTTACCAGCAGCGAGGTGCTGTAGGATGGTAGGTTTGGGAATCTCGGTATAGAGGGTTAAAACCTTAAAGGAGTATCCATGTTTTTCGGAGAGGGCATTGACGATATTGAGGAATAAATCGACGTGATCGTTGGAGCCGTCACCGCCACAAGAGCTGATGATGACGGGGAGCTTATACTTGTGGCAGGCCGCAAGGAGGGGGGTGAGGTCGCGGACGTAGGAAGCCTTGGGAGTAGTGGTTTGTCCGAGCGCTAGCTTTTGAGGACCAGAATCGGTAGAGCCAGAGTCCATAATTATTGCATTAGGGCGGTGGGTGAGGATACTGGAGATAAGAAGGGGAGTAGAGAGGCCATAGCCTAGCATGCCTATGGGCGTGAGGATCTTGACCTCTTGGGAAGATCCATTAGAGCTACTAGGGCTGTTAGAGAAATGAGCTTATTTTAAGGGTAATGATTCACTAACCAGTTTCCAGACATGTTTGAAATAGGCAGTAGGTAGGTAAGTTTTAGGTATTCGGGGGGCAGTACAGTGCAACTGATAATGTTAGAAAAAAAGTCTTGGAATCCTCTACCAGTTTATATCTTCCAAGTGAGAAAGAACCTGAGCGAAATTCGCTTTACTCCCGTGTATCCGGCTACATCTGTGCACATAAGTAAACACGATACAGACCGAACCCCTGGCAGGAGGAGTAGCTGCAATGTCTGTCGAATCAGGTCCCATGCATTGCTAAGAGGCAGTATATATCCGCTCTATTGAAGACATGATATGCTCCACGTACTCTATGTAAGCACGCGTAGTCTACTCCATCGTGTTTAGTTATGCTTAAAAACGCCCCTCCGGAGCAGCTGCCGTTGAGTGAGTTAAAACCCTAAATAGAGGGTGCCAAGCCTTATCATTGACTCCTACTTTCGGCTTCCCAGGCGAATCTCGCTTTGGGGGGGCTAAGCCATTTCTGGCCATACTATCATTACGCGGCAACCCAAAATGGGTAGTAACCCTAGTTTCCTCTGAGGAATTGTGAACTGGGGTAATGATGGTTTAGAGGGTTTTCGCTGTAGATCTACCAGAGTAGATGAAAGCTTTATAAGACCTGGATGAATTCGTTTCATTCCCTATCGACCCAATATTATAGTTAACAGCAATACCGAATAACCGCCATTGAATTGTCTAGAACTTGTTAAACTCCATATCAATTTTCCCATTTTCACAATCATTGACATTCGAGCAATGGCGTCACCAAGCCACCGAAACAACTACAAACCTACTCTCGAACAAGTAGAATCCATGGCCGCCACCCCGCTAACGGACGTTAGCCAGCAAGCTCGGCAGGAAAGCCCGACACCTCCGAGCACCGCTGCTGACTCAATCCAATTGCAAAAGGATGGGCTCCCAGAGTCCGAAACCTCCACACTTGTCACTAGCGCGTTTGAGCGGCGCCTGGTGTGGAAGATCGATCTGTTTATCCTGCCCATCCTGATCACGATAAACTTCCTCGCGCAGATGGGCCGCTCGGATATTGCGAATGCGAAGATCGCCGGCATGGGCGACGACCTGGCGATCACGCCGAGCAAGTACTCCATGCTGGGGAGCATCTTCCTCATAGGCTACACGGTCTTTCAGCCGGCGGGTACACTGTTCCTGCATCTGTTGAGTGCGCCGGTACAGTTTGGGGGCGCTATGCTAGCGTGGGGTTTAGTTACTATATGGTAAGCATTTTAGTCTCCTTTGAGTAGTTTAGTATTTATGAACACTCTTAATCAAAAAACATATATATCACATTCCTAATCAACCCTTTAATTAATAATAAGTTGGACCCTCGGCTAATAATGGAAAATATATAGCCATCTTCAGGGAAACACCTACACTGCTGTTCTCGTACTCAGGTTCTTTGTTGGTACCGCAGAGGCTTTCGTCCAGGGTACGGTCCTGTACTTGTCCTTCTGGTATACATACCGCGAGCTTGCTCTCCGTGGTTCCATTTTCCACGCCACCAGTTCACTGGCTGGTGCATTCAATGGACTTATTGCCTATGCTATCACTACCACACTTAACGGCGTCAATGGATGGCCTGCGTGGAAGTGGATCTTCTTCATTGAAGGGGTATGTATCTCCCTCCACCCTATCCCTTCTTTCCTCAAGACATCATACTCATAATGTGCTTTATAGCTGGTCCCATTAGTCTTCTCCCTCGTAGTATTCTTCCTCCTCCCCTCAATCCCCGACAAAGCCAAATTCGGCTTCTCCCAAGAAGAACGAGACCTCCTTGTGAAGCGCTCCAGAGCAGCGCACAACACCGCCGACACCAAGCTCCGCCCCAATCTCGTCTGGAAGGCGCTCCTCGATCCCAAGGTAATCCTCCTGGGGCTCCTCGCCGGCGGAACCCACTTCGCCATGTCCTCGCTCTCGAACTTCATGCCCGACATCATCCTCGGCATGGGCTTCTCGGACGTGAACGCGCAGCTTATGTCCGTCATCGTCTATGTGTGCGGCACCGTCACGACGCTGTTTGCGGGCTGGATCTCGGACAAGATCAACCGCCGTGGAATCCCGCTGATGATTTCGCTGTGCGTGATGGTGGTGGGATATGTAATGCTGCTGGTGACGACCTCGCTGCAAGCCAGGTTTGCGGCGACGTGTTTGTTGGCGATGGGGGGCTTCCCCGCGGCGGTGCTGACGCTCATGTGGATGGTGGTTAACGTGGTGGGGTACACCAAGCGTGGAACGACACTGGCACTCATGAATATTGTAGGCCAGGTGTGTGGGATTGGCGGGAACCAGGCGTATAGTGATCCACCGTTGTACCACAAGGGGCATGGTGCCAGCTTGGGAGCGGTGGGGGGCTCGCTGCTGGTTTGCGCGATAATATATGGGTATCTCACTTGGTTGAACAAGGAGAAGAAGAGAAAGCAATGGGGTGAGAAGGCGGCCAAACTGAGAGACGTGAGTTATGATATTATTGGAGACGACCATCCAGACTTTTTTTATACACTTTAAGTGTATGTTTGTAGTGGGGTGTTCCACTGGACTGGGGGTGTCTAGCTCATTGCATGCGTGATGGCTAGTTCGATTCTGTAAATCGTTTTACTACATTCTTTTGGTTTTAGATAGTTCTTTTGTATTTCTGGCTACCTTTGGTTCCGATAGTTTCTTCTGTTTCTTATAAAAAATTTATCGTCTTCTCCTCATGTTAGGAGCACTTTGAGAAAATTATCCTCTTTGCATTGTCTACAGTCCTGCAATTATTGCAAGCTAGTTCGATCCTATAAATTCTCTTCTTCCTAGGCCTTTCCCACATTCTTTTGTTGTAGATTTTTATTTTGTATTGCTGGCTATCTTTGGTTCGATAGTTCCTTCGGATTTGTCGCCATCTCTCTAAATTTAAGTTAAGAGCGAGTACTGTCTTTTCTGCGTTATCCCAATTGTAAGCAGGGTTCCGAGCAATTAATGAATTAAACAAAAAAAAAGCAGGGTTCCGAAATGGTAAATAGTATCATTGATACCTAGCTCCTAGCTGAAACAGGCGTAAAGTACCCACACTAGTCTATATTCGTAACTGTCAACACTCCTAGCGTCAGTCTTTAACAACCTAGCCCAATCAAATTATAAACCCCATCAATCAAAGCTTCATGATAGTGCAAAACCTAAAAACGCCTTGGAGCGACAGGGAGAGATGAACTCAACCTCACCAGGGTCAATTGCTTATTTTACCCAGGGCCCTGCGAGCTAGTTAACTGTCTCAGGATGAATACGAAGCCAAGAGTTTTCCCCTCTCTCTCCCCTTTCTTCAGCGCCTTCATTGCCAGTACCCATGCCTCCCTCCTCCCTCAAAGAAAACCTTCCAGAACAAATATAATCTCCGTCAACCCCTCCAAGGCACCCTGGCCGTGACGTCGGAGGCAGTTCCGCAGACGGTCAGTAATCACAGAATCAGCCCCAATAAGTCTTGGCAACATCTACAACCTCACCTCGCCAGTCCGGAAGCCGGCCAGCTAGCTATCACCGCCTTGGCTGCCGCGTAATCCAGATTTTTATTCTCCAGTGCTACAAATACCCTGATTTATCTGTCTATAGAAATTGCTGCTTAAAACGAGTGACCAAGCTAAAAAACCAGAGCAAAATGTCTTCAACCACACCATCAATCATTAGCGACGGCGGCGACACCGGCGGGAAAGAGAAGACCGCACGGAGAAGCACTGCGAGACCAGCAAACACCGGCGGCCAGGTGAAGCGTAAGCGGACACAAAACGCGTGCACTACATGTCGCCAGCAAAAGGTAGGATATATACCTCTCCGACTCTATATGCCATGCCCATTTATCCGTGTCCAGAGAGGTCTAATTCGTAATTAAAAGCTGCGATGCGACGGACCGAGTAAATTCCCAGCGCCATGTTCAAGATGTGCAAGTCATAATCTTCAGTGTAAGGTGGATCCAACGTTCAAACGGACACCGGCAAAACAGTATGAGCTTCCCATTGTGGTACAAGCAACACCCAGAGGTATTTTAGGCTTGATAAGATTGCAACCGCACCTTTGCTTAATCTTATCAAATCCCAAGAGATCTCTCGAAATTGTTTAAATTGAATATAACTGATCGAGAAAAAGACGGTTAGAGCAGGTATCCAAACAGCTAGAATCCATGCGGGAGAAGCTAGAGCTCAGGCCGGCGCATTGGCAGTCTTCTATTGATGGAGAGAAAACCATTAGCACTCCAAGTGAAACTCAGACAGATGCACCACCCGCGCCCATATTCCCAGTTTTGGATAGTTCTCTTCTTCCGGCGGGGGTAGCAAATGTTGATATTGCCCTTGAATGGATGATAGAACTTTTTCATGAGTAATTATGTCCCGTTTGTAGGTCCATGGGGAACTATAATTAATCTTGATCTATAGATACCATGCAAACTATCATCCACACTTACCTATAATCAACCCCACGATCCCAATAGAGACGATATATACCGAGTCTCCTCTCCTCTTCAAAACGATTCTCTTTATCGTAACCCGTCACAATGCCCATTCAATGTCTAGGGATTTCCATAAACAGCTCATTGATCCAATACGAGAATCTATTGCTGACTTGTCAATAAATCCAAACGATTCGGCTCTCGATATGAATATTCAAGCTCTCCTTCTCCTTGGTTCATGGCCACTCCCATTCGCCAAGCAGAGTGACGATGGCAGCTGGCTATATTGCGGTATTGCCACACATCTTGCTATGCAGAATGGATTCCACAGGCCCGGCTTTGCCCAAGAGTTCCGGGAGAAATGTTTCTCTCGAGATGATCTAAAGGTTAGAACCATGAGCTGGATAGCCTGTTTCCTTATCAATTTCTCGTACGTGCCCCTCAAAATGTTCTCCAAAATATGTGGTCCCTCAATACTTATACTCACATCTACAGGCTCTCTCTCAAGCTCGGCGTACCCTGCACAATCACTCCGGACTTCACGATTCGAAATCCATCCACCGAGCTGCCTCCAAAGCTGAAGCACCACCTAGTGATTGCCACCGCCTGCTCCAATTTCATTCCAGCACTTTCCAATAACCCCTTCAGTGCGACGGGTCTCATTGAGCCCTCATCCCGCTGGTCTCTTGTGCAGCTTTTCGATAGCGAGCTTGAAGCTCTCCTCACCTCAAACCCTTCATTCCCTGAGAGCGAGATCCTTCTGCTCACAAGTAGACTGCACATTCAAACTTTTGTCATGCATGATGATATTCAATCCACCATAGGGTCTTTGGAGACCTCAGGCGTAATGATCAAAGCTTTCCGCACTGCTGTAAAGCTCATCACGGTCATTTCCAGTGAGCGTAAGAAGGGAGTCTTACAATACTACCCAACATATATCAATCGCTCGCTGGTGCTCGCGTCCTTGTGGTTGCTGAAACTGATAGCATTCTCGCACGCTCGCGAGCCGTCACCACTACTTGATACGCAGGCGATCGAGACTGCGGAGAACCACATAAGAGAAGCGTATACGCTACTAGAGGGATTCTCAATAGTGGATGCAGATGAATCAATGAGAGCCGCAGCTTTCGTAGAGGCAATTGGAGGCGGTGGAAAGAGTGCTAACGGGTGGTGGGGGGAGTCGGTGAGGATGAGGAGCCGCATGGGGTCCGGCCTGTATTATGACGCCATCTGGGAGAAGAAGGAGATTGAGAGAGCGGGCTTGAAGCCAGCTGATATGGCAGAGGGCGGGCATGGAAATGGTAGTGGTAGTCGTGATGGTGATGGTAAGAATGGTGACAATACTACCACTGCCCGATCACCTTTCTGCTGCTCCAACATTAGTACTGACAATGAGGCTGTAGAGGTATCAAATAATAGAGATATTCCAACGGTGGAGGTACATCCACCTGAGGGGGCAACGTGGAATTGGGCTGATTTAGATTCGGTGCCAATTGATCAAAGCTTTTGGGGTATGCTGGGTGATCGTGATGGATTTGTGTCGTGGGATAACTCATGGGATATCTTTGGTTTAAATCCTCCACCGATAGAAGGTTGAGAGGAAATATGAAGAGGAAAGGTCCAAGGTTTCTTGGGATGTACATAATATATAGAATAAATACCACCGGCTTAGCCAAGGCTGAGAAAAAGGCACCCCTAGCATTTATTGACCTTGGCAACCCTGAGGCTGTACAAACAGCATGTGTACAACTGTGTTCGTTGTGGTGGGTGCATGGGGTTCTCGGTGCGACAGCCGAAGGGCAATGTAATCTCAGCGGTGTATTCAACGCCTAAGCTGCTGGCTGACAGTGCGAACATAGCCCTGTGTATGCTGAATCAATGTAATCACAGTCTATCACTCGCTAAACACAAAAGATGGCAGGAAGCCTCAAACTAGATGATAAGGGTTATCACCAAGAACTACCAACCCGCAATTGCTCACAAATCAAATCAACTTCAAAACCATACAGACAGTCGTAGTGTCATGAGATAGCGTTCTATTCAGGAGCTACGCTGGACACCTTATGATACCACATATTCTTACACTTACTCTACGGAACGAATAATATGCGTTCACAATTGCAATTATCGATTAGATTTAGTTTTGGTAAAGCGTAAGCTCGAGACCACAAACCAAAACAAATACTTATTGTTATGCAGCAGAAATCAATTTCTATGATATCTATACTATACTGCGACCCGACCCCCGCAAAAGCCGAAAGAAAAGAAACCTACAGGAACGCCGATTCCTCCCTCTACTCTAATCCCGCTAGACTCTCAGCCTCTAGTCCAAGATCTCCTCCACCTTCTTCTCCGCCTTCTCGGCCACTGAGGGATCCACACCCTGCTGGTTCAAGAAACTCAAGTACGAGTTCCACCCTACACACGCACCATTAATTAGCCCCACACCGCACACACCGCACACCCAGCACAGCAAAAGAAACACATACCCAACGAGATAACGTTGACCACCAACAACCGATGATTCAACGGCACCAACTTGAAGTTGACCAACTGCACCGCCGGCCACACCATCCAGTTCGTCTTCAGCCCCGTCCAATAGTTCGCATCCAACTTCTCCGCCGGGCTGCCGCCCTCCAGGACCGACAGCGTCGAGAAGAAGAACAGCATGTTCAGCGGTGTAAAGATCAGCTGGTCGCACGCGACGCGCGCCACAATCTCTGCGTTCGGCTTGCCGGGGAACTTGATTGAGCGCTCGAGGAAGCGGTACCAGTGCACGACCATGGGGCCGAAGATGACTATGTGTGCGGTGCGCGGTTAGATAGTGGTAAGAGGGAGTAGGGCAGGTGCGGAGGGGAAGGGGAGAGGAAGGGGAGAGGTACTGCCACCGTAGCCACCCATGCGCGCGGTGCGCATCATGTCGTGGTTGTCGAGGCCTTTGCGCTCAACGAGTTGTTGGGCGATTATGTCGCCAGTGCCGAAGAGGACCTGAATTTGAAAAGTCAATTGTGCATTCTGATGGAGAAGGGCGGATTGGATTGGCTTACACCGGTAGTGATGCATTGAGTGAGCAATGGCCGGGCCGCCAGGCGAGCTTGATACCTATTCCCACAACCGCATTAACTCCCACTCTTCTCGCTAAGCGGGGTGCGCTGAGTAGCAAAGCAAACCTACCAACGAAGCATTGTAACAGACGTTCCTTACAAAAAAAGGCTATGGAAGAGAAGGAATGTATGGAGCAGTGAAGAAGAAGACCGGTGGTTGTGAAAATTCTCAGCAGGTCGGCTTCCCCACAGCTTCCTTTTGTTGTTTAGCAGAGCAGAGCTGGTGGGGTTTTTTTGCGGGTCTGCGAGGGGTTGCGCAGCCTAATTGCAACCGATCCCTGCGCATCGTCTGCAGGGTCCGCCGCCCGCACATGACGTCAGGCGGATGCGTTGCCCAATGCGGAAGTCTTCGCGGGAAAAGATGTTACTGCGATCATTGGCTTTTGGTTTTGTGGCTGGGCGAGTGATGGGGGGTGACGATCGATGGCGGGAGAGGGGCGCTTCTTGCTACAGACATCGCTAGGATTGTGTTTCAGGCGTCGTCCTCGTCGGTGTGAAGGTAAAAAAGCTATGAGGGATTTATTGAGACAACTGTGGCTCGTGGGGTGGGTTCTCTAACTGACATTGGTATTGAGGTTGGATAAGTTGCCTTTCTCGTCTTCTCAATGCTCGAGTACATAAGTCCGTATAACTCTGGTAAGTATTTATAAGGGTGAGTCTTCTCCCCCTGCGGAGTATCCTTGCGCAACTGCCTTCAGACGCAGAGCGTCAGCAACTTGCGTCACGCATATTCATGAAGTATCACTCGACATGTAAACATACTCCACGCGACTAGCTTTGAGTAGAGGGGAGAGTCAGAAGGTGAAGGAGAGAAAGGGGAGAAAATAAGAAGCGGGGTGTGCGAGAAGCGAGTGAAGAGGAAAGGGAAAGCGATACAAGAAAACGCGTAAACCGAATCCGCTCAATCCGAGGCCCTAACCACCCTCTCCACCGTGTCTCCGTTCCATCCCTCAAGGAAAATCTACAGTGGTTGTTCTGGCGGGCTCGTTGTCTAGATTCCAATTAATCCCTCCTGCTCATCTACCGCATTATGCATGCTAGCTCCATGGTCACTGCATGTCTTGACTTTAGTAAGGGTGATCCAAGTTAATGATACGTCGTGCAGTAAAGATGTATTCTCATTTTTTTCTTTTTTTCTTTTCATTTGATAACTTCAATTAGTTATGTGTAACCATCTAAGATTCTAAACAATTAAAATCTTTGCCATAGGCCTCTTCTACAACAAGAGAAATAAGTGTGAAAGTGAGGAGAGGAAAATCCCCGAAAGTGCTCGTGGCTTATTAATTGCTTCTCTAAAATATGAGGTGGGTATCCCAGCGGTGTAAGCACACATTCCTCAATCCATTTGCTTATCAGATCAGACATGATTTGAACGCTTCTGTTGGCTAGAAACAGATCTAGTGATTCTCACCAGATCCTACACCCTGTCCTTCCCCCGCCTGTTCTCCCGCAGCCCCACCATCCCCACTACCTTCACCGGCATCTCCCTTCTTCACCGGCTTAAAACACAGCTTTGCCTGCTTCAACCCGTTGTCCGGCTTAAAACACAGCTTCGTCTGCTTCAACCCGTTGTTCGGCTGAGTGATCTCCCTAGAAAACCTTCTTTCCCCAGGAAACGGCTTCCTCAACTCATACCCTGCAAACCTGAACGTCTCCTCTGCGAGAGCAACACTAGGATCGAACGGAAGCTTACGCCTACGTCCATCCAGCTCCTCTTCCTTCACGATAGTAAGGAACTTCTTAACGCCCGATAATGCAGCCTCGACTGTCTGCTCGTCTTGAATCCAGGCGTTAGTGAAGGCGACGGTGGACTTGGAAGTATCTCCTGTTGTTTGGTTAGCTATTGCGGTATTTGGAAGAGAGGTAGAGCGGGACTATACGTTCTTGAAGGAAGACTGGGGCGGTGGGTGGGCGCGACATTGTGATATCGATTGATTGAGTGATTGATTAATGTTTTCGTTATAGAAAAACGGGCGTGATTCGTATTTTGCTCCTGCCTTGTAGATTGCTTCTGTCAGTAAGTCTGGTTAGACGGTCATTCTACATTTCGTGCTGATTCTAGTGACTGTAGAAGGTAATGTGCAGTACTTGTTAAAAGAGAGGATGGGTATGAACCTATGCTAGTACTAATGCCTGGAGGATGAGATGAGGCAGAGAGCGGGGTGAATCGTTGTGTGGAAAAGTGTCAAAATAGTAATGACGGTGGTATTAGCAGATGATGATGTTGGTAGGTGATGCTCAGATGGCAGCACACAATTGTTGTCTCTCGGTCTCATACTTTTAGCTAGGTTACCTTCCAGTCTCTCCCACTGTTATCGGTGTGTCGGCCTCAGAGTGACTGTGAATGCGCGAATCTTTGAGAACAACAACGCCTGGAATGCTCTACTTGATACTACAGATGAGCCCCACTCCCCGCTCTGAAAGTCACCTCATAGAGAACAAGGACCAGAGATGGTACATATCTCGACCTGTGGATCTTCGGACCTTGATACTACTGGCCGCCAGGCGTTTATGCTCCTTGGTTTAATATAGCCATAGGTATCTATGATGCCAGCAGCTAGTCAAGGAACACAGTGAAGCCGCAGCTAGTGGAATTACGACTTGAGCACGGGAGAACGCTGCGCCATGCAGAAATGGGACAATGCCGGCGACAAGAACTGCTGAAAAGAGACAGACATCAGGGTTTGCATCGCAAGAACACAATGGACAGTATGAAGGAAAAGGGTACGGCAAGACGATAGATATGCACTGTGGCCTACATGCGCTTAAGTCACCAGTTCGAGCGTTTCCCTTCCCCACGCCTTCCAAGTGGGTTCTCATGCGTCATGAGAAATCACTCATGAGTGAATGCTTGGCTGGCTGGGCGTGAGTGCCATGCATCTCAATAGTCAAAATCTTATAGAGACTATCAAGACTGCCAGTCTAGCGATTTTTGCCGCTGTTATCCTCAAAGTCTCTAAAGGACTGTGCGGAGATGCTAATCAACCTTCACCTTCAACACAGTGAGATGGGTTTTATTTACCAGCCTCGTCCTGTACACGGGTGACAAAAGCGCTATGCACCGAAGAAGAAGTTACAGGCGCAAGTAATCATACAAAGATTTATCAATATATACACAAGCAAAAAAAAGAGAGAAAAATCGTAAGGAGATGTCGCCGTGGGGACTAAACGCTCGTGTTGAGATTTGAGTTCACAGCGTGTCACTCGAGCTCTGGTTACCCAGTCCACGCCGCATGTAACATTCGGAGATACGAGAGTAGACTCAAGTAGTACATGCAGTTTGCAGTCCCCTTACATTAACTATACAGGAGGAGTGATACCTGCAGTGTCACCCCCGCAGAACGCCTTACTCGACCTCGGGTTCGGACGACACCAGATAATGTTGCAGTTGGAAACGTCAAAATCCCCTCAAACTTAATTTTTAAGGATGGCTCTCGTGATAGTAAAAGTCACATCGCGAAGTTAGGCCTGCGAACGGTTTATGCACGGCACTAAATGTCGGAATACTTTTCGTCGATTCCTTCACAATCCACAAAATTATCTGCACAATGGCATTATGAACAGAACTGTAGCCCTCTCCACCACGGCAAATCCAAATTCCTGTCATAAACCGGACCGGCGCTGCATGAGGCCCGATTCTAAATAATCTCGATCATGACAGAGATTGGCATAGTAGCACTTTTTCAAATCGAGTAATGATATGCCGTCACACAAGATTATTATCATAGCGATTGCTGTTCAGATTAACAACGGTTTTTCTCGGGGGTTTTGAAGACCCCTCCGGAGCCTGAGTTTACTCCCCATGGCTGATCCCCGACCACGGGTCCCGCTCCCGGGTTCATCTTGTCGGCATAAAGCCGACCTAGCCTAGCTAGCCAGCTGTCAAGCTCACTCCGGGCGCTAGCAATTCGTCTAGTTACACTCTGTTTCAGCTCTGTATTCTTTTTCTCCCATCTTTTCTCTTTTTTCTTTTCTTCATGCCCCCCTTCGTTACGGATATAGCAGCGCGGATGGGTAATTCTCACAGGATCGCCAGCTAGGTTCTGGGTCGCACTTCTACCTGTCCAGAGTGTCGATATGAGGGTCCGTTTCGGATATCCGGCTGAATTGGTATATATCTGGATATGGGACATCTCTACTTAAGACCCGGGAGAAATAACTATGGGCGGCGGGCCATGCCATGCCAACAGACAGGTAGGCGAGCAGGCACCTTATCATAATATTAGGCAGGGCACGCGAGCAGTTTCTCAACTCATTTTTTTTCTTCCATTTTTATTTTTTTGCGACATTTCTCCTCTTCCCTTGCGGTGAGAAGACTAGAGCCGGGAATCGCCTAGAGCAAAACTAGCTCTTCCAAATCGGACAGAACTGACGATGTTGAGTCCGTTCGAGTAGGTAACCAAATGTGAAGTGTGTGAAGCGCATCAACTGTATGAACTGAAGGACATGAAGAAACCTGAAGGGAAAAAAAAGCCCGATAGACGAAAGATTTAGGCCTGGTGCAATTACACGTTTGTGGCCCTCGATAGGCGCCAAGAGGCTGCACTGCATCGGGCCGCATATCGGCCATCCTTGCTTGTGAGAGAGAGAGAAGGGCCAGCCGACCAGTCGCAATCGATGAGTGAGATGTGAACGAATGTGAGGTGAGAGGTGAGGGTAGTGAAGGAAGATCAAGCAGCAGTATCAGTAGCAGAAAGAAGCAAGTGTGGGCGTGTCCCATCTCTGTCCGTCTTTTCCTTCTCCTCCTCCTCCACTCACTTCACTCCTTCTCTTTCTTTTCCCACTCCTCATCTTCCTCCTCCTCCTCCGAGTGAGAATTTTTCCCGTGTGAAGTTACACACTGTGTTTTTGTTGGAGCACCTCAATTCCGCTGTTCTGTTCTCGCCTGTTACTTGAAGGAGAGAAGGGAATCACTCACTCACTCACTCACTCACTCACTCCACTCCATCTCACTTGTCGTTGTTGCTTCCTCTCCTCCGCCCAACTACCTCTCTCTCCTCCTCTGCGTCCCCCCAATAATAACAAAGACGTCATCTCGTGCCCAACCCTAGAGACCGCCCATCATGAAGTATGTTCCGTTCTGTTCTGCTGCCCACGAACCCTTAATTCGCGTCTCGAGCAGACTCCACGCGAATTGAACCTCGCTCCAGAGACAATGTGCTGATGCGTAGATTCCCCACCACTGTAGATTCGGCCAGCAGCTCCGCACATCACTGATCAAAGGTATTACACAATTCCCCACGTTCTCTCTCCCACTTTCGTGATAAAAAAAAGAAAAACCACACAATTCCATGAAAAAATTTGCTCAACAGTCCAAATCTAGATTACAGCCACCAGTACATCGCCTACGATGACCTCAAGTCACAGCTGAAATCGCGTCTGTACCCCTCCGGCACGGACCCCGCCACCACCTCGCCCACGCAATGGACCGAGGAGGATGAGAAGGAGTTTGTGCAGGCTCTCGAGGTCGAGCTCGACCGAGTCTTCAACTTCCAGAAGCTGCGCTCCAGCGACATTGTCCGCCGCATCAAGGTGTCGGAGAAGGAGGTAGAGGACGTCGTCAAGAAGCTCGACTCGCGCCCGCCGGCGAGGCGCCAGAATGCGGCGCCCGGTGTGCAGGGCGAGGATGGGGACGAGGCGTCAGGTCCCACGGAGGAGGACTTTGAGATGCTGGAGGCGGACTTGAGTGATATCATTGCGGATGTGCATGATCTGGCGAAGTTTACGCAGCTGAATTACACGGGGTTTCAGAAGATTATTAAGAAGCATGATGTGAGTTTTTTGTTATTTTTTTGCGCAATTGGGTGGTTTGAGGGGATAATGGCTAATTACCGCGGCGGGTAGAAACAAACGGGGTGGATGCTGAGACCGATCTTCTCGGCTCGTCTGAATGCAAAGCCGTTTTTCAAGGACAACTACGATGCGTTTATTGTCAAGCTCTCAAAGTTGTATGACTTGGTCAGGACGAGAGGAAACCCGACTCAGGGTGACAGCAGTGCTGGTGGGTCGCAGCAGAACTTTGTGAGGCAGACTACAAAGTACTGGGTGCACCCGGATAATATCACAGAGTTGAAATTGATTATCCTGAAGGTACGGGGAGCTTCTAGTATATACAGCGCACACAAGCTTAATAGCTGCTAACGAGTTTTTATTTACAGCATCTTCCTGTGCTAGTTTTCAACCCAAACAAAGAGTTCGAGACACAAGACTCCGCAATCTCTTCAATTTACTACGACAACAGTGATTTCGACCTCTACACCGGCCGTCTCCGCAAAGATGAAGGTGCTGAAGCCGTCCGTCTCCGTTGGTATGGTGGGATGGACGTCTCCACAATCTTCGTTGAGCGCAAAACCCATCGTGAGGACTGGACCGGTGAGAAGTCAGTCAAGGCCCGTTTCTCGCTGAAGGAGAAGAACGTCAACGCGTTTCTCAACGGCGAGTACACTGTCGGCCAGGCATTCGAGAAGATGCGCAAGGAGGGCAAGAAGAGTGTCAAGGAAATTGAGCAGTTGGAGGCGCTTGCAAGAGAGGTCCAGTACACAACCATCACCAAGCGCCTTCAGCCCGCTGTCAGGTCGTTCTACAACCGTACTGCCTTCCAGCTTCCTGGCGATGCTAGGGTCCGTATCTCGCTCGATACCGAGCTCTCTCTGATCCGTGAGGACAACTGGGACGGCACCATCCGTTCCGGCAAGAACTGGCGCCGTATGGACATCGGAATCGACTGGCCCTTCAAGCAGCTCCCCGAGAAGGATATTGAGCGTTTCCCATACGCGATCCTCGAAGTCAAGCTCCAGACCCAAGCTGGCCAGGAGCCACCAGAGTGGGTCCGTGAATTGGTTGCCTCCCATCTCGTAGAGGCAGTACCCAAGTTCTCAAAGTTCATTCACGGATCTGCGACGCTGTTCCCGGATAAGATCAATCTTCTGCCCTTCTGGATCCCCCAGATGCACATCGATATCCGCAAGCCCCCCACCCACAGATTCGGAATTGAGAGGCCAAGCCACAGCGCTAGCATCTCAACATCTGACGATCCATTCGATTCCGATGAGGACGAGGACCTCAGCGACCAGGACACGAACATCCAGAGGATCAGATCTGCCGAGCGCGCTATGGAGTACTCTGACCGTGTTGAGAGGACGCACAATGGCGGAGGTGCCCGCGGAGAGCTTGATGAGGAGGAGCGTGCGGCGGATGAAGAGCCAAGAGACGAATACCAGCTTTATGACAGTGAGGATGAGGATTCCTATGAAGAGGCTAGAAACGGGAGACGGAACAAGCCACTCAAGAGCGTCGTTATGGACGGACTCTTCCAGGCTGGTAATGTGCTGAAGAGCCTTGTTCCTAAGCCAAGGAGCACGGAGGCAGATACTCTGAATCCTCAGGCGCCGGTCCAGGGCATGGTCTATGCCCGCAAGTTTAAGGCACCTCCAGGCAAACGTAAGTCATCCTTTGTTCTTTCACTGGTCCTGATATATATCTAACAAATAACAGGCATTTTCGTCCCCGTCCGTGTTGAGCCCAAGGTTTACTTCGCCGCCGAGCGAACCTTCCTATCCTGGTTCGAGTTCTCCATCTACCTCGGTGCCATCGCCGGAACCCTTCTCAACTTCGGAGACCGCCTCTCGCTGTACTCTGCATGGGGTTTCACTGTAGTCGCTGTTGTGGCACTGCTGTACAGTATGGGGCTGTATCTGTGGCGTGTGGATAAGATCTCGAAGAGGAGAGCCGTCAGGTACCACGACAAGTACGGGCCGACGGGGCTTTGCTTCTTGTTGTTTATTGCCGTGGCGTTGAATTTTTACTTCAGATATGGCGAGTCGAAGAAGTAGGACTAATGTTGATGATGACGGGATCTGGATGATGAAGGTTGGTATGATTAGGGGTTGTAACATCAGTGTCGGTATTTTTTCTGCAGTGTTTGTTTGGGTGCTATGTCTTGTATGGTGTCTCTGTATCATGATGGGGTGCGTGTTGTGCGCTGCTGCGTTCTTTTCTTTTACTTTACTATGTTTTTTTTGATTCCTTATTGCGTTGTTTGGACTTGTCGAGAGAGAGATTAATTCGCAAATTTTGCTTTGTCCTGTTCGCTTCAATGTATAAATAGGTACTGCTTGAACACTTGATCTGATTGCTTGCATTGCTTATTTTGCTGATTGACTTCTACAAACCATTATCTCTGTATCTATCCTGCCCCCCGGCTGTTTATGTTTATCTTTGTGTCCGTTTATGTGTACGAAACTCTTAACGAAATACCTACTACTCTCACTATTCATTCATACTCTCACCAATTCGAGAAAAAAAAAGAAGGAAAAAAAGGAAAAGGAAAGAAAGGAAAGGAAGAAAGAAAAAGCTGGCCATTCGCCCATGGCCAGTTCTACTCTATTTCTATTCCTAGCCCGGACCGCATGTACTCTAACACCTCACTCCTCTTACAAGTAGATGCCCAACTCCTCCCTCGCAAACCCCTCCACCAGCTCCTTCCTACTCAACATCTCCCCCCTCTTCCCCTCCGCAATCCCCTTTGCCGCCAGCCACGCATCGTACTTTCCCACCACCTCCTTCAGCAGCGCCTCGCTCTGCAGGTGCTGTTCCTCGTAGTCAATCTCCCCCACCACCACCTGCTTGCCCTCCTCCTCAGAGGTCGGCGTGGCAGTTGCGGAATCCTTCCCGGCCTTGGGGAACTCGGGCCAGCTGGGCTTCATCTTGAAGTTGTGGGTTAGGGTTTTTGATGGCGGTGGTAGTGAGGTAGGGTTTGTTTATGTATGCGAGAGAGACCGATTGGTTCGTGGAGGTGGAATCGGGGTTGATGGTAATGATTTTAGGTTGGTTTGGCCTTTGGCTCTAAGGGGTAGCTGGGCGAGGGTAAGTGAGGTAGGGGAGTCTAGATGGGGACTAGCGTGGGTTGGGTTGTTGGTTGTTGGTTATTGGGTATTGTCGGATTTGCGGATTTAATATATCTGAGGGGGGAGGAGAGATGGAGGACCAGAGAGAGAGAGGGATGGGTGCTGGCTAATATATTTATATGCAGTGGATTGGTAATAGAATGGGGGTGGCGGTTTGGTAGGCTGGGGATGTGTGTGGTAGTTGTTGGTCAGTACGAACGAGTGATTAGGAGAGCGGGTAGGTACTGTATCGCTGCCAAGCAGAACTTGATTGTCAAAGAACATGTACCTCATTACAAGGGTGTAAAGGCGGGAAGCAATGTTTTGAGGAGGAAATCCACACTAGGATTGGCCAGTGGCTCTGTAGCCCACGCCATTAAAAGAAGTGTACAGGTACAAGGGGGGAAAGAGGATTTTTAGTAAGAGTTGAACCTAGTACCCACGGGCCTGGATGTTCTGCAGCTGCTACTTATTCAAAGATATAGCAAAGGGACTTAATCCTCCGGTTTTGGCATTGTCTTCTTCCCTATTTTGTTGAGCTTCTCCAGAGGAAATCATACTTATGACTACTTAATGGTTCCCAAGAGATATAAATGACAATAAAGGGGTTTTGTGTCACGTAATGCGGCCATGGTATTGTTCGGTATGAAGATCGTCGAGGATCATGAAATATCACTCGCATGTATTTCTCCCCTGCTGGTCCCTAGATGACATCGCGACCAAGCACGCTACGAGGGCCTATAACTGAAAGCACTCCAATATGCACTTAAATTTATAAGCAGCTAGGATTCGGAACCTAAGTACTGATCGACTAGACTTTCCGTCACTATCCCCTCGACAACATTAACATTCTCGCAGGTGCCATAAACGCGATTTGACATCTCAGGCTTTTTGTTAGTGTACGTGTATTGATTATATATAAGTAGTATATAACCGTAAGATAGAAAGAACCGACAAGCGATATCGATGATTAAACTACATGGAGTTACACTCAGGCTTTCGTCCCATTTAGCACAAGCGCTTGTGAGAGGTCAATTATAATGTGTCTACTATACCACATTATAAAAGAACCAGTTTTGCTAGAGCAGGAACCTAAGATAGTTCAAGCTGCGATTATGGGGCAGAGATCTGATCGATATCACACCTTATAATCCACGAGGCCGGAGGAGGGGGCCAATATGCTCCAGAAAGATTTCAATAAACTTAAACACAAAAAGTCTTGCTGAAGAATACTGCCATGACAATCTACCGCGGCGTATATAAATACCTACTGGCCACCCTCACTTGTCACCATTAAACCAGTCACGTGCGCCCGGGGAGTCATTTCATATCCAATCAGTATAAATCAGGAGAGTAGAATAACTTTAAGTACAGATAATGGTTTATATTACAGTTGAATTTTTATGTACAACGGGCTTAGATGATTATTCAGACTTGCCCTGGATGTCTTGTTCCACATCCCTTGCGATGGCTTCGTCGGCTTCCTATTCCTCCTCTTGGATGTCTTCCGCGATCTCTTCCTCTTCCCCAGGACTGAACTCTTGCGGCGGTGGCCTTGGATTGTTAAGTCCCAAGATCGCGCCTGCAAGACCGAAAGCGTTCTTTTCATTTTCTCCCTCCATCCTCTCTATTATTTCCAGCTCCTCCGCTTCCCTTGCCTTCCTCGTCTCCTCGTCTTCTTCCTCCTCGTCTTCTTCCTCCTCTTCCTCCTCTTCCTCCTCGCCATCGTCATCAACGATTATATATTCCCTGACAACTCGAGCACTCTCGCCCACGTCCTCACCTGCTGCCTGATGTTGTGACCCTGTCTGCAAAACCCACACACAATACCCCACAAACGCCGCCACACCACCAGCGACCGTTAACACGCTTTTAATTCTTTGTCTTCTTGCAGCAGCTTGTGCTTTCCTCCTCCTCTCCAAGTCCATCGGATCCATAGCATCCTCTTTCTCTTTAATTTTCTGCTTCCTCAACTCATTATTCCTTCCCAGCCCCATTACATCCAAAGCCTTCTCTACCAAAAACATTGACATCCATGGTAGATCCCCCTTCTCCGCTACGCCCCACGGTAGCATAGACGTAACACGTTCGCCGCCGTGCGTATACGTCAATATCGACTTCGCATCCACAAATTCACCTATCAGCTGCGGCTTCAGGTCATTAAGGTAGCCACATATCCTAGGGAAGCTCTTCTTCATCTCGTTCTGCAGCCACGCCTGTGGCAGCTCAGGGTAGAAGCATAGCGCCAGGTATCCAACCGCCAAGCAGTCTAGTGAGCTTGGGTAGTCGCCAAAAAAGTGCTTTTCATCGCCTAGGCGCGCCTTCAGTGGCTCTAGGAAGTCTGCCACAAGATCCATCAGCTTGAACGTCGCTGCCACCTCGGTGCTTGATAGTATCGACGTCGACTTCTGTTCTGGAGGGGCGGTGGTGTGTGGTGTGCCAGCTTCGGGAGCTTTGGGGGTAGGCTCGACGGCGTCGATATCGAGCGTGGTGACACCGAGGCCAGCTGTACGATCCTTTGCTTGTGAACGTAGGCGAACAGGCATATAGTATTGCATTGGGAACGGTAAGAGGGTGGCGTATATTGAGCGTGTGCAAGAGTCAAAGTTTTTGCGGGAGACGTAGAGAGAGAGGTCTATGAGAGATTGGCCATGGGTCTCGATAAAGGCTGAGAAGCTGTATCGAGGGCATTAGAAAGGATTTTAGAAGAGACGAAAGAGGGTAGACTACGCTATGCATTCAGCTTTCTCAACAGGAGAGAGGAAGCTGTCGAGGTCGGCCTGCCCGTCGGTCTTCTTACGGAGATACTCAACAATACCGCGGAAGCCAGTCGCCCATGTTCTGTCGTCTCGCAGAGCCGGGAGTTCTCCTATTCAAATGCTAACTATCAGAACCAGCTCTTCAGAGTACTCGTAGAAACAGATATCACGTACGGTTGGGCGACAACAAAGGATTACTAGAAGCTACAACCGTCCATTGGTCTTTTGAGAGCGTGAGGTTTAGATATGCGATTATAGCTATACATTGCGCATCGATCGAAGGGAGGCCGAACGCAGGTCCCCAGATGTGTAGTTCCAGCATCGCGAGTTGATTGTGGGGTGATCAGATGACGGAGGGACCGGTTTCTTTTTTTTTGACTGGCAGAGCCTCAACGCAAGATGGTGGGGTCTGGCTTGGCGATGATCGTGAACAGGGGGGGAGTTAAAGCACTCTGCAAATAAACCAGCTGTGTAGTTTGAAGAGGTAGAGTATTTTCACAAAGCGCTCTATGACTTTGAACGGAGAGATGACCATGCATGTTGAGTCAAAGGAACTGCAAGTAGCGTATAGGTGTAGGCTCTTTAGCGCAAAGATGGCCCTAGCTCATCCTCCTACTAAATACTTCTGATACTGGACGCATTCTGGGGCGTATATCGAGCACTTGCGATTTCTTGTAAGGAGGTTTGTGTTTTCGGTGCAGTCGTTATTATGTAGTATATACGTGCGCATCGCCTCTTTCGATTGGCGAGTAGCGTATCATTGACTGATCTCACACTAGCTTGGGTTATATATAACAACCACAAAGCCATGAGATATATCAATTTCAATCGTAAAGAAGAAAAAAAAGTCAAGAGTAGTAGATAAGAGTGTCAATTGTCCTTTGCAGCTTAGAGGGCTGCGAGCAAGATTAAAGTGAGCGAGTGATAGCATATGATGTTGCTAGCTCTATTCACCCCCACGAATAGATATCCACGCATCGTAAGGAACCGAGTACCAAGGGATTAAGCCTAAGAAGTACTTGGTATATAACGACTATGGGAAGAAATATGGGACACAACTTTAGCGGCAGAAGGAAGGGACGGGGGCCGAACTCCCCCATGAAAGGCTTTCCAAAATTATTAAACTGCTGGTGCAAAGTACGGGAAATAAAGAACGACCAATCCCAAACTCCAGAGAGTACAAAAACAAATACCAAGTGACCCAAGTCGATTTTATAATCTCAATATTATAAACTCGCTTGCCGAGGTGTTAGCGGGGGGGGGGGCTCCCGATTAAACTACATGTATGTACATGTATATACCATGGGATCCATCACCAATACCGCTAGGCCATTGGGAGGTTCGGTGTTTCCAGCCGTAAAAATTTAATAAGTCAAACCTTTACAGCGGTATTCATAATACTAGGCCCAGTTAATAACATTGGGAAACTCGAGATACCATCTCAATTTAAACTTTCGGCAGGATTGACTACATAGTTATAATGTAAGATAAATAGATGATAAGGGTTAGATTCATACCACTACCACAACTACCTGGATTTGGATATGCATAACTTCCTACCACCTAAAAGAACCCATCCAAGGTCAACAACACCGGGCTCCATAACGGCTGTTCCCAATCATCCTCATCCCCACACATCGCCGTCTCGCTGCCCTTCGCACTAATGGAGCCAAAGCACCCCGACCAATCCCTCATTGCCTCCCCCTCGCTGTTATTATACAACGCGTTCCTTGCTTCCTCTACACTGCTATATCCAGTGATATGGGTAGGCTCTGTTGGAGACAGAGGCACAGTATCCCAATTGTTTTCGTTTGTATTTAGACGCTCGCATTCTTCTCCGTGTATGTAGAGGAAAGGTATGACATCCACTTGAGCAGTAGTAGGAGAATAGGGTCGGGGAGGTGATAGTGTCCACTGGAAGTCGTCCTCTTCGTCATCGTCATCTTCTTCGTTGTCTTCGTGGCTACTATAGGCGATAGAGAGAGCTCTTGGTGGAGTCAGTACATATCTCTCTTGATCTTTGTCCTCGCTCTCAGAGGATTCGTCCTCGCTGTCAAGCTGCGTATGACCAATGGGCGTCGGGGGGACAACGAGCTCGAATGCATCCAGCGATGAAATTTCCTCATCATCATCCTCTTGGTCCTCATCCTCAGGAATATCCCTCTTGTAATCGCACCTGTCTCCTGTTGCATTTGCCTCTTCGGTGCCCTCTTTTGTGGAGCATCTACGTCTATAATAAGCTCCCCATTTGTCCCAGCCCGAGTAGTCATATTCACTGACACACCTCGTGCAAAACACATGTGAGCAGCCCAGACATCTGTTTGACGCTGTAAAGCGGCGGCCGGCATGGCAGCGGTGGCAGCGCCAAACCCAGGGATAGGGCATGGGTGGTGGATGAACGGCCCGGGGAAGCTGGCAGGTGATATGTGGAGGGGAGATAGTAAGTCGTTTGGTAGGGAGGGTGAGGCTGGTCATTCTGGTCATTTCAATATCTCTGCTCCTGCTAGTATGCAACTGAGGACAAGTATCCTTTCCCCCTCCTTATTTTTCCTTCTTTCTTTGATGTTTGTTCTTTTGTACGGGTAATGGGCCTTGTCCAGCAAACCTCTTTTGGTATTCTCGATTTATTTTATTTTTTGTAGCTGGGAGTAGTAAATAATTGCTCAGGTACAGCGGCGTGTTTGAATATTGGGACTAAGGATCGATATCAATCTTAAAAGCAAAACCTGAAATGATTGTATTGTGGAAAAAATGAGAGGCCCGGCCTCAATTATGGCCCTAAAGAAACGACACAAGTAGCCGGTGCTGGAGAATAAGACGAACGGGACGGTACTTGATCGTGTAGCTGACAAGACCAGGAAAGAGAGCCAGGCAGAGAGATGAAAGAGAGCGAGAATATAAGTACACGGTGAGAAACTGGCAAACAAAGAGCCTCTCATCGATGAAACATCTGCGTGTGACTTTCCTTGCAAAACGGTCATTTCTTTGTTTCCGGAATAGGAGAGATGAACAGTCGATAACTGGCCAGTGAGCGTTGAGCAAGCTAGCTGCTAGCCGCAAAATCTGTTCCTGACTATCGGTGATGCTTGTGGTTAGATCACAGGATGGAACATGTAGGCACTCTGCTCTCTTCCACTGCTGCTGCTGTGCTCAGGACAGATGTACTCTACATACGGTCAGATCACACTGTGCAGGATAATGCTCCCTGCAAATGTACTGCTCGATGACGCTGTCAGTGCCTGGGCAGAGAGCCACAGATGCGGAGACGAGATCTGGAGAAAGAGAGATAAGCGAGCAGGGATGGGGGTGGGATGGGGTGGGATGGGGGGTTTTGTGGATGTGGATGTGGATGTGGATGTGCTGTGCTGTTGGCTGTGTTTGGGAAGGTCCGTTGAAAGTCAACATGATCAACCCACAGACAAAGCAGAGAAGAGGAATGATCAGGAGGATACATTGTAGTTAAGCAGAATAAGCACGGAAGAAAAGACTTTAAGAAGCCCAGGCACACATGTAGGTACATATTTTGTAGAGAGAGTGTATTCTCTGTACTTGTACTCCAGTATGAAATTTACACTACATATACTAAACTGGGGGCTGCACATAGACCGCCCGGGGGGGGGGGTAGTGGTGACTGTGAGCATCATGAGCAGCAACAGCAGCAGAGAGCCGAGTTGCTGTCTCGGATATGCGAGAAACGACAGAGAAACGAAGACGCCGGGGGGTCAAGTGAACGGGAAGAAGGACCACAAGTCGCCGGAAGAGAAGGGCAGAGAGGGAAATGTAACCGGTCTGAGAAAAGAGAGAAATCTCTTGAATTATGGCCTGTTCAGCGCCCCCAATTGCATAAGTTGTAAGGTCATGTTTGGTGAACTTCTTCTACCTGAGGCTGTCGGAGGTCCCGCGGTGCAGCGCATCAGAAGAGTCTCTCTTCTCACCCTCTCTCCCCCCGCTTAGTCACGGATTGTTTGGCGAGGCGCCCTTGGGCGCAATCAGTGCATCAGTGGTCAGTGAGATGTATGTTGTAGACAGGCTGCCAGTCACCCATACAATACTCAGGAATTTATGTATTGAGTAGATGTAAGTACACGCACATAAAAGTAGACGTGAGTGAGTTCTCAAGATGTTACTGGACGTAAAATGTAAACGGGTGTGTGAGTGAGTGAGAAACTGTGTGCGAGAGAGTGCAGACTTTCTGCTGTTGCTGCTTCCTGCTACTCTACCTACTGCTACAGCCGTCGCCGCTGCCTACATACTGCTGCTCCCCTCCTCTCCCCCAATCCCTCTCTCCTCCGACATCACCTCTCTGGACCCAACGAACCCCCCCCCCCCCCCTACAAAGAGAGAGGAATCAGCCTCCCCCCCCCTCTCCCCTCACATTCTTCTTCCCCCCACTATCATCATCATCGCGATAATCTACTCCATCTCATCAAATTCTTGTCCGTGTCTAACTGCCCTCTGGCGCCATCGCTTCACGGTACCCCGTTCGCTTATTACCCTTCTCATTTAACAATTCCGTATATCCTCCTCCTAACTCCGCACCCCCCCTTCTATCGCTCTCTTTACCTTATTATTTACAACTTCTCCAGCGAATTGTGCGCCCAGTTCTCGTCATCCCCCCTCTTCCGGAGGTCGTAGTTGATTCAACTACACCCCCTTCAACCCCGGATGACCGAACCTGATAAAATGGACGAATATAAAACGAAAATGCCTTACGGCTCTCGTTTTGGCTACAGAACTCCACCGCCGGAATTCGCGAAGTCTTACGTCGAGCCTCTATCACCTGTCATCGGCCCTACAATGCCTCCCTCTTCTAGGAACGATGAGCCTCCTCCACAACAAGTGCCAAACACTCTTCCGCCCCCCCCTCCGCCTCCTCCTACAGCGTCTCTTTCTTCCGTCCCTCCTCGACAATCACTATTTTCGTCGTTCTCCACGTCTTCGCGCTATAACATGGAAAACACCCCCGTGGACTACGATCCTATGCAGATGTTCGCAGACATTGCGCTCTCAACTGCTCCCCCAAGCTTTATGGCTTCACGGTCACAGTCGGCTTCGCACGCGCCTACGGCAGCACTGCCCTCTAATTTGCGCTCTTCTCCCATTACCTCCTCGTCGAACACGAGCGGTGTTCTACCCGCAACATGGTCTGCCGACGGGTATCCGATGCGAAATGGAAGCTACAATACCGCTTACCCCCCGCAGAATGTCCACGCGATGAATAATGATAGCTTTCATACAGCGTATATTTTTGAGCGCCGAACATCCGCTACTCGCTTAGAGCCGCCGATGAAGTCACCGGTGATGGTCAAGACCCCCGCACCCGGAGGCGATAGCTACCTTCATTCTGCCCCGCCACTCGGCCGGGCAGCTTCCCCGCGTTCTCAACAGCTATCATTCCCTCTGGTCACTGCGAGTTACAGGTCGGAACGTTCAAATAAGGGGCGGGCAAAGAAAGATGCGAAAGAAAATACCACCCCAAAAGATACGGGCACCGGAAAGGGTGCGGGGTCATCGCGTGAGGGCCGCGGATCGCGTAATACTTCTTCCCGTGGACGTGGCTCCGCTTCAAGTCGCCAGAACTCTCGCAAGAGTCGTGCTCGCGCTTTGAGTCCTATTAAAGACATTGCCGAGACTGAGAAGCCCTCCCAGGCCAAGGCCCAGCCGGCAGAGAGCAAGATCTCGAATGTGATAACTGTCAATGGTGGGGTGCCTCAAACCTCCCCAATACGGCAGAACTGCTTGACGACGGCTGCAATTGAGTCGACGGATCCACCGAGCCCTTCGCCCGCGTATTCACCCTTTCCTTCTCGTCCCAATTCGCCGGTTTATGAACCTCCAGAAGCAATCCCACTCGATTCCGAAGATGTTATTCGTGTCAAAGGACCTTCATCCAGCGTCGCTATTACCGAACATGTTCCGGTGGTGAAAGAACCTGAGAATACACCCGATGCTCAGCTGGCTGCTGAAGACAGTGTAATGAAGGATCTGGAAGAGTCTATTGTAGTAGAAGCCCCAGTTGATAGAAACACCAGTGAAGTCCTTGATAAAGGTATAAAACACCTCCCCATCTCCTGGGATTTTAGTATACAAATTATATTCACTTATTCAAAATTCAGAGTTGGCTTCTAAGTCCACAGAGGAGGAAAAGTCTATTTTTAGCAAACCATCACCTGATAGTGGTGCCATCGGTATGTTGTTGACTTTCAATGTTCTATGCTCACCTTTTACTTGTGAATTGAGTTAATACGTATCCCGCGGTACCAGAGCCAAGTCAAGAACAGATTGAGGCTTCTAAGCAGGAAATTTCCATATCAGAGGATGTGGAGATGCAACAAAATATTGCTGAAGGTAAACTAATTCTATTGACTCCACAATCTTCTAATCGCTTTTTACTAAAGTTATTTTTGCAGAGATGGAAATATCAACCCCCCATGATAATTTACCAGCCATTGAACCAATTGTAAACGACGCCATACCTAGCTCGATTTCTCCGAATGAGGAAGCAGTATCAACTGAAGAGATCGCCGAGAAAGCCAGTGGGGATATCCCTACCCTTGATGTTCAGCCAATGAATACCGAGGTAGCAGAGGAGGTTGAAGAAGATTTTGTCATCAAAGAGAATGAAGATTTTGAATTCGCTCAAGCTGTAAGTGCTCCAAGAGGAGATTGATTGTCTGTTTTTAGCTTCACTAACACATTGGCGACTGCAGATTGGTGACGAGCCAATTTTTGGTCTTGGCGACTCCTTGAACAATGGTCTTCCTGTGACTGCATTTGATTCTTCCCAAGAAGCTGAACTCGGAGGTTCCTCTGCTGCCGGCCCTGAACCAATTCAGGAAGAGCTTAAGCAGCTTTCCATCCTATCACCATCTGGCGAGTTGTCTCGTGAACCAGGGGATCCTGATAACGAGATATGTGGAGAATGTGATACGAAGTATCGGGATTCGTTTGGTTTTAGACTTGATCAAGTTGCCTGGATTGGGTGTGATGGTTGCGGGAAGTGGTATCATTCTCACTGCCTGAAATTGGACGACACAACAGTAAAGAGAATCGATAAGTTCTACTGCGCTCCCTGTGAGCCTAAGTATGGCAAATCTACAAGTAAGCCACACTCCTCAATTCTTTTTGCCTTTGTACCTAATTTTGTGTTAGTGAAACGGACATCAACTCGTGCTACAACGGCGATTGATTATAACGCTCTCCACAACGAATCTTCTGCTCCAATCAAAAACCCTAATGACAGTAAACTTCACCCTTACGTGGCTATAATTCGTGATCGTACGCACACTTTCGCTGCCGATACACTCCCTCGACTACGGCCTGAGCAAGTTACTGTTGAGTTCATTGACGACATGCCAACCGGATGGAATCAGCCTTTTGTTGTTCCGGCAACCGAAAATCCTGCTCCCTGGATTGATCTCAGCGAGGACAATAAATCGAAAAGTGAGCAGCCACTAATCGAACAGTCCTCAAGTCAGCAGCCACCACGTGAGCCACCACGTGAGCCACCACGTGAGCCACCACGTGAGCCACTACGAAGTGAACAAGATTATCTCAATATGTCAATTACTCCCGAGCCTGGCTTCCCTGATGTTCCAGCTGAGAGCCATCCTGTGCAACTACCAGCGCCGCCGGCTCCTCCACGCTCTCCAATCGCGAACCAGGACCCGAGGGGTAGTAAGAAAGGCAAAGGGAACTCCCCAGAAATGACCCTTGAGAATGGCGACTTTGACCAGAAAGAAGTCAATCGTATTAAGAAGACTCTAGTCGAAGGCGAGTATGATGTCAAGGAACGCCGCGAGGGAGCCGACTGCCTCGACATGATCATTCCCAAGGGCCTGACTGTTCGCAAGGTTGGGGAACTTATTGGAGCGCAAATGAGAGTTGAGATGATCAACGTCCTCCGTCAGTCTACCACAAGGGATGATAGGTGGAATATGGAGGAGTTGGTCAGTTACTTCGAGAGTAAAGATCGCAATGATATCTACAACTGCATCAGTTGTGAGGTGACAAATACTCCACTCGGGGAGCAGATTTCACGGCCGGAGGTTGTCAGGAAGTTAGATCTTTCCGATAAAGTCTGGCGTCGATCAAATGAGAACGATGTGAAGCCGCACGTGGGGAAATATGTGTATGTCGTAATTCCTCGCTCCCATTACATTTGAGATTTATCTTACTGACATATTTTTATTAGTCTCATGTCCGTTGCAGATTCTTTTACCGATTTCCACATTGATTTTGCTGGTTCATCAGTGTTTTATCACATCTATGAAGGTCAAAAGGTCTTCTTGGTCCTTCCACCAACCGAAAAGAATCTAGAGATTTACGAGCAGTGGTCCATGAATCCCGATATGAACACAACTTTCTTCCCTCGTTTGTGTGATGATCCGTGCATGCTTGTCACACTTAATAAGGGAGATACGATGTTCATCCCATCTGGGTGGATCCACGCTGTGTACACCCCAAAAGACAGTCTTGTCATCGGTGGCAACTTCCTCACCCGCAGCCATTACACTAAACAGATGGCCATCCAAAAGATCGAGGTCGTGACCGATACCAAGCTTAGCCAGCGCTACCCCAAATACACAACTCTTATGTGGCACACTTTGTATTATTATCTCACCAAAGATCCTATCCCCGTGGAAATTGACAAGGCCCTCGCACATGGTCGTGTCCTCAGGCAAAAGACGGCTCGGGCTCAGAAAGGAAGGCCGGTGTACACTCGGCAAGAGCTCGAAGGCCTTCCCGACCTCTGCAATTTCTTGCTTAGAACCGCCTTGATTTCTTGTGGCTCTATCAAAACTTCTCTCCGCCCCGGAAGACCGACTTTAACTGCCAGACAAGTCGACGCTGTCAAGCGTGCAATTCCCCCTCCTTGCAGCGACAATCCTTTGGAATGGATCAAGAGATTTGGTCGGTGGTGTATCTGGAAGCGTGTAGCACACAAGATTGAAGCAATCGGCGAGAGAGTTCCTGAGTGGGCACAAGGGAAATGGATCCCCGAGGAGACGGTGAAGAGAGGCCCAAGCAAAGCAGAATTAAAGAGACTTGAACGCTTAAAGATCGAGGAGGCCAGGAGGGCTGAAGCGCCAAGGCGAGAAGGTCTAAGGGTCCGGATGAGAGCTTCCACTACACCTGGAGATAGCGAGTCCAGCGGGGAAGCATCTGCATCTAAATCACATGGAAACACCAAAACACCCAAGAAACTCAAGCGCAAGGGTGAAGCCGATATTGAGTCTTCAAACAAGAAGAGAGGTCGCCCAAATAAGACGCCCGCTAAGACACCCACCGGGTCCAAGAAAACAACCATCGAAGACTCCGCCAAGAAACGCAAGACTAAAGGGAAATCTAGCCACACAGTCGAAGGGGGCGATGGTGAATCGTTTACTCTTAAGGATGGTTCTATCTATGTGGCTAAGGAGTCAAACCTCGGACCAGCCAGGGCTGGCTGCCAGAACTGCCGGATGAAGAAAACTGGGTGCAAGCACAAGGCCGAAATCGCTGAGCTTGTCGCCTTGTTGGAAGCTAATGGGGGTGTTATGCCAGCCGCAGGCGACTCGGAGAAAGGAAAAAGTAAAGCGACGGTCAAGAATGAGGTTGAAGACGATGCCCCGCGCGAACCAGAGGAGGGGGCCCAACCTGAAGCTGAAGATGAAGTCCTTCGTGAGGCTGAAGATAGGGACCAGCGCGAGGATGAGGCAGAAGATGAAGGCGGCGATGAATCTGATGTTGAGGAGGAAATTGGAATGGGGAAAGACAAGGGGAAACTTCTGGATCCTCTGAAATCAATCCCGATCTCCGACAGAATCACTCCTACGCCAGGCCCGGAAAACGAGGACGAAAACGATTTTGTACAAGATTCATCTGGTGTAGGTTCAAGCAATGGTCAAAAACGGGCTAGAACCGAAGGTGATGATCATGATATGGAACTTACCCCGCCTAAGAAAGCCAGGGGTTCCAAAGATTCCACTGGGGTTTCTGGTCGTCCTGCTGGATTCCAAGGAAGAAAGCCTTCTTGCGAGGAGTGCAAGGCCCTCAAGGTATGTCTAACACTAACTTTGAGAAGATTAATTCTGACTGTCTCCTAGACCAAATGCCATCATGATACTTGGCACCTCGCAAAGGTTAAGACTCCTAGCGCTAAGCCTTCAAGAAGTAGCGCCAGGAGAAACTCTACAATCATGCCTGCCAAGGTCACCACACCGGGTACTGCTAGTCGTGCGAGGAGGGATTCTACCATTAATTCTACAAACCTTGGTGTCCCTTCTGCTTCTAAACCTGCCAAGGTTTCCGCAAGAAGAAAGTCTGCTCCTGCTGCCTCGAGAAGGAAGTATGCTGTTGGATCCCGCGCATCCGATCCTTGGCGCTCGCTGGGAGATGATTCTAGTCGCCCTTCTAGCTTCCTGCCCGGCTCTCAAGGTATTCTCATTCCACCTTTTTCTATAGGAACAGGTCGCTAATATGAAATAGGTGATGAGGCGATTGTTGATGATGAGCAGGAAGAGCTGGAAGATGTTATCGTGTGCAAAAAGCCAATGATGGTGACGTCGGCAGTCAAAGTTACCGCCTCCACCATTGTTCAAAATGATACTCCACCTCCAGCGACTCCAGCTCTCACTTCAGTCATCGTTGCCTCAGGACCTCCCTCCACCCCCGCAAAATCCATTCCCCCTGTCGCCCTCTCCTCAACCAATACTTCGCCACTTACCGAGAACGAATTTGACTTGGACCTTTCCATCTTAGATGAACAGCTTCCGTATAAATCGCGTTCCCGCAGTTCCAACACCCCGGATGACCCCACCATAATGGCGCCGCCTGTCGATTTTGATGACGAACCTGTTGCTGCGCCAGTAACTCCCACTCCTGCCGCTGTTACCATTGAGGTCACCCCGGCTGCCCCTACCACCAATACAACATCCAATGCTGTGCCGGCTAAGTACCCGAACCCAGCGTATAGGATTCATAAACCTAAGGTTACCTATAACCGAAACAATAAGAACTACAAGAAAAAGGCAGATGAGGAGGAGGATGTCCTTATGGAAGGTACGGCGGACACAAATAGTCCTAAAGTGGCCAAGACCGGACCATCAATGTCTCCAGCAGCCGAGAAGAAGTCTAGCAGTGGCACTTCAGTCAACGGAGGTTCTGAGGTTGTTGAAGATGGTGATATCAGTGTAGAGGAGCTTAAGAGACTAGGAACTGCAGCGGATTTTGGGTTGAGGCGGAGGGCTGGATCATAAGGAGTAGACAGTCTTTATTTACCCGCTAACTGAAGACCGCGGGTTACGTCGTGAAGGCTTAAGGTTCAGGTTTTGGTATCTCATTTCTTTATTTCCTATCTTCTTGGGAAACTGTATCATTACACATGTTTGTTTCTTATTTTTCTCCAGGGTCTTTTTTTTTATGGATTTTTCTGTGTATGGGATTTCATATCTATTGTGTTTTCTCTTCTCTCCTTTCTCATTCTATTTATGTGTCTATTGTTTCTTTCTCCAGTCACTGTTTGAGAGGATCGTTACAAGATGTGCGATATTGGAGCAATTTGGCACATGAGCAGACTGGGGCGGCAGACACGGGCAGGAATTTTCAAGTGGTAATCATGGAGGATGTTTTGTGTATTCTTAGTACGACGTTCCCCTCTTTGCCTCAACACTCTTCTCTCGTACGGAGGCGGACCGATTGAGTAGCGAGACTGAAAAGGGGAACCTCTTTCTTTTCTTTTTTTCTCTGGTGGAGTTTTATCTTTTTTTTTCCTGGCTTCTATCTTCTCAAGGGCTTTCTTGGGGTTTATTATTCTCATCTTTCTTTTTGTATGGGGTTTTGCGCTGGCGCGGCGGGTTCACTTCCGGGCGGTTCTGGTGTTATTTTTTTTCTCTCGTTTCTGTGGGTCCCTTTTATGCGTGCTTACTTCCTTTACTTTGCTTGCTATGTTGTTTGCCTGCCTGCCTGCTTGCTTGCGTTACCTGTTTTTTCCATTGCCGCTCCGAGTGCTTTTCTCTTGGAGCTTTTATTTTACTCACTTTTTTTCTTCTTATCAATCCGTTTGGGGGAGTAGTATGGAAGAGAGGGGATTGGGCTGGCGGAAGAGTCTGTAAATGGACATGGTGTAGTGGTACTTACTCTTACTTTCTCCTTCTTCAGCGGTTAGATGGTCTTTCTTTCTTTCTTGAGATAATGTTAGACGCATTGATTTTTGTTTTGTTTTGTTCCCTATTTTCATGTGTTTGATTTTTATCTGTCATCTTCTATTGTGTTTAAGGTTGCATATTATAACTTATCTATCATCTATGTTCAAGATGTGAGTCTTGTGAGTTCAGTGGGCAAGCCCTAACGAAAGATATAGGACGGATGAGCAGGAAACGGTTGATGTTTTATGGACAGATTTTTAATTATGGCTTGGATGTCGCGGGGATATCACTTGTTAAATATTTTCACGTTCAGTACTGGCAAATAAATTATTTATAACTATATGCATTCCATGATCCTATCATTCAACCCGGTTATGAAATACAATACCTGTATGTATCTACAAGTGGTTTCCGGCCTTCGGCCGGTTAGGACAATGAAATCAGCTAGGTAGTCTCGTCCAAATGTGACAGGTCGCTTGGAAATGTGATATATTGACAGAAAGTGATATATTACATGTACGCTAGGCTCACTCAGGACTAGCGCGCAGCATTGCTGGGTGAGGATCCCCAGATCGCTTCCAACTCCACCGCCACCTCTACCTCCACCTCCACCTCCACCTCCACCTCTACCTCTACCTCTACCTCTACCTCTACCTCTACCTCTACCTCTACCCCTACCCCTACCTCTACCCTACCCCTAACCCTACCTCTACCTCTCCTACCTGCCTCCATATTGACACCTATGCTAACGTCTATATAGACTCTTAATTCGACACCTAATTCACGCCCAAATCGACGCCCAAATCGACGCCCAAATCGACGCCCAAATCGACGCCTAGGAGGCATCAAATCGAGCACCGCCTCGAGCACCGCACCTAGCACCGCACCTAGCACCGCACCTAGCACCTAGTCGAGCACCGTAGCTAGCACCGCACCGAGCACCGCACCTAGCACCGCACCTAGCACCGCAGCTAGCACCGCACCTAGCACCGCACCTAGCACCTAGTCGAGCACCGCAGCTAGCACCGCAGCTAGCACCGCAGCTAGCACCGCACCTAGCACCGCACCTAGCACCGCACCTAGCACCTAGTCGAGCACCGCACCTAGCACCGCACCGAGCACCGCACCGAGCACCGCACCTAGCACCGCACCTAGCACCGCAGCTAGCACCGCACCTAGCACCGCACCTAGCACCTAGTCGAGCACCGCAGCTAGCACCGCAGCTAGCACCGCAGCTAGCACCGCACCTAGCACCGCACCTAGCACCGCACCTAGCACCTAGTCGAGCACCGCACCTAGCACCGCACCGAGCACCGCACCGAGCACCGCACCTAGCACCGCACCTAGCACCTAGTCGAGCACCGCACCTAGCACCGCAGCTAGCACCGCACCGAGCACCGCACCTAGCACCGCACCTAGCACCTAGTCGAGCACCGCACCTAGCACCGCACCTAGCACCGCACCTAGCACCTAGTCGAGCACCGCACCTAGCACCGCACCTAGCACCGCACCTAGCACCGCACCTAGCACCTAGTCGAGCACCGCACCTAGCACCGCACCTAGCACCGCCTCGAGCACCGCACCTAGCACCGCACCTAGCACCGCACCTAGCACCTAGTCGAGCACCGCACCTAGCACCGCCTCGAGCACCGCACCTAGCACCGCACCTAGCACCGTTTCGAGCACCGTTTCGAGCACCGTTTCGAGCACCGTTTCGAGCACCGTTTCGAGCACCGTATCGACCACTGGCGCAGGCGTAAGTAGGGGTGCAGGCGCAGGCAGGAATCAGGCGCTGGGAGGTGGTAGGCGCGGGTGCGGGCGCGGGTGCAGACATATGTACATAGCATTATATTACTATTATTAATCCGCATGGTTCTGTCATTGGTGATATTGGGTGAGAATCCTAGGAGGGTAGCGATTGACATTGGAAGATTCTTGGGAGGTAGCGATGGACATTGGGGTGTTCCAGGGTGCTTGGAGTGGGTGTTGGGGTGACGTGGGTACTGGGAGCGGGTGCTGCTAGCGGGTGCTGCTAGCGGGTGCTGCTAGCGGGTGCTGCTAGCGGGTGCTGGGTGACACCGATGCTGCGAGCGGGTGCTGCTAGCGGGTGCTGCGAGCGGGTGCTGCGAGCGGGTGCTGGGTGACACGGATGTCGCGAGCGGGTGCTGGGTGACACGGATGTTGAGAGCGGGTGCTGGTAGCGGGTGCTGCGAGCGGGTGCTGCGAGCGGGTGCTGCGAGCGGCTGCTGGGTGATACGGGTGCTGCGAGCGGGTGCTGCGAGCGGGTGCTGGGTGCTGGTTCAGGTAGGGTAAGGCTGTTAATATTCGGGCGCGTCGCTGTCGTTGGGTTTCCCCTCTTTCCCTTTTTCCTTCGCAACACCTTTCGCAACACCATTCGCAACACCCTTCGCTTGCGAGTTCAAACACACAACACATAAGAGAGAGTTCAAATAAGATAGAAAACCGGATATTTTGGTGCTTTGCCCTTGATATCCTTCTATACTTAAGTGTACAATCACTTATTGTTGTTGTTGTTGTTGTTGTTGTTGTTGTTCTTGTCTATTCCCCTAAAATTCTGATTACTACTTGACTCACCTACAGCTTCTACAAACCCGATCCACAAAAATACCTCCTATCCGATCCACAAAAATACCTCCTATCCGATCCACAAAAATGCCTCCTATCCGATCCAAAAGAATACCACCCCCCAAAGAATATAAAAAGGCCATCAATGAAATTGCTATCTATATAGCTAGCAAACCCTCTCTTCTGCAGAAAATCAGAGATAATAATATTGATTCTCTTGTTTCTTCTATTAAGAGAGAGTTCTGTAATGTTGCCGATGGAGTGAACGATGGCATTTTCAATGATATTGCAGCTTTCCTCAACCACCCCAAACAAATGAAGGAGCCGAATTGCCATGCAGAGCTAAGAGAAGCGATGAAGCAGAGGAAGGAGGAGAAGGAAAGAATTAAAAGAATCAAAGCTTTATTTGTTCAGGAGTGTAACCTCAAGGAGGACGATGCAAGGAGAGACAAATATTTGGAAAAGTTTACGATTGTGGAAGTAACCCGATATCAAACACCCTACCCTCCACCCAGTAATTGGGTGTATGAGTCCGAGCAAATCCATGACATTTGGCATGATCACCTCCAGCTTGGTAAGCCGAAGGACAAAAGGCTAAAAGTACCACCGATGCTACTTTTGGAACCACAATATCTACAACTAGATGTTGCCGAAGACCAAAACTACATTTTTGTCGATTCCAACACCAAGGAAATTGTTGGATTGGTTGCTAGGAATTGGATGGCCGAGGGCAAGAAAGAAACTCTAGATTGGGTCAATGAGATTATTATCAAGGAATGTCAGGTCAGGAAATCAGTCCGAGTAAGTATTATTTCTTTCCAAATTTTACTATTGCGATTGCTAATTATTTCTTAGCTTGAAGATACTGGCAAACTTTGTCAAATGGGATGTTCAGCTGGTTCCAGAAGCAAAGCCAGTTTCGATTGGGTTAGAAATATCACCTCCAAGAAAAACCGATTAGAAGACTTTGAACACTTGGGCAGCTATATTTTTGCTCTTCTTTGGAACATGAGTAAGGGTAGATTGCCGAAGCCGATTATTGAGGATATAACTGGGTTTTGCAATTCTACCCTAATTCCGAGAATGAATTATGCTGCTAAAGACAGGGCTACTTCTCAAATCTTGGGGAACTATACTGTGAGGGTGGGAGCCGATGATATTGAGTTTGACTGTGTTCCGATGGCACCTCCTTCTGGATTTATGGCATATAATTATTCAAGGTAATAGTCACTCCGAGTACTTATATTTCATTGTTACTAATTAATTATAGGGGTACTCATAATGAAAAGTGCCCTCATAAGTATGCATTGTTCTGGACTACAGCTAGGACATATGGATCCGAGGAGGGGGGTCACTTCTTCATTGCCGATTATGGAATCAGAATCAAACAGTCAGCCAATTCAGTGGTAGTTTGGAAGCCGACTGACTTTCATGGTACTACTTTATCAGTAAAGGGCCCTACCGATGAGTCTGATTCCCATCAAATTGGTATGAGTATTGTCACTCCTGTCCGATTGGTAAAGTTGTGGGAAAAATATCAACAGGAACAAATTGTAACGGGGGCAGCCTATCTATGTATCGCTAGAATCCAATAGAATAGATGCGGCCGTGCAAGATAGAAATCAGGTGCAGATTTATTCAAAGATACTATCGCTAGAACTCAATAATCTTTAAGGGCTCTGCTACCGATAATGGTCTACTCGAAGATGAGGATCAGGTCAGTTGGGTGGGAATGATCCTGAGTACTTATACTCCAAAGGATTCTATTCTCTACTCCTACTTCCTTACTAAGTTCCGGTGCTGCCTCCTAGTGGAAGGGAAGCAATACCATCGCTACCCCGCTTCTCTCTAAGCGTCAGCGAGTGCTTCCGATTCCGAAGGCAACCACCCTTAGTCAAAGCCTTTGTAACACCTGCAGCCTTTGTTGCCACACAACTAGGGGCCTGCATGAATGAGCTGCCGCTCAGGTGTAAGCTTAATCATTGCTGTAGAGCTTCCGCTTATTGTAGACTTCCCAGGCATAGTCTCTTCCACTGCTGGCGGACTTCCAATGCTCAGAGGATGTGGAGGATCGCTGAGCACTCAGAGCTTCACTCTGGCTAGCCTTCTAGTCATTGGCGAGGCACAGACTCGTCAGTCATTGCTCCCATGAGTAGATCCTCTTCCTAGTGCTCAGAATGTAGTTACTCTGACAGTTGGTAGCTAACCACACTGCCGGTACTTGCATGTCACTGTGCACTGGCTTCTAACAATAACTCTCAGCATGTAACCGGGCCCTGTGTGTACTCATACACCAGACAGTTGAAATGGCTCCGTTACACTACTCCCCTCTTCCAGGATCTTGGTCTCCGAGATCTATAATCTGTATTTTATTTATCTATGCAATACTATATGACAAGGAAACTCCTTTGGTGTGGAAGGGGACGAGAATGTTTAAAGGAAATGCTACTGGCCTAGAGTCCTCTTATCTCTGAGCTTCTTAGGGTACCTCATATGGAAATCCCGGAGGGCTTCTTCAGCACTCTTCCTGAGATGTTCCCAGGGTTCCCATGTAGCATCCTCATTCTCATATCCTTCCCACAGCACCAGGTATTCCACCCTTCTCCTCTTCTTATTGACTCGGCTATCAGCTACTTCCCGGACGATCCAGTTTTGTTCTCCTGTAATCTCCTCAGGTTCCGGTGGGGGAACTCTTCTCTCAGGATCTATTGGTGCTCTATAGGGTTCTAGGAGAGAGACATGGAAGACAGGGTGGATTCCCATTTGCGGGGGAAGAGAGAGCTTGTAGGCACGGGTACCAATAGCTTCTAAGACCTTGAAGGGTCCCATCTTCTTCTGATCCAATTTTCCCAATGGCCGCCTTGTTTGCACATTGCGCCGGTCTAACATAACTTCATCTCCAGGCTTGATTTCAGGGGGTGCCAGGGCATGTGCATCATACCACCGGGCCATCCTTAGTCTAGCCTTTCCCAAGCTTGCATTCATAGCCTGCCAGATAGATTCCCATTGAGATACCATGACCTCGCTTGCTGGATTATTCCATTCAACACCTTCTTTTGGGGCCGGCCAGTTGGTTCTGGGTTCATATCCATAGTTGGCATAGAAAGCCGATACTTTGGTAGACTCAGAAACCGCCGAGTTATATGCATATTCTGCCAAAGGCAAGAGGTCTGCCCAGTCATCCTGTTGATATGAACAATAACTCCGCAAGTAATGCTCCAGGGTCTGGTTAACTCTTTCTGTTTGGCCGTCCGTTTGGGGATGGAAAGAAGTGGACATCTTCAGCTTCACATTGAGGAGGCTCATGAGAGATTGCCAAAAATGAGAAATGAACCTGCTATCTCTGTCCGAGACTATGTCATCAGGTAACCCATGGAGTCTCCAGACTTCCTTCAAGAACAACTTAGCCAAATCTTCCGTTTTGTTGAGTGTAGGAAGTGGGATGTAATGTGCCATCTTTGAGAAGCGGTCCACTATTACCCAGATCTTTGTAAACCCATTGGATTCCGGTAATCCCACAATAAAGTCCATAGAGATGGAAGTCCATGGCCGATAAGGTATCTCCAGTGGTTGGAGCATACCGAACTTCTTATGTCTTGAGGTCTTATTCCTCTGGCAGCTGTCGCAGCTCCGGACATATTCCTCAACATCTTTATCCATGTTGGGCCAAAAGAAGTTGTTTTTTACCCGCTCTAGTGTCTTGAACTGACCGAAATGGCCCGCCACTTTAGAGTCATGGGTATCGGTCAGGATATCCATCTGGAGCTTCTTGTCTTTGGGAATATACCATCGATTCTTGTAGAAGATGAGGCCGTCCTTGACAGACAAGTTCTGGTCCAAGTTTGGTTTCCTTTCAACCAGGGAGCGGTGCAGTTCCTGCCAGATTCCATCCTCTTTAGCTGCCATACATAGGCGCTCTAAGAACGTGTTCTGCAATTGATTCACCCTGACAGCCGCTAGCTTAACAGGATCCAAAACCAATTGACCTGGCCTAAAAAACATCTGTGGCTCCGGCCGCAAGGTTTCACTCCCCTCTTCAGGGCGGTGATCCCAGCGCCTTGATAGCACATCAGGTTTGCCATTCCTTTCTCCCGGTCTGTAGACAACTTTGAAATTGTAGCCTGCTAGGTCCTCAGACCATCTAGCTTGCCGCCTAGTGAGAACCTTGGTAGAGTTGAAGTACTCTAAATTCTTGTGGTCTGTGAAAACCGTGATCTCCTGCTCGCAACTCTTGAGCATATGCTCCCATTCCCGGAAAGATGCTACAATAGCTCCCATTTCCTTATCATGAATGTCATAGTTGATCTCAGCCGGGGAGAACTTCTTAGAATAGAAAGCTACCGGGTGTAGTTTCCCATCTTCCCCATACTGAGAGAGCACCGCTCCTTTGGCAAAGTCACTGGCATCAGTTTCGACCACAGTTCTTCTGCTAGGGTCAAAATGGAGAAGGATTGGAGCGCTTGTGAATAGCCTCTTGAGTTCCTCAAATGCTTGTTCACAGGCTGCGGTCCAATACCATTTCTTGTCATTTTGCAAGAGGTCGGTCAATGGTTTGCAAACTTTACTGAAGCCTTCAATAAAGCGGCGATAGAAGTTTGCAAATCCCAGGAAACCTTGCACTCCCTTAATATTTCGGGGTACTGGCCATTCCTGAACCGCCTCTACCTTGTCCTCTGACATAGATACTCCCCTTTCCGAAATGTGGTAGCCAAGATATTCTACTTCTCGGACATGGAAGGATGTCTTGCTGATGGAGGCACACAGTTTTGCTTCTCTGAGCTTCTGTAGAACCTTCTCAACCAGCCTTTCATGCTCTTCCTCAGTCTCTGAGTAGATGAGGATGTCGTCGATATAGACAACCACTCCTTCATCCAGTAGTTCCTTTAGCACATCATTGATCATTGCCTGGAAGGCGGAAGGGGCGTTGCATAGACCAAATGGCATCACATTATACTGATACAGTCCATAGCGGGTTCTGAAAGCGGTTTTCCACTCATGACCTTCTGCTATCCTGATCAAGTTGAAGCCATTCTTCAGGTCTATCTTTGTGAAGATCTTGGCTTTGAACAACCTATCCCTGAGCTCACTCATGATAGGCAGCGGATACTTGTCCTTGACAGTGACCTTGTTCAACCCTCTGTAATCAACACAAATTCGCCATGTCCCATCCTTCTTAGGTATGAACAATATGGGCGCCGCTGCTGGGCTGCTAGATCTAGAGATCTTTCCTAAAGACAACTCTTTGTCCAGGTACTCTCGGAGGGCTTTCAGCTCTGGAGCGGAACATGGGTATAGTGGGCCAAATGGGGGAGCGGTACCAGGCAAGAGGTTGATCTTCAGATCATTTCGGGAGTGTGGAGGCAGCTCCTGTATCTTCTCTTGACTGAATACGTCGGCCCATTCCTATAGCGGAGAGGTATCCTTTCAGGATATCTCCTCCATCCTCATCATGCCATACTGAAGCGGCCAGTTGATACACTACATCTTCTTCTTCCATCAGTTGGTATGAAGAGATGAGTTCAAACTTGATCGCTGCTGGGAGACAGTTCTGCTTGCAGTAGTCACTTCGCCAGCTTATGGTATTGAGTTCCCAATTGATATCCGGGTTGTGCTTCCTTGCCCATGCAATTGGCAGGTAACCTGATATTCCTTCTTCCAAAGTAGCTACCTCCCATCGGAGTGTCTCCTTATGATCTCCCATGTTCATGTGGACTGGGTGAGTGTAATACTCTCCTCCGCCCATCATGACATCTCCTTGAGCATCATACATTGTCAGAGGTTGATCTCGCCGCACTAAGGGAACTCCATGCTTCCTGACAAAACTCTGGTTGAGGATTGCTCCTGTACAACCGGTGTCAAAGAGGAATGTCCCTTGGGCGTCTTCAACTTTATTCTTGACCGTCCATGACAGTTCTGCTTTCAGTATTGGCCTCTTGCCATGTACTGGTAAGGATGGAAGCTTCTGTTCCATTCTTCTTCGCTTCTGTGCGGGTTCTGGGCTTGATTCTCTTTGTCTTTTCTCCATTGCTAATAGCTGCGGGCACTACTAAGATCAAAAGATCCTTTGGTTCTATTCCCAAGCAATAATATAGCAAGTGTATTGTGTGGAAGTCTGGTAGCGGGCTGGAAGTGTCTTGTAGCAAATGTAACTTTGGCAGAGCACTTACAGACCAGCTGTTTCGGGTCATAAACCCATCCTCAGAGTGCTTGGAAACAATCAAATAGGCGAAAAACACAAAAATTTATTCGAGAGAAACAAAGAAATCGAGACCCAAAAGAAAACTAGTAAACATAGACTCTAAACAGACATTTCTACCAGATGATTTCATTGTCCGAGTCTTGCTCAGGCTGAAAGACGAAATCTTCTGTCACCTCTGGGAGTACAACAAGTGGTTCCTCTGCTACAACCGCAGCCACTTTAGCTTTCTTCTGAGGATTGGTCTTGCCATTTCCTCGTTTCCGCTTTTGTACCCTCACTGCTGCCACTCGGACTACAGTAGGTTCCCTGGACCAACAGTCGGTCCATTTGTGTCTGGACTTGCCGCACTATTGCACAAGTCAGTCTATGTACTCTACCAATAGGGAGTACCGGAAGGTCATACCTTCAAGCATACTTCTGCTTTCCTTCTTTCTTCTAGGATATCCCCCGGGATACCTTTTAGCTCCACCGCTTTATCCTTGGAACTGGTTTCCTTCTGAGGTTTGGAGGAGCTTGCAGCTTCTCTCTTCCTCTTGGGATGCCGTTCCTTCTCAGCAGGGGGATCTCTTGGTCCTGGCGGGTGCTTTCTCAGCAGCTACCGTCTGGTACCTCTCATGGGTGTGTCCTAGCTCTCTTAGAGCAGCTATCCGCTCCATCAAGGACTTGGGCTTGGGGGTAAAGAGAGCCCAACTCATGCCTAGGTCCGGAAGGAGGGAACTAAGGATCTTATCATCCACTAACTGACCCTCGTAGCCAGTCTTCCACATCAGCTGAATAATGCTATTCAGGAAGGAGTCTATTCCTCCCTTAGCTGTGTGGGTAAGGGTGTTCCATTGGGCTACCGCATCATCCCTAGAGATGGCTTCACCAAAGGCTGCTCTGAGAGCATCCACAAAGGAATCCCAGCGCTTCCATCTCTCATCCAACACCACAGGCATCCCAGCTACCCGGTTGGCAGAAGCTTGGTCGATAGAGTTGTGGTAAGCTTCGTACCACTTGACCGGAGCATCTCCTTCCATCAGGTTGCCAGCATATCGGATCCTGACCTCTTCAGAGGTAAAGGACTGGCCCTCAATGGAGAAGACGTTCTCACATTGCCGGATGAAGGTCTCCACGTTGTCTGCTTTGCCATTGAACTTGGCCGGAGGGGGTGCTTTGGGTTCTCGGGCCCTAGAGGCAGCGGAGGGATGTGAGGGGGCCGGAGGTCTCATGAACTGTGCCATGGAGGCCAGGAGTTCTTTCTGTTGCCTCTCCAACTTCTTCCTGAGGTATCTTCGCCATCCTCTCCTGTCACCATCCTCAGGCTCCGAGTCTGAACTGTCTGAGTCCCCTCCTGGGTTGGGAGCGCCGCCAACTGGGGGGACAATTCCATCTCCTCCACCATTACCCGCTGGTTCTGGGTTCTGGTTTTCTCCACCAGGGTTTCCCTCTGGCTGGAGGTTCCTCCTAGGTGATCCGGGGTGGTGAGCCTCTGTGGGATTCTGGGGATAACCCCTGGCGAACCCAGGCTGGAGGGAGCCCGGAGGGACCACTCCTGACCGGTGTCTGGGAGTAGTAATCGTCGTCTCCTATAGGTTGTCGGGGGGGCCTTGCTAGGCCACCTGCCAACGGGCTTGATGGGGCTCTCTGAGGAGGTAAAGGTGAGCCTCCAATGGCCGCTGGCATCATCAGGGGAAGTGTCCTCTGCCTGATAGACCTGACTGGAAACGCTGCAAAGGGGTTCACCCTTTGGTGGAAGGTTCTCAGGGCCGCTCTGGATGAGGCCCTGGAGTTTTGCGGAGGTGCGGGATTGGGGACAGGTGCTGGTGTAGGCATCCTAGCGATGGAGAGCCTTCCTTCATTAATGGCTCTCTGGATGTCTTCCAGGAAGTTAGGGGGCATCGCCGGGTTTGTCCATTCAATGTCCTCCATCTCATCTCCTATGTCATCTCTCTGAGCATAACTCTGGAGTTGTGCCTGGACTGAGGAGACTTGTTCTTGCATATAGCCGAAAGCATTCCGGAGCAGGACTGCCTCAGCTTCTTGTCTTTCTTGCACCAAGGCTAGCGCATTGCCGGCCTTGATGACTTCCTGTTGCAGGCTGTGCTTCAGGTAGCGCTGCAATTCCGCAAAGAAGTCCTGTAGGGTGACTTCGTCGGTATCTTGCCAGGTGGGCTCACATCCGGGGATGTAGGACTGGAGCGCCGTCCTGGGCTTGTGGATCAACTGTGTCTGTCCCTCTTGGAATTCTAAAGCTGCCGGTTGCCATTCAATCTGAAGAGGCGCTTGGGGAGCCGGGAGGGCGGACATGTTGTGAGAGGAAAGAATAATCTGAAGGTGATTTGAGCACTAAAGATTATCTGTAACGGGGGCAGCCTATCTATGTATCGCTAGAATCCAATAGAATAGATGCGGCCGTGCAAGATAGAAATCAGGTGCAGATTTATTCAAAGATACTATCGCTAGAACTCAATAATCTTTAAGGGCTCTGCTACCGATAATGGTCTACTCGAAGATGAGGATCAGGTCAGTTGGGTGGGAATGATCCTGAGTACTTATACTGCAAAGGATTCTATTCTCTACTCCTACTTCCTTACTAAGTTCCGGTGCTGCCTCCTAGTGGAAGGGAAGCAATACCATCGCTACCCCGCTTCTCTCTAAGCGTCAGCGAGTGCTTCCGATTCCGAAGGCAACCACCCTTAGTCAAAGCCTTTGTAACACCTGCAGCCTTTGTTGCCACACAACTAGGGGCCTGCATGAATGAGCTGCCGCTCAGGTGTAAGCTTAATCATTGCTGTAGAGCTTCCGCTTATTGTAGACTTCCCAGGCATAGTCTCTTCCACTGCTGGCGGACTTCCAATGCTCAGAGGATGTGGAGGATCGCTGAGCACTCAGAGCTTCACTCTGGCTAGCCTTCTAGTCATTGGCGAGGCACAGACTCGTCAGTCATTGCTCCCATGAGTAGATCCTCTTCCTAGTGCTCAGAATGTAGTTACTCTGACAGTTGGTAGCTAACCACACTGCCGGTACTTGCATGTCACTGTGCACTGGCTTCTAACAATAACTCTCAGCATGTAACCGGGCCCTGTGTGTACTCATACACCAGACAGTTGAAATGGCTCCGTTACACAAATTACTGCCGATAATGTTGAGGCTATTTTGGTTGAGTCCGATGATTCCGAGGAGGAATAAATTGTTATTTCCTATATTATGTATTGTTATTATTGTTGTTACTGAAAATCTCCACTCCTGTATTAAGTACCGATAGTTTTAAAAAATTGTTTTAAAAAATTGTTTCAAAAAATTGTTTTAAAAATAAAAAAAAATAAGGAAATAAAATTTTATAACAAAAGACTTCTATATACAATATTTTTAACTTTGTTTTTATCCCCGATATCAATAACTGAAACATCATGATCCAATAAACATCTAATATGGTATCTATTTCTGACTCGGGAAACACTCGTATACAGTTGACCATGTGCAAATACAGGAGTTCTGAGATCGATTACAGCTCTATCGAGTGTTAGGCCTTGACAACTATTGAAGCTTGTTGAGTATGCTAGTCGTAAAGGGAATTGTCTTCTCTGTACTGTCCAAGAGCAATATTTTGGTTGAAACTCAAATACGATTCGGGGGAGGCAGAAAACAGTTGTATCTCGTCGAATATTATCTGCAGTAGATATCAATTCAACTTTGACAAATCTTTCATATAGCTCTTTAATAACTACTCGGGAATTCTTAACCAAGCCATTCTCCAGTGATAGATTTCGCATAATCGAACAAACACACCCGACCTTCAAAACCAATTTGTGTGTAGGTACACCAGGTTCCTTCAACATAGATAGAAAATCTAGAATCTCCCCTGATGGTAGAATGTTGGTAGTCGGGGATGTGAAATTAGTATCTTCTTTGATACAATCGTGGCTGTAGTATGTTCTTTCTGTAATAAATAATGTATCAGCATATTGTAATTTTTAATAGTAAGGAAAATAAATATACATACCCTCCACTGTCGGGAATCTTTCAAGAATCGCAAGGTTAAATTGATCTACATTGATATTCAAAGGACTAAGAAAAGCACGATGGGAAACAATAGCTGGATTTTGCAATACTTCTGTTGGAAATAGAAAGTCAATTGCCTCCTCGATTGAGTCTAAAGACTCAATTAAATCCAGATTCACAAACGATTCATTTGATTCTTGACAACCATCTCCAATTTTGTCTACCCACTCGGCATATTCTAAATCAGAGGCATTTCTTATAGGTGTATCCAATCGTAAAATTTTGAATTGTTCCCAAAGGTAGGATGATCGTATAGATGCTTCAAGTGTAGCTGTTGGTCCTGCAGATTTAACTACTGGTGCTACCTGTCGAAAGTCACCTAAGCCAAGAAATACTTTGCCACCAAATGGTTTGTCGTTGGCAAGCACGAGTTGCAAGAACTCATCTGCACATTCAATTGCTGCTTTGTTGGCCATAGGCATCTCCTCCCATATAATTAAGCTTGACTTCGATAGTAATTTCGCCCGATCTGATCTGATACTCAAAGTCGATTGTAGCTCCATATTATTCTAATATTGTAATGTCAATGACTGTTTTTACTAAAACCTTCTCATAGGATAGCTTTACCTCAACGACAGGAATACCAAATGCAGAATGTGCAGTACGACCTCTCTCATATAGTGTAACACTCAAAGCTGTCGAACCAGTAATAACAACAATATCTCCTTGCCCTCTTAGATAATTTACGATCGTATTTACAACATATGTTTTGCCCCAACCAGCTTTTCCATCCAGAAAGAAACATGTATGTTCAGGAATCTCCCCGATTGCTATTTTATCGATATTATTCATGATAGTATCAAAAGCATCCATCTGTTGGGGTAATAACTGTTCCCGTGATAATATTGCCATCTCAGTAAGTTCGATACTACGATGATCAAATGCAAGAGTCTCAATGGATATTTCATCTGTGAGGTTTTGAGATTGGGGTAACCCAAAATCAGTCAACCTACTACCTTGAGCAGCCAAATGTCTTGCAATCCCCTCCAAACATTTATTCATAACCATTATCGGGGAATCATATTGGTCAAGATAATCTGCCGAGAGAGCCTCCTGATATTCCTCGAACAATTCAATAGCTGCCACTGGAATATTCATCAGGAGATGTGCAAACAGGAATCGTAGCTGGTTAGGACTGCAAAAGCTTTGGACAGCTTCTGCCATAATTTCTTTCCCCTCCGACTGATTTTCGAAGAGACCTAATGCTGCTGCTGCCTCTTGGAATGTTGAGTATGTAATTTGATTGACAATTTTTAGGTCCTCGAAACAATAAGCTGATCGATGCAGTAGGAGAGCTCGCAGGTAGAATAATTCTCCAATTCTCGGGGAGACTGTATCGATTCGGGCAATTGCTTCATTCTTTCTCCTAGCTCTTACAATAAACTGTGGATAACTATTGCATATTTCTTCAAGGAAATCGGTATCTTTGAAAGTGGTTGACGACTTCGAGTACAGAATCCACTTCTCGTAGTATTGAATATAAGTCAAATCTTGGAAAACTGTATCTCGGGGCCTAGAGAAATATCTAAGCAAAGTCGATGCTGTAGATTCTCCACCACCCTTTCGATACATTTGATGCATGTTTCTTCCAGGTAGATGAACTGTAAGCGATTTGACTGCAGGCGATCGATCTGTTATATGGTATTGCAGGATCCTCCATGCTGCCTCCGAAGCAGACAGATATCTTGCATTAATATAGTCATTGATCTCGTCAACCTCCTGCTGTCCTTCAACATTGAAAGAAAATAATGTTCGATCGGGTCCTTTAAATAAATATTTATACAGATACATGAAAATATTAACTGTAAAACATATATCGACATTAACATGACATTCTAGTAGCTTAGTAAGAAATGGCATATACGATGCTATCCATCGATCCTCTTCCTTTCTTCTTCTATACTGTACTCGACCATATTGATTAAGCTCTGTAGTTTCCCGAATCGCTTGTGGGTATCCCCAAATACAGGATCCATTTTTGTTACACCGACTGTTGGGAGAATTTAAATGTGTTTGGGGGTGTTGATTGAATCGTAGAACCAATTCTCGCAAGACAGGATCTTCCTCTTCTGTAGGTACCTCGGCAGAGACAATGGAATCAATAGCTGAGAAAGGTAACTCGGGATTCACCTGATAATTTTTAGCATCAACCTCAATTGTGTTTTCAATTATCATACTTTAATAACAATATGTGCATGTGGTAACCCCCTTTTTTGGAACTCTATAACCCGAACAATGTAAACTATTGTCCCTAAATGGCTCCGAATTTTGGCAATAGCATTCTCTAGCTTTGCTTTAAATACCCGACAAACAATAATTGGTATATCTGAAGCATTCTGTCCTGGATTCAATCGTTCTTTAATTTCTGACCAGTTAGGATTTGTCGTAATCGTAATAAAAAATGAGGGTTTGCCTCTTGACCGACAGATAGCAAGAGAGTCGGCAACCTCATTCGATGCCCATGCTCGGGAACCTAGGAAAGAGTTGGGTAGTGTCGTGCCTTTCTCGATAGGGAAATCTCCTTCTGCCTCTGCATTTGCAGATTGCTGAATGTATTGTCGCTCTGGCCCTTTTCGTATATAGTCCAATCGTTCATCTTCTACTCTCGAATACATATCCACCAGGTATTCTCCACACAATCTACCAAACCTCAGAAATCGGTTCTCTGTTGTGAGTCTGGCTCTATACCATCGAATTTGACTGATATCGGATTTGCAATCCCAACCAGGTGTACCATGAGGAAAGAAAACAGGATATTGTAATGGCTCGTAAAGGGGACTTAATATACTGATAGCTTTTGGACGATCGAGGATATTGTTATAAACTAATACACTCCGAGGATAGACTTTTTGTATATTGTTGGCATGTATAATCGCAGCAATTTCTCCACCACTTGTTGGTGTATATAACTCTAGTGCAAGTGGAATATCTATTGCAGTGGTAAATGCTGCTCGGAGATGGTAAACAAAAGGATTGTTATCTTCAAGTAGTTTTCGAAAGCTGATAACTAGGGAGGAGGGTACACCAAGCTCAAGAGCTAGTGAGTCTCTTGAATCCTCATCGTGAAGGAACCATCGAATTGAATGTTGCCCTTGGTTTGCATCCAATAACTGATGGTATACTCGTCCTGTTATAGCAACATTTGAAGGTGTCGGTAACTGCCGAAATCCACCTGTAACTCCTAAAATTGAAAATGAAAAAATGTTGTTAAGTTTTCGGCTGATCCGACTCAACTGAGTGCCATGTTGCTCAAATTCAGTTTCGGTATCGGGAGGATATACTGGTAGGGAGGGTAATCGATATTTCCCATTAGTACAACACCAACCATTATTCTCACTAGTCAATAAAGCTGCACCACAATAAGTGCATTGTTTTGACCAACTAATAATATATGGTCGTAGATGAGTTGTTTTTGTAGGTAAAATATCCCACCAATTGCTAGTTGATGAATTTGTTTCTATATTCAAGTTGCTTTGGCTTTGGGTAGTATGTCGGCGATTTGTAATTTGATGTTCAGCTCGGGAATTTAATCGCATCTCAATTCGGTCTAATTGGGAGCTAGAGGCTTGAGAGTTTCTATTTCTTCTTGTTCGGATACGATTGGAATTTCTGAGATCATCGGTTGATTGTATGGAATTGGTTCTTGGCATATTTGCATTAAATATTGTACTGTAATATAGAAATCTGTTCAATAAATTCCTAAAGAGGGATACACGATAATTATATATATCCTTGATAATAATATACTCTCCTGACTAAAAATAAAATAGCTAACGATGACTCAGAAAACTATATATCCAATACCAAACTTATACTACTCGGAACCAACAACCTCAATTATTTCATCCTCAATATCCTCAAACTCGTCATCGACAGAACAGTCATTAGATACACTCGAAGCTTTCTTTTTGGCTGATGTAGTAGGTTTGGAAATAGAAGATGAGCTAGCAGTGATCTTTGGAGGGGGGGGAGAACTTGAATACAAACTTGAATCATCCATCGCAGATCTTTTCTGAGCCCGAGCACCCCAAGATCTTCCAACATTTTTGGACTCCGATCTACCTGAAGTTTGTCCAAGAGACCCACCTCCTGATCCAGATTGCATTACTGAAATATAGTTTAACGATGACACTATACAACCAAGAAAAGAATGTGATGCCAGTGATGAATTATCAACGATTACTCTACCAACTAATCTCCCACTGATTTGAATTACACTATCGACTTGGGGTAATTTTGTGCTCTCCCACCTCTTTCCTGGTGGTATATACCACCTGATTACAAAATACTTTCGGGAAGCTGATTTGGAGGCAGCCTCTAAATCATAGTAGGAGGATCGTAAATCAAAGGATCTCCAGCCTATAGGGAGAGACTTGATAGTACCCTTAGGTTGTCCTACAACCTTCCCGACTGAGTATATAGTGGCACAAGAGGGTGCAGGGGCTATATCGTCAAATCGTGGATGTGTCGGGTCACCAGCAAATCTAAGTTAAATTTATTAGTTCTAATTTAATACACAGTAAAGCAAATTACTTACTCGCTTTTATTCAGTAAAGTAATAACAACTGGTTTGTCTTTACCCATATCGCAGAATCTGCCTGAACATATTCCAACAGAGTTTTCGGTGGATTCTGTAAGAGAATCGCTGACAAAACAAACGATTCGGCATGGTATATCTTCCTCATCGATTACTGAATTTGGTAAATCATCGCTCTAGCAAAATAAAGTAGAATCGTAGATTTTGAGATAGCCAGTTTTGTCAGTCTTATTGGTAAATTCAAGCATGCAGTGAATTTCGGTAGAAGCATTCTCGTTGAATATTTGAGGCATCGTATCAAAAGATATTGTAGGCAGAGAGTTTGGAATTGATTGTTTAACTAAAAAATAATGTGCGATCGAGAGTAACTTTAAACTATAACTCTAACAATCAAAACTCTGACTAACCCTAACAATAATAGAAAGACAACGTAAGATTTCCGTATTGCATCATTAGCAATAACATCATGAGCAATGACATCATTAGAGGGAAAAAGCAATGTCCCTGCCCGGGTTCAATAGAAGGAGACAGTAAACTCCCCGATTCGCCACTAACAGCAATAGAGGGAAAAAGCAATGTCCCTACCCGAATTCAATAGAAGGAGACAGTAAACTCCCCGATTCGCCACTAACAGCAATAGAGGGAAAAGCAATGTTCCTGTCCCCGAATCGCCACTAACAGCAATAGAGGGAAAAGCAATGTTCCTGCCTCCGAATCGCCACTAACAGCAATAGAGGGAAAAAGCAATGTCCCTATCCGAATTCAATAGAAGGAGACAGTAAACTCCCCGATTCGCCACTAACAGCAATAGAGGGAAAAAGCAATGTTCCTGCCCCCGAATCGCCACTAACAGCAATAGAGGGAAAAAGCAATGTTCCTGCCCCCGAATCGCCACTAACAGCAATAGAGGGAAAAGCAATGTTCCTGTCCCCGAATCGCCACTAATAGCAATAGAGGGAAAAAGCAATGTCCCTATCCGAATTCAATAGAAGGAAAAAGTAAGGTCCCCGATTTGTTGCTTATATCAAGAAAAAATAATATTATCAAAATATTACTACTCAAACTACCAAGAAAAAGCAATCTAATACCTGGCCAATCAAAACCTTTAAATAACACATTGCATATCGGTATATCTATATACTTATTAGATATTGCCTTATCGGTGCTGTGCACTCCACCACATTTCAGGATCCCGACATTAAGTGATATTCAAATCTCGGACCGGAAGAAAGTCATAATACATACCGAGATCTGCAGATAGTGTGCATTTGTGCTACTCCACGTGCTGAACCTCCACCAATCAAGTCGCCTTGGGACCTTTTATTAGTACTCCAAATCTCTATCCAACCAAAGATCAAGATAATCTAGTGCAAATAATTTACCTTCCAAACTCGATTGGATATAAGCCTTTTAAAATTAGTTGGAGTACAGGGATCGTACCAACTACAACTCCATTAGGAAGTTCAACAGACCTGTTATCGTATCGGTGGATACCGAGCTACAACGGTCTCTTCCGTAGTGGCGGTTTTGTTTACATATCCTCGGCCAGCCAAGTAAAAAGTAAATAATGGGAACTTTCAAAGGGTTTAAGTAGAGCACTGGACGCAGCTCATTCGCAGGTTTGGAGCTGTATCTTCCTGTGCCGCCAAATCGCTAGTATGAAGTTCCTCCTTCCTGCTGTTCTTTCCCTTGCACCCTCCCTCGTCTCTGCCTGGGGACAGCTGGGGCACCAGACTGTAGGACTCCTGGCACAGGCTTACCTTCTCCCAGGTACGATCGAGAAGGTCCAGTACTACCTCAATGACACGACCCCAACGTATATGGGCAACATTGCGACTTGGGCAGACAGCTACAGATATACGGAAGGAGGTGCTTTCTCTTCAGGGTATCATTTTGTGAATGGGCATGATGATCCACCTCCACATTCATGTAAGATTGAATATCCTGGGGATTGCCCTCCAGAGGGGTGTATTGTGAGCGCTATTGCAAATTATGTAGGTTTATCCACTTTCGGAGAGATCAGCAGGCAGACTAATGATGAGCAGACTGCAAGGCTGCAGAGCAAGAAGGTCGAGTGGATAGACAAGAGGGATGCTCTAAGATTTCTCATTCATGTTAGTATTCCCACCTTTGTTTTTCGACAACAATTCTGGCGCGCAATAATTCTAATGCCCCTCAGTTTCTCGGAGACATCACCCAGCCCCGTAAGCTCATCCTCCGTCCAATGTGATATGTATCTCACTAACCTTCCTTAAGTTCATACCGAAGCCTACGGTGCTGGTGCCAATGATGTCGCCGTAACATTCCTCGGGAAGTCCACAAACCTGCACGCCGTCTGGGACACATCTATCCCTAACCTCATGCTCAACGTCACAAATAACACTCCCACCTTTACCGACTCCTTGGGTTGGGCAAACAACCTTGCTGCCAAGGTCAATGCGGGTGAGTTTAAGCGTGAGGTCGACAATTGGATCCGGTATCACGACGTCAAAGGTGACGGGCCGGCGAAGAGTGCGGCAAAGTGGGCTCAGGATTCGAATAAGTTGGTGTGCGGGTATGTGCTTGAGGAGGGACCAGAAAAGGTTAATGGGACGGAAGTCGCGGGTGGTGAGTATTATGAGGGAAGCACTGGGATCGTGGAGATGCAGATTGCGAAGGGTGGGGTGAGGTTGGCAGCATGGTTGAATATGATCTTTGAGGGAAGACCGGGTTTTAATTAGCTGATTTATATGAATACCCCGATGCTAGTACTAGAATAAATATCTATCATGAGGTTTGGAAGAGAACTAAGAATGCAGTTATTTGAGAGATGGGATTAATTCAATAAACATATATATATATTGTTAAATTATAAATAAAAGTAACGGAAAAGGTCTAAAATGACACAGTTTTCAGTAGACGTGCTCTACAATAACACATGAATGCAAGATGACACAGTTCGGTATAATCCAAAACTAATACATCAATTAGTATACGTATTGGCTGAGCAATGATAATATCGAAGGGTCAGGGTTCGAGTTCGATCTTCATCTTGGCACACTGCCAAGTTAGCTCAAGTATCAGCATCCACTATGGGCGGGGGTCTAGTGGATAGACTGCTCGTCAACACCGAGCGTACCCAGGATACAACCACACACACATAAGGTCCTGGGTTCAAACCAGGGGTGGGGGTAGCAGTCGCTGCAGTACCTTTTGTAGTTTTGTACCTTTTGTAGTTTATAGAACGTTTTGTTCTTTTTCTTCTCTTTTTTTACTTCTAGTGACAGCAAACTGTCTTTTTGCTACTTCGGAGCACATATACCGAAAAATGTGTCATTTTAGGCCTTTTCTGTAAAAGTAATTATATTAGGTAGGGTTAGGGCCTAACATTATGCATACGTGTAGGTGAGGTATATGTGCACATTAGCAACCACTTCACATCTTGTGTTTTCTGGCATATCGCGATTAATACTTAAAATATCGACCTCTAGCTCTGGCCGTTGATTACATGTATTGCTCTTACACCTCACTTGGGTAGCTAGCTGGCTAATATAAATAACACATATTATACTGCAGTATACTACATGCCATTACTACATGTATATTACGCTGCGCTGGACTTTAGGGAAAGTTTGCTATTGCCAATACGAATGGAGATCTAGGAGGAGAAATAATTCAGGAGAGTCTATTCCATGTCAAGTTTCAAGATTTCTTCTCCGATTCGGTTTTGCCTTCACTTTTCTTTGTCACTCGTTTGCCTTCTCCATACATATAATGTGCATTTCTCGTAGGCGTCGAACAAAGAGAGACCTTCAAAAAAATATACGGAGCTAGCCTACAGCTAACGAATGAACACAGCTACCGACTCAGTGACATAGACCTCGCTAGCCTGTGTAGATTCGATAATTCCTTTGTCCCAAAGATGGCAACTGAAACTCCCAGCTTGGTTTGTCACATACCTTATATGAACATGTATTATATCATGTCAAGCCTACAAAAATCCCTTACTTTTTCGAATTCTGTAAAATAGGTCTCGATTCACTATATTCATTCAAAATGACAACTCCTCCCCGAGTTTACTGGAAAAATGCCGACAGACTCGTGCGAGCCGAAACTCAAAAGGAGATTGACAGGTGGTTCTGGAAGTACAAAGTGAACTTCAACGACCCCACCCGATTCGCTACTGTTCTCTACAAACTCAATGCAAAAGTCAGAGCTCTCGAAGATCTCGACACTAGGCCCAAATATCAAGTGAGACTGAGTTACATTGATTTAACTACCATCCGTGGGTCCAAGGCACTTACGGAAATTCTCAGAGAGATTGCTGGGCTAAGAAGCCATAGACATCGCATGGATGCTCTGAGCATCCTCCATGAAGTTTATAGACGAACTGCAGGAGAGGAACCCCACAATATAAGGCCAACTCCACTGAATCCAGGTTCCATACCAACGCCTAGAGCCCCTGATGAGCTAAAAAGACCACTGAATGAGTATGAAATTGCTCGTAGAAGGCCAGTAACTGCTGAAGAGATAGCAAGCACTATGCCAGAGTGGGATATGCATGATCCTCTACCTGGGCCATGGATCAGGGAAAAGACCAATAAACTACCACCACCAGATAGAGGGATGCGGAATAGAGAATTGCAGGAAACCTTATCAACTCAGTTTGCCAATGATCCTAACGCTAGAGCTAGCATCGTGAACTTCCTAAGCACAGGAGCTCTGAATCCAGGGCGCGTCCAGAGGAAATATCTCGACAATCCTGCTGAGATATTACATGATATGCCACACCAAGATAGAGTTCCGATTATCAGTAGCCCAATATTACCAGGTGAAAGTGGGGAGACTCCAGAGGAAATAATTGCTGGGCAATACGACATCAACAATGATGAGGAATACTGGCCAACGCTAGATGTTCTTGATCTAAGAAGAGGCTCAGAGGATTCTTGCGGCTATCTAGAGGAATCGGACTATATATATCAGCTCGTTGCGCTGGTAAGACGGGTTCTCAGTCAACCAGAGGTTGCAAGACATTATGTATGGATCTGCCGTGCGCATCCTTCTAGATATCAAAACGATACCGAGGACCGGTTCGAAGATGAGGGCCCACCAACCGCCGAAGAAGGTAGCTAGGATTCTCATTTACTGATACAAACCCTGAGATCTACTGTCTTTATACTGACGGTAATCATCCGAAAATAGTGGCATGTATAATGGCTCTCCTTAGAATGACATTTCCAGAGATCGTTATATCGCCAACAAAACACACACTACGGGATGACATTGACACGTCGATGTCTGACTCGGAAGATACATTTGAAAACAATGAGTCTTCAAGGCTTGAAACTAATTCATCTGCGAGCGTGAGGGAATCAGATGATTCTTCGTATAATCCCAATGATTATTCAGATGACGACGAGGATGAGGATTATTTGCCTACACCCCCCAGAGAGACAAACCACAGATCTGGGAAAAGAGCAAGGCGGGGGATACGAAGAAAAGGTGGGATAGAACCAGGACTAGAGGGACCTGAAACAATGCGCGAGTATGCCTATCACAACAGGTTTACAAATCCCACCCAAGTGAAATTAAATGGAGTCCTTTTCGATATGATTGAAAACATGTACTACGAAAGACGACCCATTGGGCATATATTTTATCTTATCTTTGTTGTGTTATCTCATGAACTAGCCCATTATCTTAATACTTGTGTAAGCTCTCGAATCATTACTCAATGCTGGTTTTATACTAATATGGTTAGCTAACAAGGCTCGCTGTGGAATAGATATGGATCAGAGAACAGGAGAGATTACAGCTGGATCTGACAGATAATGGTAATAACGACACTTGGTATAAACTTCTAGACACGCCAAGAGGTATGCGTTGGCTCGTCTCAAATGCAACTGCAGAATTGACAGAATCCGATAACTACAGTAGATGGGCCTTCCGAGTAGGTGAGATGGGTGAGGTTATCGAATGGTCACTTTACAACTACATAATGGAATCCGAGATGTCAAGAACAGATCTATCAAAGAATGAAGCCCTATATATAACATGTTGGGGTTCCTACCCCTTTATCTCGGCACGATTTCCGGAATTATCGCAACTTGAATTCACCGCCTTTGCTGGAACTCAATTGTTTCGAACCCTTCCACCTATACGTATGGTGTCCTATGACGCTATTCAAACCTTCATCAATCAAATGGCAGCTGCAGAAGAGCTATTTAACACGGCGTCCCCTGATACTGATATGCGGTCGCAGCTCACCTATAGCATGCAAGAGCTTTTGCAGAGAGATAACTCAGTCGACATTGAGATGTCAGATCCAGATGCACTGTTCACCGGATACGACCTTGGAGGGGCTCTCAAACGAAAGAGATATCGTAGAGCCACCCAGGCAATCCGCTGGCAACAATGGGAAGCTCAATTTGATCCAACACCTAGGCTTACACTTTTCCCAGTCAGAAAATCAAGTATTGTTTATGGCAACCGACCTCCACTCATTCCACCGGGCGGGCTACCGGGGAGGATAATAAGGCCATCGCTTCTTGGTTACCCCATCGTAATTGGTACTCTAAGCGCTATATTGATCTACGACTATCCTTACCCAGGCACCTGGGGTATCCTAAGCTATGCGCCGTCGGTAGTCTGTGTTCTGTTTATAGGAAGTTGTATTTTGCCTACGAGAATATTCTTCAAGCCGTTGGCAGATCGAAGGATCTATACTGCTGCTGTATTGAGTTTCTTATTTCTTTCATTCGGGGGTCCTGGGTTTATTATTTGGGGTACTGAAGGGTTGGAGCTATGGATATGGTTGGAGGATTATGAATACGGTGTTGAAATTTTTAGGTTGATTATCTTAGTTTTGTGCATATTAATTTCGTCTGCAGCAGCGAATTTCATCTTAAAAATATGACGGGGAATATTAGTCTGTAAATATAGTTAATTTTTCTGGGAATTGTAGTTGTGGCTGTGCTGTCAATGATTTAACACCATGATTTTGTCAATTTAGCCGTTCCGTACTCTAGTGACGTCATTGAATCTAGATCAGCAGTTATTAGCTACCTCCATAAAGAACACAACTCTTAACCTCTTCTCATTTCCACCTAGCTCTTTAATTCACCTAGTTAGTGTTCTAGTAATATATCTCTCACTCAGCCATACGTCTCAACACTCCCATGGAAAACCCTGGTCAGCACAATACCAAAGCTCATGCTTACTCTGCCCAAGCTCAACTAGCTAACCCAATGATCAGTGACAGAAATAGCCCCCATAATAACCGCCCTCACCACCTCTCCACCCATACACCAACGTCATGTACTTGAAACCTATTTCCTCCCCGATAGCTCCTTCGACCACCCCCTCTACCGTGTCCACCACTGCCAAAACTCCTTCTTCACCTCCCGATTTCTGATACTGGCTATATACCGATGTTATAAAGTCCTATCACCAAACATACAGATTAATGTGAACAGCGTTGGTTCGTATTAATACTGCACTCACCCAGTAAGAACTGGTAGTGACTATGAAATCGTATAGCCTTCGATGAGCCCAAAGGTAAGCTCTACGTAGACAGTATGCAGGTCTTCACATTCTGGTTCACCCCGTGGCACCACATCGTCGTCTCTCTCGTCAGCGTCTTAGATCTCGAGAAGCGTCTAGTGGTGCCTAGACAAGGCGAACAGCAACCGGAAGAGGGGGAAGAAAAATGGTATATAGCGCGGCAGAACGACCTCTACCAGACCGACCAATGGATTGCCTTTCTACCATTCTTATTTCCGGGGGCTAGGTATGCACTTCTGCCCTTATGTCCTGTTCTGCACCGCTGCTGACCAAGCTGCCGGTGGTCTCCTAGGACAATTGTTGGGATAGTGAAAGATTTGGCGGCGCTGGCCTGTTTGATTGGTGCTACTTTGGCAGCTTTGATGGGGGTTGTTGGGGAGTGCGGGGTGGAGGAAATGTGTGAGCAGTGCAGACATGTTGGAAGAGCTGGTAGGCAGTCGAGGGATAAAAGGCTCGAAGATAGGACTCAGGCTGTTATTCTTGAGGAGGATAAAGAACTGGCGGAGCTTGATGATTAGAGGATAACCCGCTCCAAGCACCCGGGAGTCTAGGAGCTTTCCTCCCGTTTGGAAGGGGGGGGGGGGTTTATTGTCGTATATTAGCAGGCAGGTGAAGCGCAGTGAAACTTTCATAAACCCTCATATATAGGGGACGAGAATGGAGACAAATCATCCCTTCATCTATCGAAAAATGCTGCCCACCCCTAGTCTGAAGTCGCTACCATTGATAGAGTGAGTGAGTGTGTGCCTTTGCCCACGAATTTCATTCAAGATCTTCTTATCAATCTAATCCATAGTGTCTGGCGGGAAAGCTACCCCACCACCCGCCCCAGCGCCCAGCGTATCAGCAGTAGTTCCGGTAGCATAGTTGAATAATGCACCCTATTCCTTTGCCAGAAGCACTTTTTGTTCTTTTATCTCAAAACAAGAGGGTGGCCAGTGAGTACATATGCATTCGTGGTGGATTGTGACTACAAGTACAGGGTTACATACTAGTGTCCCCTTAGCTCAGTTTTTCCACTCTCTCCCTTAAATAATCCTTCCCGGCCTTTCACAGTTGTGTGGGCGAGGTAGTCTAGTGGTAGACGCCTCGTCCTGTCTTACACCGTGTGGGTTGAGCCCCATGACCGCCCGGAGACGTCCGGAGGTCGTGGGTTCAACTCCGGGGGTGGGAGTGGTGCTCGGGAAGTACGACACTTTCACGGGAAGCAGCGTTCAATCTCGAATTAGAACCTGTAGACCGTGGGCGGCGTATAGTCGCAGCATTAACTTTTTGTGTATATTTATTACCCATTTCTTTCTGAAGGGGTATGAAGAGGGAGGGCCTTAGTGGGGTGTGATATCGATTGGAACTCTCTCTGGCCGGCCTACAATTAATTGCAGATTGAACTATCTTGGCTTATCGCTCACTATTTGGCCAATCGGTCTCCAGGGCTGGATGTAGGATTAGGCCGGTTTAGCGAAACTCTTCCAGGCCATATTGAGCTTATTGTGTTCTCCGAAGCCCTCCTTGTGGGTTAGGAGTAATTCTAGGAAAGAGTGCTCACTCATGATCATGTTCCACGCACATTTTTGATGAGAACCAGAGACCAGCTGATATATTGCACCAACTCTATCTAGTCGCAGAACTTATATTCTTCTGATCCCGTATGCGCACTTTCTAGAACTCCCAGCTCCTCCCAAAAAGACAATACAAAAAAGATCATTGCAGTGATGACGAGTAAGAAATAATTACGGAGGAGTAACACAAAAAAGATATATATCCCTACTAAGCTAAATCAAACTGCTTTGAACAAAAAAGAAAAGAAAAAGGAAGAAACAAACACCGTATATATGATGATATCCCGGGCCTGACACAACGAAACAATCCCTAGTGATAGCTATCAATCCTCCTCCTCTTCCTCATCCGACGAGGACTCATGCTCCTCCTCCTGCGCCTCCTCAACCGCCTCAGCAGCCCTCTCAGCAGCCTCCTCGTTATCGTCCTCCGCTATTTCACGCACCCACCATCAGCAACTACAACCACATATCTCGGGAATATAGTGGTAAACTTACTCATCTCATGCGCAATCAGCGCACCGGCAGCACCACCGATAACCAGACCGGCCGCACCAGCAACCAGCATATCCGTGTTGCCGCTGTCCTTCTTCTTGTCCTTCTTGTCCTTCTTCTCCTTGTGCTCTTCGTAGTGGCCGTCGTAGCCGTGACCGCCGTGCGAGTCGTGGCCGTGGCCGCCGCTATGTGCGTCGTACCCGTGGCCGCCGCTGTGTGGGTCGTGAGGGGGCGCGGCGTAGTAGCCGTGGGGGGCGCCGTGGCTTTCTACTCCGCGGTCACCTAAGAGGAGGAGGGGTGTCAATACTTTATTCACGAAAGGAAAAGGATATAGTAAAGTGGAGTACGAACCTGAGATGACGCCGGCGCCGACACTGGGGTGATGCCATTGCGATACCTGAAGCAATATATATTAAGTAACAATTCACCCAACGCAATCACTCCAAGATGATAGGGAACGGCTTACCCTAGTGTGCTCGTTCACGTAGTACCATGTCTTATAGTTCTCATCGAACCTCGCGACGAATCCCGGCGGGCACTGCGACGGTCCCGGCACCGGGGGTGGGAACGGAGGCGGCGCATAGTACGCCTGCCCGTCGTGGCCGTACGATGGGGCGGCGTGGCCCTGGCTCTGGTCGTAGTACTGCTGGGGCATGGGAGGGGCGCCGTACCCTGAGTGCGGAGGAGGGACGCCGTACGGGTTGTGGGCAGGGGGTGCGCTATATGAGGGTGCCTGCTGCGCGGGGTATCCGTATTGGTCGGCGCTGCGGGTGGCCTCGCTGTGCTTGTCTACTTTCTTTTCTTTCTTTTCGTCCTTGTCGCCCAGGAAGGACTCGAATTCGGCGCCGAGCTTCTTGAAGAATGACATAGGTATAAATATGGATGGGGGTGGGTGGTTTGGGTTTTTTTTGTTTTTTGGTAGAAGTTGTTTTATTGAATAGTAATACTCGAGAAAGCTTGATGTTCTTCCAAAAGACGTTCTTTATTTCCAGTATTTATAATGTCCTCCTCCCCAAGCCCCCACGGGGCCTCTACCCCTCTCCCATCCCGCTATCCCATATTCCTCTGCCCGAAAGCCCATCAATCAACATGTGTTCCAGGCCCCCGAGGCTACAAGGATCCATCTATAACCCTTAGAACTCCAAAGACCCTGTGAGAAGGAATTCCGAGGCCTGGGGGGGAGGGGTGCAAGCTGCCACAGATTGGATATTAGGTATTCCCCACTGACCCCACAATGTGAATGAACCACTACATATTTGACGTTAACTCATTGGCTCGTCAAGTTAAACTCCATTGCATAGCACACGGGCCATCCCATATTTTAACCTATACGTGCCAGGCCAGGGTTCCAGTTAAAAAAAAATATATCAAACTATTCAAGAATCCCCTTATGAGTATTTGCTGAAATGCCGAGAGTTTTCTGTACCGCCAAGTGGTGTTTCGCTGGGGGCTGTGCTCAAGGACGCGTAACACGCATGCCCAGCTTATCAGCCGTTCCCCTAATGATTGATAGTCATTTGTTTCGGAACTTCTTGGCATAAAAGTCCGACATTGCTTCTTTGTCTTCAAAAACTCTTGGAGCGTTGCCCTGAGGAATAAATCGGTCGAATCGTTGGGTTGGGTTACTAATAATTGTGAGGTTGTTCGTGGTTGTCATGTACTCGTAGACCTTAGTGGACACAGACACCTTGGCGGACCGATAACTATTGCTACCCGCAAAAGTCACGCCGAAGGTGAACCCGAGAGCAAAGATCAGACATAACCCCCCTACTCGATTGATCCATCACCAAACTCAGCATTTAGACGAGCTTTTCTGCCAAGGTTTATTGGGACGAGGTATTAAACACTCCCATATGGCTGGGGACGTCATATGGTTTGTGCATATGCTAACACCAAAAAAAACACTGCTAAGCGATTTTGGGACTATTGAAATGTAGCCAATATGGAAAATGCGGTCTTGGCAAATTGGCAGTGCAGATGTGAATGATATCCCACTATTTAATGCCAAATATGTCGAAGTGGACGGTGCGATGGGGTCCTGCCTAGGATAGGGTGGAGAAATGGGTGCCTGCCTAGAAAAATAGTATCTAGGAGAAGAAGGTGCCAGACGCTCTGCCAAAAGCTTGATAAGATGTTGCAATTTATTTATTGTTCATGCATAATCCGCGATGTTAATTCAGCTCTCGGGGCTGAAAAGTACAGGGGGGGGCATACGCAGCTGGCTCCTCGATCCTCCTGATCACGCTCTTCCGTATCTCTCCATGTTTGCCTGGCGAGAGATATTGTTTATACGTGATCAGGTATGTCGAGAAGGTCTGCCAATAACTCGGATCACGATGGAATGGGTCAATGACCATGTGGGTTGCTGCTGCTGCTAGGCAGCTATGAACCAGCTTGGCTAATTGAATCGTGCCCTTGCCCTTTTCTCCCCCCGCTAGGTAGCTCGGGTTTTGCGCATTTATCCATCTCCGTTCCCCGGCGGTTTCTCGTATCGATGCCATCAAAGCAAAGCAAAACCAGTTGATTTTGATTTTTTTTGGCCCACTTTTTTTTGAAGCTTGCTCCTTGCGAATTCATTTTGTCGGCATCGTCGAGAAGAATCCCCTGGCTCTCGGATAATGCTGATGCCGCCGTAACCCTCTCGGCGAAGTTCTTAGTGCGGAGTTGCGATCTCCAAGAAAAAATAATTTGCCTGTAGAGAGCACATAAGCCCATGTCTGTGTAAAATACTCAAGGATTCGTTCAAAAATCATGGGACAACGCAACCGCGAGTTGCTACGGGGGCTTGTCCTAGGATTTTTGACATGGAGTTATACATACAGCGCGTGATGAGCAAGAAGCTTATCCGAGTACCATGCAATTCTTCCAAGAGCCAGGAACTATTAACTCCTCACCCCATCCCTCGCAGTTAAAAAAAAACTGCCATCACCGAAGCAATTCGGATTACTGATTCTTGATGCGGATGCGGGTGCGGTGCGGCCTCGGCGGTGGTGGGGTGGGGTGGGAAGTCGGTCGGCCGTTTGCGTGTGTCGAATGGCCGCATCACGTGATAGTCGGTAACTGGAGCTGCTTTTTCGACAAATCCAAACAGCTTTGGAGAAGATGTCCGCCCAGAAAGCTTGAAGTGTTCCAACAAGAGTCTTGGAGAACAGAAAGCAGGAGAGGTCGACTTTAAACCAAGCATTATGAACTGGCCCATCGACGGAGCAGCCTCCGTCACCCTAGTCATATATCAAAAAGGCGGGGGGTACAAAGCTGCCGTGTACGTGTGGCGTTTTGTTGCTGCTGTTGTGTGTTTTTCCCCTTCGCTTTTGTAGGCTTTATTGGTTGGGAGTGAGCTGGAAAGTGGTGGTGGCTGAAACAGTTGGGATACCTATGGAGGTTGGTGGTATCCTTTGCTGACTAGAGAGTCCTTAAAGTTTGCAAAATACTGGAATCGATCGTGAATAGCAACCAACGACTCCAAGAGCTCAGAGATCGACAGTTGTTAAATTACAGCTATGGCCTGTAACACAGATGTCAATTATCACGATACAAGATGCCAGTGGAATTATTAGACGTCTCTCAGACACTGCGCGGTGAGCTCCAAATAGACCAGCCGCATCAACAGCCGAAAGACAGGAGTCGCTGCTTGCGAGGAACGATCTTCATCGAGCAGTGCTCTGATGAAGTTGGAAATGAAAACGAAAACGAATGGAGCTCTAATTGCGGAAGGGCAAGCTTAAAGTGAATCGATGACAGGTTGCACGCAATGGGCCTTGAGGCTTGAAGTCAACAAGAGTACAATTTACAAAGTTGAGTACAACATGGCCGTTACGACGTTTCCAGTCTCTCAACGGAACTCTAAACAGCTCCCTCTCTAATTTAAGCCTCAAATACGTTTTGCGAAGTCGTCAAGACGGACTCTCCCAGCCAACGCTCACACTGGGCGTTGGAACACTGAAGTCTGAAGCCGACTAAATACAATTCAGTACCGTGGCAAGCTGCCGTCTTGTGTGTTCTTCCTTGTTCTTTCTTTTGCTGCGCGGAATGCAGTATTCGGACAAACAATCCCTCGCACCAACAACAAATTATCCAAATTATTGTTTTGAAACAAAGAAACCCAAGAGAACCAATGTCCGCGGTCAGCTATTAATATGTAATTACATAAGAAGTGCAGTTCCCAGCTCTTCTCCACGCTAGGCCAGACTCGCCAATCGATCGAGTGAGTGTTCATGACAGTGCAGCCAATCTCTCCCCATGATTAGTAGACCTCAATTTAATGCAACTCCAGTCTTCGGATGTCAGCCCATCACGGCGTGTATGTGTGTACCTAGGCAGAGCTAACATCAGTGTATGTAAATAGTCATCTCCCAGCTTCCTCTTGAAGCATCTCTCTCTCTCCACTTTCTCTAATATTATCCAATTCACCCCCCTTAGTACGATGCTCTCCATCGAATCGTTTCTCGCCGCTGCCAACACGGTTACCACGTGCATGTCTCATTCGCCCCTAAACCCTGCGGAGATTATGTCCTATTCGAATTCAGCATGTCCGGCCCAGCAAGCTATGCTCCCGCTGTCTTCTTCTTCTTCTCCAATGACATGTCAGTGCAGTGACACAATAACGCTGTTCGGGGGCTACGGGTGCGTATTGTGTTGCGTTCCCGCCGGTACTACATAAGCAGTGTCACTTCCTTCTTCCTTCTGCACCACATCATCGTAGTCCTGATCGATCTTTGCCCTCTTGGATTCTCCCCCGATTGCAAAAAACACTTCGTCTGTCTTTTCTAAAAATGAAGCTATCGCTTAGTACTGCTGCGGCTGTGATTGTCGCGGGCGCCGCTGTGCCGACGGCACTGGCGCAGAATCTGGGCATCCAGGACGTGCTGGATGCGTGGGACTCGTCGCCGTATTCGAGCTATCCCACACAGTTTACGCGGGATATCATACCGGTATGTTGATTCGCGAATTGATTGATAAACAGTCGATCGTTGTTTTGGCGCGAACGTGCGGCTGATTGCATTGGTGTCAATTGTAGAAAAAGTTGCACTCCCACAACGACTACTGGAGGAAGGCTCCCCTGTTTACCGGTACCTATAACCAATGATCACCAGCCCCACTTCGCGCTATCGACTGACAGCTATATTTCCAGCAATTGCGAATGGTGCAATCTCCGTAGAAGCCGATGTCTGGCTCTACAACGACACTCTCTATGTAAGCCCCACCAACTTATACTCCCCCCCCCCTCCTCCCCACCTCAAAGCTAACTAACCTTCTCCTCCAGGTCGGCCACGACACCTCCTCCCTCACCCAAAACCGCACCTTCTCGACCCTCTACATCAACCCCCTCCTCGAGATTCTCACGCTCCAGAACCCCACCACCCCCTTCGTCACCTCGCCCACGCGCAACGGCGTCTATGACGCCTCCGTCTACCAAACCCTCTTCCTCTTCGTCGACGTCAAGACCGACGGCGCCACGACCTGGCCCGCCGTTCTCAAAGCCCTCCAGCCCCTACGCGCACGCAACTATCTGACAACCGTCAACGGCACCACCATCACTCCCGGCCCCATCACCATCATCGGCACCGGCGCCACACCACTCGACCAGATCCGCAGCAAGAGCTCGCGCGACTACTTCTACGACGGCCCCCTGACCGAGCTGGATGAAAAGAACATCACGCGGGCCATTTCGCCGATTGCCAGCACGGCGTTTACGTCGACGATTGGCGCCGTGAATGGGACAGGGTTGAGTGCGGAGCAGAGGAAGAAGGTGGAGGGGCAGGTGAAAGAGGCGCATGAGAAGGGGATTTGGGTCAGGTATTGGGATCTGCCGAGTTGGCCCGTGTCGGTGAGGGATGGGGTGTGGAGGGATTTGGTGGCGGCGGGGGTGGATTTGTTGAATGTGGACGATTTGGAGGCGGCGGCGGGGTTGAAGGAGGTTTGGTAGTGGGGTTTGTGAGGTTGTGTGGTTGTGTGGTTGTGGGTGTGGGTAGATGGCTCTAAAGTGGGCGGATAGTTGTAGATCGGGACTGCTGCCTAGCTATAGGGCGGGTGCGGTTGTTGGGCCTGTGGAAGTAAAATTAATTATTTATATAGATGCGAGGGGAATTAAAAGAGCTTTAATTTGGAGCTTGGGACTCTTTGCTTTTTTTTTTAGTCGGGTGTTGTTAATTAAAGTAGCCCATAGAGTAGGACTCAAGTACCGCTCTTCCAGAAAAAATGCACGCATGTGGAAAACATCAGATACGGGACAAAATGTAGGGATAGCCCTGTGCCCAGAAGCTTATGTTTCCAGAACCACCGTCTTTGACAGATTTATCTCCATCCCCGAAGTACAAGTACAAGTAGCCCAAACTGCGGTGGAAATGATCATATTGCATGTAAACTTTCACGCCGCTAGAGAGTGGTCAGGGGGCCGGTTGTTGGTGGGCGTTGGAATGTTGGAAGGTTATCATTGACACTTACTATTCTTGCAATAGTAGGGCTCTGCGCCACCTAGGCTGAAGGTTTGTCTGACGGAAGGATAGGTGGGCCGGGCCTCGCCTCCAATTATGAAAGGGCACCGTGGGCACTAGTCACGCAGGGCGCAGAGTGGACCACTAAAGTGGATCAAGTGGATTGGTATTTAAGTGTTGATGAGTGCCAGGCTACTGGTAATATTGTTCCTAAACTGGACATCTACTAATTGCTAACAATCAATCGCGATCTGATATGCAGATAACAAACACCCACCAGGCTAGGCTACCAAACACCCAAAACAGACGCAACAATTGCAATTACAACGATTCAATTCCAACGAAAAAGATGACTCTGATTTCCGGTTTCCTCGTAATACATGATATAATAATATGCTATAAGATATACTTTTGCTACCAGCGCCGGGCCTCAAAACCCTTCTTCTATCGTACACCAATAAAACATTTATGTTTTTTTTCTTTCCTTTTTACTCGTGATCATGCTTGTGGCTCGCTCTTCCGCCCATCGCCGCAATCTCCCTCACCTCCTCCGTCGGCCTGTTTGCAAAGTTGCCTGGGTTCCCGTGGCCGGGCATGTTCTGCCTCTGCTTCTCCATGTAGTTCTCATGCGCCGTTTTCCCGCCCTTGGACGCAATCTCTCTCTATATCACTATTAGCCTTTCCATCCTCTCCAACATCAAAAGAAACCATAAGAAGAAGAGAGGGAACAAACCTGTTTCTCCGGATCCATATTCGCGAACCCTCCCGAAGCTTTTCCGCCCATAGACGCAATCTCCCTCACCTCCTCCTTGGGTCTGTTTGCAAAGTTTCCCGGGTTGCCATGGCCCGGGAGGTCATGCTTGCGTGCGGCCTGCGCGGCCTTTCCACCCTTGGAGGCGATCTCGCGTACTTCCTCGGTGGGGCGGTTGGCAAAGTTTGCGGGATTGCTAGAGTGCGACATTGTATAGCGTCTTAGTGGTGTTTTTGTGATGGTGCGGATGCGGGCGGAGCTCATGAAGTGTGTTTGTGTATGTAGATTTCGATACTGTGCGGAAATGGAGGAGGAGGAATAGGCGATGAAGGCCGGGTTTTATACATGATTTCGGGCTCCCGAAAAACAGGGAGATGCGAATTCACATGACGAGCTATGACATCGACGTGCCTGTGTAGAGGAGAGTAGAGAATACCGGTACATGTTTCTTCTACCGATATCTACTCTGCTCTTCCAACATTGCTAATCTGAATTGTGGTTTTTCTCTCTTCTGCCTGCGGGTGAGAAACGGGATTTGCGAATTTGCCATGGCCAGTTTGGGGGCAGATTGACATGCGATTCGCAAAGCTCAATCAGTGTGATGTCACTTGCAAACGGGAGCGGGCCTTGGCAGAGCAAGCATCCCCGCCGGCGCAACCAAGCAGGGAAGGGGAAATGATCGTTTGCTTGTTTTTCTTGTTTGCTTGTTGGGGATGCTCGATGCTGCTGCCCATGAAGATCGGTGTGGCGGGAGATTTGCATGTTGGGCTACAACTGTGGGGATGCAGAGACGTTGGTAGGGCAGGTACCTGCACTGCACTGCACTGCACTTTGTCGGCTTCGATGGAATAGTGCAACGCTGTTCGGCTGATCAATCGGTCAATGACTTGGTTCGTGCAAACGAAGGGGGTTTCATATCTAATTACTTCAGAATTCGTCGCCTTTGCGGTTAATGAGTAGATCGATAGTCACGCCCAATCTTTATGAGAGGATAACCATTCTCGAAGGCTTCGATTGGCGGAAAAAAACGAAAACAAAACAAAATCCAGGGTGCAAGATGTTATAGTAACTAAAACCCTGTTCTAGTAGAAACTCCGTTTTATATTTGGCGGCCCATTTTGCGTGTCCAGAAAATAACATACTTTAGAACTGAAAATTATCCCCCCCCCCCCCCTCTTTGTATGCCACCCACTAAAGGAGGATAAGTGAAACGTTATTTCAACTGATCGAGGCGGGCTCCCAAACAGACCCTAAGTACCTTAGGTGGTTCAAAGAGTTGATTAAAGAATTGACCAAGGTCTATGCTGTATGGATTATTGGACGGATGTCAATGCAACTGCATGTAGTCAGTCAGTATCTGAAGATAGTAGACTTGACTGATTTACAAGGGAAAGGGTCCCTCTTGTGCTGTAGATATATACTTTGCTTGGTGTGTTCTTGTCCTCTTCTTAAGGTCTCGTTGTTGAGTTGGTTACATGTCCTTAACCGATCCTAGCAGCTAGCTACATGTATATAGCCTACACCATTGCTTTCCTCCTCATCCTCATCCTCCACCAAAATCCCTGCCCAGGAAAACTTAATCCACTATCAAGAGTGAATTTACGTATGATGTTACCTTTGCAGCATAACTGCCTGTCCTCATCTGCAATTTACAACGGTACCTACAGACACACGAGAGAACCCGACCACCCCGACCACGAGGACCCAACCATCTAACTGTAACGTCATAAATACACATCGCCAGTTCCAGTGAGGATTCCTCGCTAGCATGATCAGGCCAGCTACCTAGGTCTTATAGAAAGGTAAAGACTATATCTACCTACCTTCACTTCCAAGTGGAGAGTCCTAACAGCCGTGATAGATCGTACCGCACCTACAGTAAATGGGATCAAGAATTCGGCTGTCTTGTTGATAGGACAGCTCATTTGCACATGGTTTCCACTCATGCAAAGTGGTGCATTAAAAGTCTCCCTTACTCGGAAAAAATAATCTCTTTGTCTATTTATTCGACTACTTGCTGACATATTCACTGAGACTGTTTCTTTTTTTTCTTTTTTTTCCCCCGCTTTATTCATTAATTACTATGTGAGATTGTTCTTTATAACCAGTTTTCTACATGTTTTTGTTTTTGTTTTATAACAGTCAAGTAGTAGGAAATCTCAGAGATACAAAAAGTGTTATAAACATGTCAAGCGGCAACTTCTCCAGTACGTGTGGCCCTCTCCTCTCTTCAGAAAAAACTTATTTACGATTAACTTACAGCAACCACTATTCCTGCTAGAACCGTAAACTTTTTGGGATATAAAGAGTAATTAACTCTCCCTCTTCTAGGTCAATAAACCATCCAACCAACCAGGAAACTAGCGCCGAAAGTGTACTGTTTGCCGAGTGATAAACAGTGATGGAATTCTTTACCACGGGATTTACAGATGAATACAGACACACACAAAATGTTTTTACTGATCTAGGTCTCTCATGGTCGCTTTTCTTTCCCTGGTGTGGCAGGCTGAGTGCAGATCATTTATACCCAACGCTGTCTTTCTGGAAATGCTAAACAATAGATACCTGAAATAGTACACTTGATATCCGTTTTAACTAGATCTCACCACCGCCAGCACCACCACCATCACCACCACCACCACCACCACGAATTATATACCAGATAACTGACTAAAGAAGACAGTTCATAGAGCCTATGGCTACATATTGGTCTCATCCGGAAACTCCCTAATCAGCATCTTCACGTCCTCCTCCGTCGCCGCCGGAAACGGCAGCAATGGATCAATCTGCTTGCTCGTGCAATACTTGAGCAGCGCATTCCTATCCGTCAAGCTCTCCATCACCAGCTGCATATCCGGATGATCGTACGGGCCGCCCAGACACAAATTTACCTGCTCCATCAGCCACGAAAACACAAACAGTCCCACCTTCGGCGAGATAAAGTCGTTCCACCAGTCATATGGCGGCATATGAGTAGGTATCGCGATACCCGGCTCCTCATAGGGGTCTGGATTGCGCATGGGAACCTGCTTGTTCTCGTCTTCCGAGTCGTAGTCGCCGCCGTCAGAGTCACCGTACATGCGCACGCCTTCGAGCGCAAGGTCGGAGTCGTAGTCGCTACCAGGGCCCTCGGCGTAGTCGTGGTACCCGGCGTTGGTGCTGATGGCCTCCTGGGGGAGGGTGGGTGTGAGGGCGGGATTACCCGCGGCCGTCGCCATCAGGTTCGTCCGCAACTCCGTTGCTACGAGAGATTCCTCGTTCCTATTCAGGCCCTCGAAGGCCTCGCTGAGCGGGAGATAGCTTGAGTTTTCCCAGTCGAGAATGGCCACGATCTTTGTGCCGCGCACCATGATGTTGCGGCCGCGGTCGAGGTCGCGGTGGCAGAACCGGTAGTTGCCTGTTTCGGGGGGGTCGGGGGGCGCGGCGAGGCGGTCGGCGGCGCGTTTGGCAAAATAGCCTTGGAGGACGCCGACGCGTGTGAGCCAAATGGCACGTTGGGCGCCCGTGAGGCCAGTGCCACCGGGGGCATCGGCGGCGGCGGTGTCGTGGCCGGCCCAGTAGAGGCGCTCGCGCTCGAGGCAGGAGGCGACGAATTCGATGGTGGTGGCGTAGGGGCCGTGGGCGTAGGCGCCGTCTGAGGTGCGCTGTACGTCCTGGAGAGGAAAAAAAGGGGGGAGATTGCTGTTAGCAATGATCGGGAAGACAGCTAATGATCGCAAAGACAGGAAAGGGTTGCTGAAAGACAGCCAATAACCAAAGAGACAAGAACGAGACTCCCGCAACCAATGGCTGGAAAGACAGCCAATGATGCAAAAGACAGAAAAGGACACACGCCGGGCAGTTCTTACTCGTCCATTCGCATACTGCGTGTAGTCTCTCATCTCGCCGCTCACATTCCCCTCCACAATCGGCCTGTCGCGATGAAATGTGCAATCGCCCGGAACCCGCACCGGGTTCGGCAGCCCAATGACCGAGTTCATCGAGCCAATGTGCGTCGACCGCATCTGCAGCAGATGCACCCTTATCCCCGCAAGCTGCATACAGAACTGGTTCTTCTTCCTCAAGCTCCACCCGTCCATGTTTCCAGTAAACCGCCTCCCCTTTATATCCTCCATCACCATCACCGTCTGCTGCGGCACCCCACACTCGGCCAGCCCATTCCCAAACCCAGGTGTCTGCCCAAACAACACTCGCGGCACTGGTATAACGTTCTTATAATACATGATCCGCTGCGTCAGCTCCTCATTGTAAAAGTCGGCCACTGTCCTTCCCGGATCCCGCCCCAACGTCTTGACAACGAATGTTTTCCGCTTCACCGTCGCGGGCCCATAATCCGAGCGGAACTTCCACACGTTGTTGTGGCGGCCGGGACGGATGCTACCACGGGGCCCATAGTGGGCGCCTACAACCTGCTGCGCGGGGGCGGTGACGTTGGCGAGGTGGGCCAGGAATAAGGGGCTGCGCAGGCGTCTGCGGATAACGGTACGCAGCTTTTCGAGCTTGGCGTTATGGGCGGCGCGGGCAGTGGTTTTGGACATGGCGCGCACGCCCCAGTAGGCGGCCTTTCGGGCCGCGGTGGTGTGAGAGCCGTTGCGGATTTCTTCTTCGGAGTCGTCGGCGAAGCTTGCTACGAGGCGGCCGTCTGTGCGGACGCGGTCGACGACGGCGACGGGCACCGCGGGGGGGGCTTTGTTTTTAGGGGCCATTGAGGGTGAGGGGGCGGGGGGTAAGGAGACTTCTAATGCGGGTGGAGTTGTGGAGGTGATAGATATATGCTAGACTTGGGAAGTTATCGTGCACCCTGAAATTAGTCGAAAACCAACAGACCCAGAGACTCAGTGTGAGGCGTGCACAGTTCCTATATCGCAATCAGCAAACAAAGACTCTCCCCGGACAAAGAGATAGCCATGCTGACAAAGGCGTTGCGGTTGCTCGACAATGGTGCTGTGCGATGTTTCTTTGTCCTGTCCGTGGGGGGGGGGAAACATGTATTGGGAATCATTGGTTCCACCAGACAACCGGTGTGAGTGATAGTTGATGACTCCCGTCCACATTTGTCGAGTGATGAGGCGTGAGTGGAAGTGTTTCAGGGAGGGCCGCTGCACGAGAGAACATCGGCCGCAGAGCTGATGCCGGTATGGGAGTGGAGATGACTGGGAAGAGGTTTACGAGTCGAGACTCTACTCTTTTTTATCAGATAGCTGGTTTGTGACAACATGTGGTCAGCGAGCTGCGACCACATATCCTAACCGGATAACTGCTGTCTCTTGGAACTGTATGTGGCCTAACGAGAGCCCCAAGCGGATTTTCTCTTCCAGCTGTGGGTTTCGTCGTTTTGGGGGTGGGTTGGGGTCGTAGGTTGGGGGGAATGGCTCTGTGGTGATGCCTGCCAGCCGTGAACGCTTCTTGCGAGGGTGACTGGCTCATGGACATATAAAGATAGAAAGGGAAGAGAATAGAAGAAAATGAGTGAGTATGTATCTTCTGATGGATTCACACTACCACAAGGCTTCCATCTCGAGTACTCGCGACCTCTTGATACAAGCAAAGTAAAATAGTGCTCTTGTTACCCCATAGCCATAACCATAACCACCCATTCCATTCCCCCGAAACTGAAACCCACCGTGCAACCAACCAACCAACCAACCAACCAACCAGCCAAGTAACCAACCCACCACACAAATACCACCCCCATCCTACTATTCTACTAACAAAAAAACCCCTCCGCCCCCCAGGCATAGAGTACTGTAAATCTTGCAGATAGATACTATGCAATTCCCATCCTAACATTCCCGACCCTTTCCCTCTCGGCTAAAGCTCGGCAAGCCTCCCCGGCCCAATTCACCCCCCACGTCCCCGGCGCCATCCGATGCGTCGGGAGTTTGTGGGGGGCGAATGTCACTCCACTAATGATATATATGGCGGGTTGGTACATGCGTGGGCATATATACCCAACTGCGCTCGCTGGGCCGCGCGGTGCACGGTTTTGACTTTTGAATAGGGTGCACGGGGAAATATTACTTTTTTTTCTTTTTTTTTGTGCACTTGCACTTTGGACCCGTTGCGGTGGTCGCGGTATTAACCAAGTGGAGGGCAGCAGCTAGTGGGGGAGAGCTAAAGGTATCGACACAGGAGAATGAAAAAACATAAACGTCGCCGCCGTCGTACGGCCTTCTTTACAGACGATAAAAAAGGACGAATAAAAAAAGAAGAAAATGGACAAAGGATTCAAGAAACGGGATTACAAAAGAGACATCGAAAAACAACTCGACAGTCCCCATACCATACCATACCATACCACCAATCATCCAGTGCGAACCTGGACCCATTCTTTCTTCTACTTTACTTTTCTCTCTACAACTCCTTCTTGAGGAAGTGCTCGGGCTTGTGGCTGGTCTCATAGTCAACATGCACGTAGGCCCGCTCCACATCGGGGAGGCTCTCGAGCTTAATCTGGAGCTCTTCCGCGACATCGTGGGTTACGCGGAGCGACGAGTTTGCGCACATCACAATGTCGACTTCGACGATGATTCTCTGTCTCTCTGTCAGCAGGGCGCTAAGCGAGCAAGACAAAGAAAGGAAAGGAAAGGAGAGCGCTTACAGGGCCGCTGTGGTAGGCGCGGACGGTGTCGATCTGCGTGATTTGGTCCGAGTGGGTCATGGCTACACGTATCGTACGTCTGTTAGCTGACCTTGTCCACACATCAGGTGTTGGGAAAAGGGGGGGCGGGGATTGGGGGGGGCTTACAGATATAAGTGATCAGTCTCAGCATGCTGTTGTCCGCGCTGACGCCAATCAACAACATAAACTCGCCATACGCCGTCTTGCTCCACAGTCCAAGGATCAAGAAACTGAGCACGATGGCGCCCGCGGGGTCGATCCACCAGCGCAGCTTGCTACCGCCGACGGAGGTGAGGATACCAAACCCGTTGATGAACAGGTCGTTCCTGTGGTCCTCCCAGAGGATGCGCACCTGCGAGTACGTGTTGCGCAGACTCCAGCAGTAGAGGAACAGCGTGAACTTTGTGCCGAAGGCAACGCCGACGGCGATGATGGAGGGGAGATGGAAGCCGGTGGTCTCCTCGCTGTCGTTGTGTGCGGCGATGTCGCGCGCGGACATGACAATGAGGATCAGCGAGACGGCGCACATCAGGAAGCAGAAGAGGATGTTCCCGGCGGTCTCGATGCGCGCCTTTCCGGAGGGGAAGCGGTTGGCGTCGACTTTGTTGACGGCGCGATGGGAGAGGATCAGCAAGAGGTTGGAGAGCGGGTCGAAGATTGAGTCGGCCATGGCTGTGGTCGCGGGGTTAACATCACGGCACTCGCGATCAGGCAGGGGAGAGCGGGGATGCGACTAACTTGTGAACAGGGAGAGGGAGCCCGACGCTATGGCTCCGTACAGTTGCAGGATGGCGAGAACGATGTTCGCGGCGAACGAGCCGTTGACGGCGATAAGGTATCTGTTTCACGGGCATCACCATCAACCACCGCCGGCAACTAATACAGCGCCCGCGGGCTTTCTATCTTGGCAACACACCTTATCCTGTTGTCGCCATGCTCCTCCTTGGCCTCCCGGACATGGTCCTCCACGGGCTTCAGCAGCTGCTGGATTGACTCGTTCTGGCTCTCGTAGAACTCCTTGATGCCCTTGACATCGATCTTCTGTTTTACCTTTGGCATCGGGGGCGCCTGCGGGTCGGCGACGGTCACGGCGCCGCGGCCGAGGAGGCGGCCGCCGGTGTATGGCCATCGGGAGGCATTCTTGCGGTGTCGCGCGGTGAGCGTGGAGATCTCTTCGTCGGACTTTATCCCGACGGATAGACTGAAGGGGTCCACGACGGAGCGAGGGTTCTCGGGGTCGCTTGTGGGGGAGGTTGAGATGTTGTGGAGTTCGATCACGGAACTGGAGGTGATGCCCGACATTTTTCCTTATGTCTTTAAATTTGCGGGGTTGATGTTGGGGTATGTACTGTGCCCAGGCTTTGTTAGTGTGGGCGTTGTGGGGGCCGTAACAAGGAGGAGGAGGAAGAGGGGGGAAAGGAGGAGGAGGGGAGAGAGGACGGTGAAGTAGATATCATACACACCTCTTAGATAGAATAGAATGAAGGGTCGAGGAGGAGAGAAAAGAAGCCCTTACAAGACAATTGATAAGCTTCTCTTTGACGGGAAATTTGAAGCCTGGAATGCCTTTAGCGGGCGATCATCCCCTGTCTGCTCAGCTTCCACCCTTTCGGAGTGCGTGCCGAGAAGCGGACGCCCCCAAAAACGTGGGATGTGTTGGGGGGGGCTATTGGATAGATCATGGATGGTGATAGAGATTCATGACATTGATTATTGTCTGCCCTATGATGTAAAACAAATTGAAGAGAGAGAGAGATGTTTCGGGGGGGTGGGATTGAGGATTGAGGGTTGTGGACTGTGGATTGTGGACTGTGGCTGTACTTATGGCCCGATGCCGAACAGAGAACGCTGATAGGAGAGAGCCGCAGAGAGGGCGAGCACAAGCACGTAACGAGCTAGCTTGTGGCTTGTGTGAGCCCCCAAAACACCGCCACGATCCGGCATTGGCAGTCTCGAGTATGTAGTAACGAAGCCTGCACTCCTATCATTGGCCGATCGATACCTACAGTAGCAGGTAGCCAGTCTCTACTCTACCTAGAAAGGCTCCAAACACATCTAGTTATGAATTAAAGCCCAACTGCAATGACAACCAAATCCTGCATATGATCCCCCCAGCCTTCATATATATGCCGTACCCTACACCCAGTGCCACTCATGATGATTACTTTTACATACATTCAGGTATCTGACATCCGGGAACACAAGCAGCCGAAGAGCGCACCTGGAATCTCAAAGGCCGAGCTCCGCATGTGTGCGTACGTCTCCCTCGCAATGACCACCCATCTACACGTGCAGGAATCTTTGGTCGAGATGCGATTTTTGCGATTACGAATTATTTAGGATCGCTACTGCAAGGCTTTCTTGGTGATGGAGATGACGGCGTTACTGCCTTCAACTATGCTAGCAGATTTGATAGATATATCTATCCCAAATTTTAGCACTTACTCTATTTGCCAGAGTAGTCAGGGAACATGTATCTAGGCAGCTTCCCAGAACCCGGCTCCGAAACAATGGCCGAGATAAGGTTCGGTACGGGTTTGCATGGTTGACGTATTGCACTTCAAGGCGCTTAGGGATATGAGTGAGTGTAAATAAGGTTTAGCCACAATTCAAGAAACGAAACTCGCAAAGTGGCTTTAATTTGCGTCGTGCTCTTTCTCGATGACGTGCGCGTATATAAGATTCTGAGACGATGAACCCCTCTCATCCCTCTGATCCAAACCACCGCCAGGATCCCACCGATGAGGATGTCATCAACGTCCATCATCATCGTTCATCCCAACTTTCGTCTCAAGGTTCCGTCAAAGTGAAACCTCAGATCCGACATCTGGACTGCCTGGACCAGATCAAGGGATCGATAGATCTAGATAGACGAACATGGAATTAGCAGCCACCGTTTGTGTCAATGGCTGCTTGGGCTGATTGATAAGGTGAGTGATACAGACGTTGATCACTCGCATCCAAGAGACATTTCAAACTTCAAGAAGGGTCCTTTCTTCACTTTCTTCACAGAGGTCACGCTAACAGATACATACATTGCGCACTCATGTTCATACGTCATTATGCATAGTGATACACACAATCATCAATTCACGCATTAGCCTTCTCTATGAGAAACACGGAGCAGACTCTAGAACCCACTTCTCCGAGACCATGTTCCTACAAGGCGAGTATGTATTCTCATAGGAGATTTATATCCTACTTCTAGTTACCTTTGTGCTGATTTGTCGAGAGAAGAGCAGAGTAGGAGCTCCAAGCAGAGCATGTGCCTTGAACCTGTCACTTTTTGTTTTCTCGAATACGAGCGTGCTTTGCACTAACTCTACCGGAGAATCAAATATAGGATGCGTATCCTCCGCATCTTGACGCAACCCCACGCAGTGTAGGGCTCACGCACTCGAGCAATGACAGGCGGGTTGGTTACATTTACCCATCTCGTTAATCTTATCCAGATGTCTGCTGCACAGATTGCAATCCATGTGGCCGCTGTCTGGCTAGAATCGTTATGCGGGTAAGGGTGCCAGACCCGCGTGGTTTTGCAAAACCTCGGCTGGTCACAATGTATCACTCGGATAGCGCTAAAAAACTTGCACTAGGCAAACGCGTTGCTTTTTTGTTGCCCCACCGTCGGATTTCAAATATTCTGACAACGGGAGTCGCGAATCATCCGAATTTTTCGACTGAGCCAAGTGCGGGGGTTAGGTTGCGGGGTTGGTCGTTCTGCATGTTGGGACGAGATCTCGATGTCATTCGCGATACAGTGTTTTTTCCGATCCAGTGTCCTGGTAATGTCTTGAGCCCTAAGCTGCCTGGCATTTGATTCCTTGTCACCTTCTGCTGATGTCTGTTTGTGTGGAGGGAGACAGTTTCTGACCGACTGCATGAACTGGAATTCTTTGAGGTCTACAGCCTTACCTAACCGGCACACGACCTGGTTCTCAATAGGGTGTGAGCACTTTTAGGGGAAAAACAAAAACGCAAAACGAAAATATGACCACCTTGCTTGTTCGAAAAATCAATCTTCTACATACTTACTGCAAACGAGGCCTTAAATCCACCACTCAAAACACAGTCGGAAGAAAAACGATTCTCAAGGCAACTGACCGATCCAGGTCGGGCAGTTCTGAAATTTCTGAATGTTTCCGGAGACGACTACGTACAAGAGTTTTTTCAAGTTTACTATTCCTATCATCAAATAGCGGGCCTCGCCGGAGGCTTCCTGGTCTCTTCCTCCGTTCGCCGTGTTTTACGTGGTGAAATATCAATTATCCAGCGGAATTGGAACTTGCAACATATTCCATTTCATCGGTGTTATGCGTAATGCCCAGTAACTCGAAAAAAAAAAGTGGAAGCATTTTCTTTAGTCCTGATATCTACAACAGGTACCAAACATGTCGAGTTATCCGGGAAAAATCATTTCAATCGGATCGAGTCTCTCGCCAAGGATCGCGCGGAAAATAGCATGCCCAATCACGCCCGGCGGATCGTTTCAAACATCGAGCCGATTCTGATCGGAATCTCCGCCAATTTATCTGATGGAACGTCCGATCGGTCACTTCTCTCTGTTCTGGGCTGTATGCTTCCCGCGCACCTACCACGTGATCTATTTTGGACTTATGTTGGGACGGACGTACGGGGATTAAGAGCACTCTGCTCGTAGTAGCTTAAAAGTGCCTACATATCTACATTTTTACATGTATGTATGTGGTTGGACTATGTGCGTGGGGGTTCTGCCCAAATACCATATGTAAGGCCTCGAAAAAAAGCATGGAGCTTTTGTGGAGAAGCATTCACATGGACTACTAAGAAGCTGGATATCATTATTGGAGCGTCAATTTGGGCTTTCCGCCTTCGAGCTTCATTTGCCAAATCATTACTCGTGGATATTTAGCTGCATATGCTACTTTAGAGTGCCCTAGAGTAGAGTACTCTACTCTAGAGCAGAGCACCTACCTCTTCGCAGATTCCATCATAGGCAAGATAGAGTAGAGACGAGGGTAGGTGCACTGATATTGGTATCGGAGCATGACTAGCCTTTCTGTAGGTACTCAAATGAGTATTTAGCCGGGAAGACATGGCTACTTATTGGATCGTCAAGCCCGAGGAACTTGAGTTGAGATGGAAGATCAGCTCTTAGATGGGTACTGTGCAGCCCCAGTACCCGGACTGCGTGAGGTACCTTACTGGATGACTTCAAAAAAAGTAAAGGTATGGAGGACAGAAAAAAACAAAAAATGAAGAGCTCCTACATGCTACATGGGAGATGTCGGTTTTCTTAACCTATGGCTTAAGGAAGGCTTATTCTGATGGATTCAACCCCACTCCAAAAGGAAAAAAAGGAAAAAGAATGCAATCATGCCGGCAATGTGCCGAGTCTTACCGACAAGCTCTCCAATAATACCCGTCATTGAGAGAGCCTTCGCCGAGAACCCTTGAACTTCACACGGGGGCTTTCCCGCCCTTACGTCGCTGGTCGAGGCTCTCTACGTCTACAGTGCCTGTGATAGGAGTTATATTATCCAAAATATCGATTGACTTCTGGGAGCTTCCGCACTGAGGACAATTAGTATTGACCGGATTTTATATCTCATGTGACGGGTGATAGTGACAATTGGCCTTACGGATGGACCGTATTGCAATTGTTAGAAATCCGATCAAAATAACTTTAGAGTACGTAGTCTAAGTTCATGGGGCTCGGTTGTGTGTAATTAATAGTAGCTACAACAAATGTGTAACTAAATAGCTTGTGTTGCAAGACACGGAACTAATTAATCCCGGACAGCACTTTACTTGTTTGTGGGGTTATTCCAAAACTCCATGACGATCGGTTTCACGCTTGGATTAGCCAACTAAACGGTCCCAAACCCGAATTTAGTCCCCACAATCAAACAAGCTCGCGACAATAGCATTCGCTTAGGTATGCGTTATCATCTTCAGTTTCATGTTTAGATGCAGATCCCCAATTGTCCCCAATTATTTGACAATTGCATCCAGCCGGAAGTTATTTGAGTTGGTAGATGTCCTCAAATTCAGACATTAGGCAGGCAGGCAGGAACAGGAGTTGCAACTGCCCTACGTCCTACCTACCCCCTCATCTTTGCCAATAATAGGCGCTTGGTCAACGTGTTCGTCGAGCCCATAGGAGCCGGGATTACTCTGCGTGTGCTTGATGTACGAGTACAGTATTACTACTTTAGAAGAGCAAAATGCAATGACGTTCCGGCTTTCAACTTGCAAGATGCTGTTATCCCCCTTGACTCACGGTCCAAGAACCATTCCGGGGTGGCAATTGAGCCGCATGATAACTCCATGTAGTACTACAGCCGATACGCCTGCCTGTGAGGTTCGATTCCTTGGACCCTTCATCGCTAGATTCGTTTTTTTCCACTGGCAAACAATTTACGAATGCGGAAAAGCAGCTCCTATCAACGAGTGATCTTGTCGATGAGATCCGGCGCCTAGTTCAACGATGGCCCTTTTTGTCCTGATGTCTTAAATATCTCTCTGGCCAGCGAACCTCGTATATACGGTCTCACTAAGCTACCTAAAAACTCAAAACACGTGTCAGTATGTCGTGGTTGTTTGATGTCGATGAATCAGAAAGTCGCAGAGGACGGATTTTTGTTTTACTACAGAAATTACTTAACACGCGACGGCGACCCTGGGCACACTCTGGCCCCCGGAGCATAGCATGCAGGTCTGTACAATTGCAATATTACAATAGAACTTAGTCTCTCTTTTTTAACAGTCTACCGGTACCGGTGTTTACCGACTTACTTTCATCCGGATTTTCTCGTTTTCCCAATTAATTACAAAACGTCGTGTTAATTTAGTTTAGGCAGTTTTTGGGGAGGGTTCTTTCCACTGAGGGAATTCTGGTTCGCTCGAGATTATGGTACTTGCGTTTTCTTCAGTGTTTCCCGACAGAGTACCCAGTGGACGGTTTTCAGGATTGTTAAGTCAGCCGTTTTTGATGAGGGGCCTGCTTATCTGGAGGGCCTTTACGGCCATAGACCACCGCAGAAGTGACAATAATATGGTAAGAGCAAAAGTCCTTTTCTCTCTTTCTCTCTCTGTTTTTTCCTCTCTCTCCCTTTTGGTGGAGCGTCTCCCCCCTAGCTTGCTTTGGGCTTTTGTTTTATTTTGTGTCTTCTTTTTTTGGTGCGCGGCAAGCCCTCTTTACCCCCGGTCACATTGTTAGTAGGCAAGTTTGTGCTTGACCTATCATTGCTGGCCCCGTCTCTGCGCGTCGTTGGCAGCGATCCTATATTCGTCTGCATCGGTCCTTTGGTAGCCTGTGGTTCTCTACCATGTGGATACCTTCTCTGCACGTATGAATCTGCGCCCCATCCTATGGATCGCTATGTTTCTGCTTATCCATTCCCCCGTATTTTTTTACTGCCCCACAGGGGAGGGGGGGAGTGGTAGCGTTCTGCCCTGTCAGCTTCGTCGTGAGTCCTGTTGGTCAATTTGTCCTGACGCAAGTAGATACATCAGGAACTACCTCAGCCTGGCGCATCATGGCACCACCAATTTATCGCCTCGACCAACGATATCGCCGCCGATATCCTGACGAATCCGATCGCCTGGCTGTGTGACACAGTCTTACTGGTTTCGCTCTCGTACTTTGTTCTATTTCTACTCAACAGCCTTATTAGTCTCCTGCTCTCTTTATCTTGCCCGAGTCTCCCACACCTGGAGAAACAACAAATCCAGATACAAGTTCACAAGACCTTTTCCTTACCTCTAGTCTCTGCGGCGACTTGGAATACTGGTCCTCTCCAAGCAGTTATATTCTTTGTATTATTTTTTCTGGTAGCCCAGAAGCAACTCTCCGTGCACCATCGGCCGGGAGAGACGTCATCCATCAGGAGTGTTCTTTCAACTTTCATGATACCGCTCTTGTCACTCATAATCATGGGTGGCTTTATCGTTGTCGGCATCAGCGCTTGGGGCCTTTTGGCCGGAAGATGGTTTCAGCAGTTTCGCCCGGTGCGAAGGCTCGGCCAGTGGTTGGAGATGCGGAGCGCCGCCGGCGGTCAAGATCTTGAACGCGGGTGGGAGAGCGGTCTAATCAGCCGTGGGCCCACTAGGAAAGCTATCGAGGAGCCTGAGGTATTGGGTTTCAGCGGCGTCATGATTGTTGTCGACCAGAAACCTGTGGCCCCTCCCGCCCCTAAACCCTCAGCGATTGAGCTGGCACCAGCCGCGCCACGACACATACCAGTGGAGAAAACAGTGATTATGGGACCGACTGCAGAAGAGATAGAGGAGCTAAGAGCAGGGTGTAGGAGGATAGAGGATATCAGGTCGAGGATCCAGGGCCGAATGGTGGAGATGAAGGTAGAGATTGAAAGAATAGGTGGTGGTGGTGATAGATATCGACCTGTGCCGTAAGTTTTTCTTGAATTCCCTCTCTTCTTTTTTCTGTTTGTTTGAATAGGTTACCTGTTCTCTGGGAGAGGGACTTGATGAAAGTATTACGACAACGCTGACTGTTTCAAGGGCTGTTAGACGAAATAGGAAGAAGGGTTAAACAACCAACAACTCCAATCCCACCTTCACGATGAAGATCTTTAATAAGATTCTCATCACGATCCTCACCACAATTACTCTTACCATTGCCATCACTGTCAACATTAGCATCACTGTCAACATTATTACCATCATCAACGTTATTGGTGCATAGATTATCTCTATCATCATGTCGTATTGTAGCTGGACCTACGATATTTCACCCTCTCCCATCAATCTCAACAATCATCAACACCACTCAAAATCATCATCTCACCAACACTCCTCTCCTCCATGACCACAGCCATAGCAGGTGTGGTCGGTACAATTGAAGACTTCTTCTGTAGTTAGCTCTGTAGTATAAGCTTCATCAACCATCCTCCTCCTCTTCAACAACAATATCATTATCATCATCATCGTCATCGTTTATCACCACCTATATCACCACTCCATGTGTTCAATAGCTCTCTCTCATGTTCTCATCCGGCGTTAAACCTTTTGTTTTTGGGTTATGTTTACGAAACTGGGGATTATTTTCATTTTTTCCTTCTCTTTTTTTATTTTATCTGGGGGGAAGGGGGAACCGGCTGTATCGTACGGGGGGCGTGTAGCTACCCCCCCATAACTGGCATTTACTGCATAATTTCTTTTGTACAATATTTTCTTTCCTTTTTTCTGCCCCAATCTCGCAGGTATGCGGTGTATATGTAACCTACCCACACACCTGAGCTGAGTATGAGAGAGCTTGCATGTAAAGTGTGGGCCACTCGATTTCATGGGGCCTGTGTGGGGGGTAAGAAGCAAATAAATCAAGAAATTTTAAATCTTGTCCATGATTCCGGGTTTGGTTGGATGGCCGTTAAAGCGTTGGATGCGTGCCAGTAGTAATAATGTTTCCCACTAGACGTAGAAGTACGCCAGACGTCCGAAAATGACCGCACTGTGACCTGCCTGCATTGCTTGCACTGCAACTAGCTGCAAGGTGAACCAATCGTAGAAGACGCATAAACAAGGTTCGATAAATGCGATAAGTCTTTCAATTGCGGCTCCTGCAGCAAGCATATTGGCTGCTGGTCCATACTCACATACCTACCTACTGGAGTAGGGTAGTCATGAGGTAGGTAAGTGGTGCGTGACAGAATGTGCGCGCATGCAAGGTAAATATGTGGGTTGGGGCCGGGGTCGGGGATTTAGAGCTTCTAGAAGGCTGTCCGTACGTCTATGTCCCCTGGTCCTGGAACGGCTGTGTAACATGTCAGGGGCAGGGGGAAGACTTCCCAGTAACTCCCCCCCCCCCCTTGCATGTCCAAATGAACCCTGTAGGTTTGTAAACTGGGGGTTCGAGGTTTGAAGCTACTTTTTGTTGAAGAGTTATAATTACTAACTACATGATGTACTGAACACGTAGAAGAAAGGTGAACGGGGTATACTGAACTGCGTGTGTTGGGGCTTTGAAATGCCACGAAGACAATATTGAAGAATTGAGGGAAGGCGCCCCTGGCATGACGGGTTTGACGTACGTAGAGCGGCTTATTTTTGGCATGACTCATACTCACGTCTCGCAGGCTTGAAGTCTGGTCTGCCTGGTCTGAGGCAGAGAGATGTTGGAGCTAGAGACTTTTTTTTTGAAAGAATTGAGGGCCTAGGTAGCTCAATTGATTGAATTTCTCGGAGTCAACGCCGGCTCCCCGGAGCCTTGCCATCCGAAGTGCAGATTTCTCGGGGATGTCTCCAGTGTGCATATTGTGCATATGTAGTTTGTTAATATATTTAGGTCGCGGTTTTATAAGAGACCGAGGAGAATCGAATTGCATGATTGGGTCGATTGTTAACGAGAACAGAAGGAATTAACAGACTCTTTTTATAGCAAAACACAGCTACGTGATAAATAAACACGCATAATCAAGAAAACCAAGCTCGTTGTCCCGACACAGTACTAATAACAGATAGCAAATTAAGAGTGTGAAAACAACATAGTTGTCTGCTGAACATTGAGGTTTCTGCTGGTCCGATCCGGGACTGACGTATCGGCCATGTTGGATTGAGATGTATTATTTAAGACACCTGGTGTGAATAGTATAAGACCCATCATCCTCCGCCTCTCGATCTCCCCTCAGAGTGGAACACGGCACTTCACAAGGAACCAGAGTACAAGTATACGTATGACTTTCGGTACGTGAGTGCTCGCCGACAGAGTTGGAGGGTTAGGGTTGGAATACAGTTACCTTGGCGTTTGGGCGTCAAGTATCAGAAAAATCTGCATCGTACTTGAACAATCTGACAGCCTGCCTACATATCCGCTCAGAATACGCCGTTGAGTAAAGCTATTTACGTAGAGGAAGATCATCAATATGAAAGGTAAGTCATCTTTGATTTGCTTTGCGTGACGGATTGGTTGTGTTGGCGGCAGGATCGAGGCCACATTTACTTACAAAGTTAAGTGAACACTGTGTACGTACTTAGTACGTACATATATTTTCAAGGTGCCTGTGTTCGTAATTAACAACCTTGGATAGACGGGGAGGGGGCTGTGGTTGTATGCACGAATATGCAGTTGAGTGCGGCGGTGCAGTCTGGGATGTGGCAGTACATGTACTCATGGGCGGTACATATACGTCCATGTATTACCCGTAAGATCTAGAAATACGCACATCAGAGGCCTTAGCGAGAGTGATTTACTACATGTCTATACCTGGCGCCCACCGTTCACTATGAGATTCTAAGGACAACTAGTGCATAGCTAGTCGCAGCTCATGGTTCCTATCTGGTTTTTAAGAGATAGATGCTTTGCGTACGCGTTAAAGGTCTAGAAATGTATAGTTAAGTTTAGTTTCTTGATTGAGAACACTGTTGCTACATATCATCGATTTTCTGGGACTCAGTCATGCACTTCATCGTTTATCACTGCTCGGGCCCAACCAAGCATAAGCTTAATTATCAATTGCTCTTCCTTGCTCAGGTCATCAATGATCAGCCTAAAGACTAGTCGAACCCAGAGACAGAAATGAATCCAAGTTCGCCATCCCACATTAGCTAGCCACACGATCACGTGTCCCTTGGCCGAGTGATCTCGTATGATTAGACATCCGATAACCGCCCCCCAGAAATAAAGATAAAAAAATCCTTCCATCCTTCCTCATTGATCACCGGCCCGGCGCTCCGGCGGCACACAACCACAATACCGGCTCCAACACCGCCATTACGGGTGCGAGCAAGGAAGGGCAGAGAAGACTTAATTTCCCGGGTTTCCAGCATTATATCCGATCCGGGGCAGACAGGGTCGTGATATATTAACTAGCCACTTTATATAACTCTAAAGATCTTCCCACGCTCTTGTTATTGTTTGTTGATCTTCTTACCCTCACTCTCGAGTCAATTGAAGGCGCCAACCACCTCGCTCGCAAGAAAAAACAAAGATGACCTTCTTCACCACGCTCCTCACCGCCGCCCTCGCGCTTTCCAGCGCGGTCTCCGGCACGCCTATAAAGAAGAGGAGCCCAAAAATCATCTTTGACGGGAGGATCCCTGTGAAGACGCAATTGGCGGACCTAAACAGCGCTTCGGCGTCGCCGTTTAATGCGGAGTATATTCTTGGCGCAGGTATGATAAGTTTAATTGATTGCGGCCATATAAATAGAGGGAGGTTTATTGATTTTGACCAATTTTATAGGCCAAAAATGGTCCGATGTTGCAAAGTTCCCAAGAGTTGAAACGTCAATGGTAAGCTGGACAATTCGCGTTGATTCCTCCTTGAGTGATGGTTTGCCTGACGCAAATGCATAACAGTATGACCTGAGGAGCCGGTCTAAAGCCATTGAGGTCACGATCAAGTAAGTATATAACCAACCTCAAAGCCACCAATCCTCGATGTCGCCGAGATAACTGACCCTTCTTCCACAATACAGTGACGACTCCATCTTCGCCCCCGGCGGCACCCCCCAAGCCGGCTTCCGCCGCTCCGAGCTCCTCCCTAAATCCAACAACGGCACCGACGCAACCGTAAGTGGACACACGACCTTCCACTTCTCCATCAAAGATGACCCGCACCGCCCTCTCAACTACTCGCACCAATATGAGGTACTCCGCCCCCCCTCCCTCTCCTGCCCCCACCCCGAACGCCGTTCTAACCCCAACCCTTATAGCTGGTATTCATCGAAACAAACGACTACAGCAGCCACGTCTGGACGCTCAAGACGGGCAGCGCCTACGGCGCCACCGTGCTCCCCGCCCCCGACGCGCGGACACTGCGGCTGGGAAGCTCGACGGCGGGCGGCGCGGCGGAGGAGGTGTTGTTCTCCGTGCCGTTCCGGAAGGGGGGGCCGTGGCACAACTTTGCTGTTGAGACTGACTGGGACAAGAAGTATTTTTCTCACCCCGAAAAGATGAAGGAAGACATGCTGACGGACCGGGGTGGTGGTGGTTAGCACGATTGCGGTGTACTACTCGGCCGACTATGCGCCTCTCAGGAAGGTTGTTGAGACTCGCGAGAATGATGCTACCGGGAAGGGACAAGGTGAGTACTTGGATCCGTGCTATCTTCTGGGCTGTGGGTATTGTGTTAATTAGTGTCTGTAGCGCACATTGGTATTCTCAAGCTTCCAACTGGGCCCTCGAGCGATGTTGCCCATGAGGGCTACCAGCAGTCGAACCTGAACGAGGGTCTGGTTTATGGCGGTATCTTTGTTGAGGACAGTTCGAGCAGAAAGCCAAACTACTGCCGGCCGCGCGCTTGATCCCGAGAATTAACACGGGACTGTAATGGAAAGGGTTGTTGTGTGTGTACTTGTACTTGTATTTATACGGAGGGCTAGGGTTGGTGTGGCTTGGCTCATTTAATATCACTCGGTTCTCTGGATCCTAACATGATCCTAGCATGAGAGAGGGCGACCTTGACAACTCTGCACACATAATCATTTGTTCAACCCATTCGTTCTTTGGCTCAAGGAAGCAAACACAAGTTTTCTCCAGTTCTACGGCAGTGGAATACCACCGTTTAGCATGAATTTGTAACCCGGTTTATTATTGACCCGATATACAAAACATAAAAATTCCGAAACCGGAAAAAAAAAAAACCAAAATCAAAGCAAATAACAATCATCGTCACTCATCGCACTTTTTTATCAAAACCATGTAAAAATAAAAAAACTCAAAACACGCAAAACCATGAGGAAAAAAACCAAAACATCCGTGAAAAAAAACGAAACCGAAAAAAAAATGAAAAAAAAAAATTCAGATACGCTCGCTAAAATAATCTAAAAAGGCAATGTTAGTAATCGATCCATTGATTCCAAGATGGGCGGAACATACTTGAAAAAAGATTGTATAAAACTTCTATTCCTCCTCCTCCTCCCCATCGGGCTTTGGACTTATCCTGGGCGCAGCCATGATGCGAAGCATGATCTCATCCACAACGTGCCTTCCATGCTTTCTAATCACATGATCCTTCATATTGTCTTTTCTAGGTGTTTCATGCCTGCACTCTGTGCACATTAGACGCACCTTCTTGTGGAGGCAGTTCTCATGTCGTTCACGGTCCTTCTCGGATGAGAATCCACGGATGTTCTTGCAACCCTCGAATCTGCAGGGGAATGGCTTCACATGTCTCTTTGCATGTTTCTTCAAGTCGCATTTTCGGTCAAATTCTTTGTTGCAGGGCGAAGAATCGGTGTCGCCAGGAAAGTCACATCGCAGCGGCTTCACAACTCCGGAGGGGTTTGACGGGCGGCGGCGGCGTTTGGCAGGCTTGCTGATGGATCCACGACCATTACGGTTGTTGGATGAAATGGCAGGGGAAGGAGGGGAGGGACCTGGAGTTAGAGGAGTTGGGGGTGTTTGTAGACCCGGAGATGCAGGCGTGCTGTTGTCTGGGTCTAAATCTTGTTAGTACATTTCACAGGAGTTAAAGAGAAACTAGAGTTGGTAGAGATATGGCTTACTAAGAGGTGAAGGTGGTACCCAGTTTTCGGGAGGAGCCAGCACTATATCAGAGGCGGGCGACGGAGTCTGAGGACTTTGGCTGAGTAACATGTTTCCAAGGTCCAGGAAATCAGGTGAGGGGGTGTTGGGTGAGGGTTGGAATATGCCCTCGTATAACGGTGAATCGCACGATTGTGGGGTAAAGGTTTGCTGCGAGTTGTATGATGAGTCGGTGTATGTAGGACTCACGGGATGGGATAAAATATTGTCAGATTGTATCGGAAATTCCCAGTCCCAGGTGTTATCATGGAAAATGTAAGGCTGTTGTTGTATAGAGTTGTTTTCGCGCGAAATCTGGAAGATCCCCGCTGTCGAATCGGCTACAACATTCAAATTTGCCTCTTCTTGCACCATTCCATCGAAATCGTCGGAAGGATACATCTCTGTGCCCGGTATGAACCTGTTAATGTCAAGTCGTGCATCGTATGCGACGTTGGCAGTATTCTCAGGCATATTATGGGGGACGTCGTTATCATCGGATGGGCTGAAATCAAAAGCGGCGGCTTCAGGCTCGCTGAACCTGGTCTCGTTGTCGTTGCCGCACATATCATCGATGAGCCAAACTCCGAAGTCTATATCCCCTATTGGTTGAGGCATTTCGACTTGATCCATGTGGAGGGTGAGATAAAGCGTATCAATGGTGTTTGTGGTTGTGGTGTTCAAAGTAGTGTGCGCAATGCGCGAATGTGCTGTCCATAATGTTAGACCAAGCAATTAACCCTATCAGACAAGGAATTACGTACAAGGCGATTCTGTTGAAGCAGTGGGTTTCTCTTTAGTTGATGATGATGGGTGGGGCAGAGAAACGCGGGTAACAGCGATAGTAACCATTGTTTCGGCGCTTCTTTGTATGAATTGGACTTGAAGCGAGAAAAATGATCAGCCATGTCCACATATCAAGCAAAGAAGCTAGAAACCTTTTTAGAGTCCGACGTTGGGCGATTTCCTTCCTTGTTGTTGTAGTGGAAAGCGGGAGAGCAGAAAAGTAAGAGTGCGAGTTAGAAGATTGTTGGTCTGGCGACTGGGACGGTGATGCTGTGTTAAATCGAGTTGGGTCCAAGCACCGCTGCGACGCTGTAGTTCCTGGTGGGGGACGAAATCTGGTACCCGAGAGGATAACGTCCTTGCCTCCATTAGATGGAGGCAAGGATGTTATCCTCCCGACTGCCAGTACTTCGTCAACCACCATGAAAACAGGTGCCGCAGCGTTACCTTTACCCTCCGAGCGACTCTCGCCTAGAGACATGTGAGGAATGGCCTTAAGAGTCACCGTGATAATGTTACCACGGCCCGCAAAAAAGAACCTGTATAGCAAGGTCCACCCAACAGCGTCAATCAGAGGCGTAGTAGTGAGCTTGTCACTCTTCCCCGTGGGAAAGCGGCCTCCAATATTAACCTATATATATAAAGTTTTAGAAATTGCGACACCTTGTTGAACACATTACTCTTGAGAGAAATCCGGGGGGGTGGATATACCATCAAGAAAGAACCAAATGCCAACAAAGCCCAAATCCTTGGCATGAAGGCCGAATCCTCACTCATCTCCAAGTGGTTGCTTGCGAATGTTGTTCCAGCAATATAGATATCTTCTTCTGTGTGGTAACTCTCCGCACAGGGTAGCTTGCTTTCGGTGTGATCCTAAAAAGATTGTTAAAAAAACGTATTCGGTGTTTTTGTTTTTGTTTTTTCAAAAAAAGAAAGAGCGTACAGAGGAGCCTGGGCTATCGAAAGTAGGCCGGCTGTGGCCAGCAGTCTCCATTGCGTAGGGGCGTGACCCTCGCCGCAGGAAGCGGCGGAGAGTCGTGAGGTTCACTATGGCTGGGTTCAATTCGGTAAACAGTGGTAATGGTTTGTTTGTGAGAAAAAAATAAATTGCGGGGGAGGGGAAATTGCGGGGGGTGACGTGAGGTTGTTGTGCTCGCTAGAGGGTGGTTGAGAGATGGGAAGGAGAGAAAAGAAGGTTTGAGGCGGGTAGGGCCTTTTAAGAGAGCACGGTCCTTAACATCCCTACTGGCACCCACACTCCCCGGAGACACAGCCACACAGCCACACACGATAACGCTGCCGCCTGAATTGAGCCCCATGAACCCACACCCTTTGATTCTGATAAATTTCCACCACTCAGGTATTGGCTTAAGATGGGTTGCCTGAAGCCTGCATAAACAATGCTTTGTTACGGCGGCATCAACTCTGTCATATACATGTATGTACCTACATGTAGGTAGGTAGAGTATTTCGTAGAGGCACAGTCAGGGAACAGCAAACACCTTGGCAAGCGGGAGAGTTGTGATACGGCATAGCCTAGAAGATACCTGTAATATATTCCTCTTATTTCACACCACCAAGGCGTATCCGTAATTGCTAATATAATTGAAGCTGGTATGTATCCGGAAACACAAGATTTTTTCATACGGCTTTTTCTACATAGTAATATCCTATATCGAGGGGCATTGGTTCGCAATTGTAGATTCAAAAAGTGTTGATACTTGTCGACTACACATCAGTACAAGATCGGAACAAAGTGGTATGCATCAGTGAGGAGAGGCCTACGTATGTTTTCACTTTCGTCGTAAGAGCAAAACAAATGACGAATCAAGTCAAACCATGCCCACTGTGATTGGTTGGTTGCTACCTGGACTACTGCAGCTACCCGTAGTACCCGCAACCGTACCCGCTGCCAAGGCGAGATAAGCTATCGGGGTCTAAGCCTGATCCGGAGATCATCGCTAAAAAAATCTTGTTGTATCCGGATCGAGTGATGATCTGTGACCGCGCCAGAGAAAGGAGTCTGCCTTCACTAGCAATTGATTGCGATAAGGCGTGGAGATATTCTTAGGAATTAGACTACATATAGTAGAGGTATTTTGCTCTCTCTATACGAGTCTAAAAAAAACTCCGATGTGGCCCACAATTGCACTTTGAATGGCCAGTTGCAGGTAAACAAGGATATTCAAAACATACTATATACTTGGTGATACATGTAAGTAACCTGACTCACAGTGGGGTAGAGAAGTGATTGGGTCTTTCTACAGGTAAATCTTGTATCTAATACGTAATACGCCCGATCCCCCCGGTCTTTTAAAGGGGGATACTGGCTCTCGTGATATTCGCGACTCTGGGCATTTATATCCTTAACCAATGTTGATACCAGCTCTTAGCTGCGAGAGTGTGTACCGCTTAGATCCCTTTCTCTCTTTTTGTGGTGATATGCATGCGTGTCAAGTCGTTCACGGGTGGGACGAACACGGACTTTGACGGACGGCATGCGCCAATAGTTCAAATGGCCTGGCATCTTGGCCATTTCCCACCACACAGAACATCGCCTTCTTTAAAGGCACTGTTCATCCTAACATCCGGGCGAATGAACGGCTGTATACAAGAAAAATCAATAATAGGGATTGTATCATACTCTGGAGCGATCTTAGGTCCTCATCGCAAATTGAGGATGATAGGCTGTAGAGTGACTAACTCTGGAATTTATCTCGCAAACTAAGCATAAATAACGTCACGTCATTGACCAAAAGACCTCTTTACGGACACCTCTCCATCCAGAAAAGCTGTTGTGGAGTCTTGGCCAAGAAATTTGTTTTATGAGGACTGGTTAAAGATTTTTTTCGCTTCAGCTAGGCTAGGTAAACACAGCCTTCACGGGGAATCGGTCCAACAAGAAGGCCAGAAGTAACCTTGGAGTACTCAGAGAAAAACAACAGATGAATCATAGATAGTTCTCCGTTGGGGGAGCCTTCTGCTGTTTTTGATTGCTTTCTTCCATCGGCTTCTTCTCGTATCAGAGGGAAAGTGTCTACGCATGTGAAGGTGGCTTTCGAATTAATACCGGATCTGGCAGTATTCAGACCCACACAGCCCGGAACATCACAGTTCCGTCTCGGTGCATTTCACAAGATGTGCGCTCACCTGGGGAGGGGCTTGCGCCTGCTTCTCCATCGTAATACCCGACCTAGCTAGCGCGCTCAATCTATGCATACAGACCCAATTGAACCCAGGCTGTAAACGCTAGCTAGTGAGTGGATTCCATGAGAATCGTTTCACGCGTCTGACCTGGAAAGATTTAACGAAACCCCTCATTCTTCCGGCGTCTAATTGGATGCCGGTTGGATTGTTGTGATGGGGGCGACTTCTCAGAAACGGGGCCTGCTTCGGGGGGAGGAGTGGCTTGTTTTGGTGAGAATTTAGAAGCTCGTGAATTTCCCGTTGGCTGTGAATAGTGCATGCCCAACATGTTTGAGTTTCTGCCTATTCGTTCTAGCTCCATTGAACGCAAAGGTGGGAAAAGCATTTGGACAAAAGGTCACGAGCCTCTTATTAGAGGATTTTGGTTACAGAAACTCGAGGAATTTGGACAGAGACTTATGCACGTTGTAACCAATGGCAATTGCAAGAGTTTCTACCCGAACATACATGTATGATGTATCTATCCGCATTCTTGCAAATTGTTGCCTAGGGCCGCGCCGCTAGACTTTCTGCCCACCTGTCCGATCAGCTAAAATTCTTCGATCCAACAGCCTTGTTTCCCCTGTTCCTACAATCACCCCGTAGCTGATGAAACTTGCAGTCTCCTATCCAGGTAAAGCCAAACCACCCTCCCTCGGAGTGTGGCTTAGTGATTAAGCGTTAGGCTGAGTGACTATGCCACTGGCAAGCCTAAAGGACTACCAAGATAGGAGGTCCTTGGATCCACACATCTCAACGGCCCGGGTCCAAGGGATAGATAATTATCGTGTCTACCTAGCTACAGCATATATGATCAAATAAGCGCCCATTTTCTGAGAAAGACCGGTCTCATCCGATCACTGCAGGCTATAAACCAACTTTGTATTTATGTGTGTAGGTATCCTAGGATTTTGTCAATGCGATAGACCCGGCCCAGTTACCCACCTCGTACGCCAAAAAAAGTAGCACAGGCTCATAAATGATATTCCTTGGATGGAGGCCACCATCAAGGATATTGAGGTAGCCTACCTATACTCTAGTTCCTGTAAGCCGGTTAATTCAGTCGTTGGGAGTTTACACACCTACCCCTCACAGCTTTTCGAGTCGGGTATGTACGTGAAAAAGTCTTTGGATAGTGGCTTTGAAAGGGACTACAGACATCGCTATATAATAATTCTCACTGCGCAGCCTCAACAGGGGGCTAGACTGCTCTCTGAACGTGGTTTTCGAACTAAGTGTAGCTATGGGCGGGGTATTTACATACTCTACATGTAGAGTACTAGCTAGGGTGTAGCGAAAAGTGATCAGAATCTGATAAGACAAATACACCTATTCACCGTAACATTCACTTATCAGATTCTGATCACTTACTCTCAACACCCGGTACAGCCGCACCTCGCTATCTCGTAATTCGATATCTCGGATGTCTTGCTGTCTCGTACGAATTTGCGAGACAGGTACTGCCCTTCTCCACCAAAAACTATTTGCTGTCTCGTATATTTGCTATCTCGTAGGGGTTTGGCTCCCAGAATACGCTAACGACATAATTATATAACGAGGTGCGACTGTATGTGTATGTGTGTCTTGTCCAGCTAGCTACCTACATATAGTATAGTAAAGACCCTTAGTACTTTTCTTAGCTGTACGCTGCCCCATTCAGAAATATAACCCAACCCAGTATACATGTTAGAAGTCCTTGTTAGTCTTGGACTCTTGGTTCTTGCTGGTCGGCATGGAGATCCGTCTGTACGGATCGTCCAGCATACGCCTAAAAAGGCGGCGGCACTAAACGAGGTCTCATACTCCCCTAGATCCCTATGGTCATAACCGATCACTCGAAAAACAGCACATGTTAATTCGAGGCTGATATCTGGTGACGGACCAATTCCAGCATTTATTCCAGCTTCCATCGTTATGTTATTGGACGATACTTATTAGAAGCAGAGTTGATGGCTTCATGCGGTCAAACGGGTGGGGGAGCGTATGTGCTTAAGTGTTTATCGCGCTCTTGTTATAGGGTGCGTTGCAACCCTTCGGAGGCTTGCTCTCCCAAGATCTGGCTGGAACAAGAAAATATATATAAAAAGCGCAGTTACCAACAGAATATCATGGTCTTTGGAGGGTTGATGGTGGCGTTCTCTGCGACATGGTGTTCGGCATTTCGGGGGCACGTATGAGTGTGATCCGGGGTGACAACAGTACACCGGGCACGGGGAGGAGAAAGTACAGAAACAAAATGCCGAGTTGACAGATCGAATGGACCGAGGCTCCAGGGGATGGACCCCACGCTGAGTCTCCCTCCGTAGATCTATGGGGATATGCAAATTAAAGCGGTGGTCGGCTCCGGTGCTCACCCACGCTGTTGTGATTTACTGCGTAAGCACATGACTGTAAAAGTCTGGAAGCGAGCGTAGTGTAGCTATAGCGAGTAGATGGCTTTTGACCTGGTCTTAATTACTGTTCAATGATGGGCTTGGGGTAAATGGTGATACCTATCGATAGAGGAAGGGCATGCAGTGGTGCACGTTGCTACAGACGTTAAAGTGTAGAATGCCGTTCAGAGGATTTCACACCTCTTCAGCCGGGCCGCCGCGGCCCATCAAGCTTAGGCGTACTTGAGCCGTCGGACTGAGTGGCAATTATAATTACATAATGGTGTCAATATGTACATGTTGTAGCTAGCCAGACATGGAATTCGTGAAGCTATAACTGTTATACAGAGAACGCATTCACCAAGTTGACAGCCGCTCAAAACTTACCATTATCTACATACATGAACTTCTAAAAATCTGATATATATGTATGTTA